GATTAAAAAAAAATCATCACAATCGAGATAGGGCGGGTGGGCGGGGCTTATATTTTGCTTTTTTTTTCTTAATATACATAGCCATCTGTTCAGAACAAGAAACTTAAAACATGTTTAAAATGGTAAATTCTTCTAGACAAATCTTGCAATTAAGCCCCGCCTCTCGATTTGTCAACCAAGAAAAATTCATCCCAATTGAGAATTGAGATCGGGGCGGGTATGGGTGGGGCCTAATCTTTGGCTTTATTTTTTTCTTAATATACATTGTATTCTTTGAACAACAGGATACTCAAAAACATGTTTTTAATTTCTCGCAGAGAAATAAGGATTTTGCAGTTAAGCTCCGCCTTGCTGGCTCACAACGAATAAAAAAAATATGATCACAATTGAGATAGGGCGGGTGGGTGGGGCTACATTTAGACTTTTTTTTTGCTTAATATGTGTAGACTTACTTCGACAACCAGAAACTTAAAACATGTTTAAAATGGTACATTTTTGTAGAAATCAACTTAAATCGTCCACTTTTCTTCTGCAACCTCTTTAAATACGGCAAAAGTTGAACATTAAAGTTACTATCAACGGCAACTTGGCAACGGAGTTTATAAATGACAGTTTTCAGCTCTTAAAGGCAAGTCAGCGGGGACAGCAACGTCAAGAGCAAGTTATAAACCCCACTTTAAAGTTACTAACGACAAAAAGTTCATTTTATAGGTTAGGACGCAAATTTAAAGATAGATATTATATTGAAATCTGAATAAAATAGAATGGAATAAAAACAGTTTGCTAAGTATGTACTCATTTCAGCTTATAATAGAAGTTTTCAATTACAAAATGTACGAATATAAATTGTTTTTGGCATTTTTTCTCGTTTCCCATTTTTCATTTACATTTCGTATTCATGTGCACTTCCGATTTCTCATTTCTCGTTTGCAGTTTCACAATTTGTATTCCGCGTTTGTCTTTTTCATTTCTCATGATGAGAGTGAGATATAAGAAGTAGAGATGTGTCGTTCGCGAACGAACGAATCAAACTGAACGGGTCGTTCGAATGAACGAGTGACCGAAATCGTTCCCAACGCAAACTAGTCGTTCTTTCGTTCATTTCGTTCACTCGTTCACCGTTCGTTCACATTGTCTCGACTGGATCTTGGTTTCGTTGGATCTTTGAATCATGGCACCAGCACAGTTCTATGTTCTGTATCCAATACTAGGAGCACATGCTATGCTATTTATGGAATTAACTAAGAACGTAAGTTTTCCAGACAGATTAATTCCAGTAGTATGAATTTAAATTAGGAACCGGGAACAAAAATGACAATTTATGACGATAACTTATATACAATGTTCATAAACGACTGAACATTAGAAACTAAATAAATAAATGTAAATTAAGAATTATTATTACTATTGTAATGATTATTAATAAAAAAAAATCCGTGTTATTTTTTTAGAATACAGGATTGTGTGACGTCAGATTAAATCGTTTTAAATATGCTACGACCTGATTAATTAAGAATATTTAACATTTAACGTTCATTTGTTTTTGTCTATGACATTCAACTTTTTTTTAATACATCGTATACATTGTTTAGAGATTCTTCTAGGTTTTTTTTTAATTCTTTGATTTAGCATATGCCATATTTTACTGAAAAGTTGCTTGGAAGCTGTGATAAAAACGAATTTAATTTTTGTGTCGAAAGTGCTATTGATGTATTTATTAACACAATTATTTACGTCCACAAATTCAAGTTACTTTTTTTAAATATTAAATTATTATTTATACATCACAGAATTCAGAAAAAAATCGTTACATGAATCTCTAAAAAATGGGAGGCATTAAAAAAAATTAAATGTAGACAAAACCAAATAAACGTTAAATCATTAATTTTTCGAATCAGATCATAGTATATTTCAAACGATTTAATTTGACGTATCACACAATGCAGTATTCGAAAAAAAAAGACAGCAATGGCCCGGGTTTTTTTTCTGAATACCTATGCGATAGTTCTGAGCATGACCTTCCCTATAAAGTGATCAGATTCAAGCAAAAGGGAAACTAAGACCATTGACCGAAGAGCCGAAAGACCGAATGATTCATCAATAGATCCCTGAGCCTTGAATGATTAAGAACGAAGTGAACGGTGAACGAAGTGAACGAAATGAACGAAATGAACGAAATGAACGACATTTGACGACCGGGTCTTCGTAACGACCGAACGATGAACGATCCGTTCGTAGTGATGACCGAATCTGCCCATCCCTAATAAGAAGTAAGAAACGTAAATGAGAAATGGAAGAAATAATTTCAGTTCGGAGCTGATCCACCACAACACTCCCCACGAAAAAGTAAAAAATGTGAGTTTGAAATTGTTCGATGTTTTTTGAAGTCGACGAAAAAATACACCAAGATCTACAGAAAAAAAAAACACGAAGATAAAAAACAACCAGTTAAGGCATACGATTAACAGAACTATTCGGAAAATATATAGTAAAAACCTATAATTCATGTATTTCGTTCGATGTTCATACAGACATTGTTTAACTAGATTTTTTTTAGATACTTCATAACCGAGGAAGAAATATATTGAAATCCAGACGTTCTACAAAGAACTGCCATTCAGATTTGACAGATTTGACTTCTAAACGAGCACCAACCGTAAAGCTAAAAATTACCAAATTCGAAGACGGCAGGGAGACCAACCTGACGGCCTTATGACACTGCGGATGTCCATGCAAACGGGTAATAAATATTGTGAAACTTGTTATAAATTTCAAAATATTTCCACTAAAAATGTTGTAGACTTTTTAGATTGAGATCAAGATATTTATTGATTAGTAGCATGTTCTTACTAACTACTAGAAATCAAATTTAATTGTTAAGTGAATAAGGTTTTTATAGGTTTTTTACTACTTGATTACTATAATGTTCACCAGTTTCTTTGTTAAACACAAATTAGCATGTTATAGGTCTCCTACTAACTTTCTCAGAAGTAGGTAGTAAAACTTTAGATGAAAGCGAAGTAATTATGAAGCAAATTTAATGTTAATGTTAATGGAGTGAACATGAGAATAAACAATTTAAAATTAACAACCATCAGGTATTCTCCTGCGTTTTCACTGACCGGTTTTCAATATTTGTCACTTACTGTCTTTTTTACTCCCCGAGCATAAGCTGAGTTCTACTATTACTAAAGTGAAACTTTTTATTTACAAAAAATATTAACTTTAAAATTCGATTTAACGTACATTGACTTCAAAAATCTATAATTGCATTGTTTGTAGCAAATAAGAATGTTGACTTACAAATGTGTAAGATGAATTCAATATAAATCTGTATATAAGTATTTTACGTATCTTTAAATTCCTGTTTAGAAATATGCTCTGTATAGAACATTTATAAATGGGCAAACTAGTGTCAAAAAATAGTAAAAAGAAAAACGAAACAACCAAAAATGACAAACTAAAAAAATTTGCTCAAAGTAGGGAATTTAAGGCATTCTTATCCCCATGACGTTATCATTTAAAATCTTAATAGATGTAATGGTGTTATCTTTAGTTTGTTTATTCTTATTTCAAAACCTATACAAATATTTAATTAAAATTTGCAGTAGGTACATGTAAGCCATTTGATTGTTGATATTCTTGTCAGCATTGATGTTTTTAAATAATTTCCATGACTACTATATTTATTATAAAAATATTCATACATTGCTTATAATTATAATAGAATCACCTGCCAATTTATACATGTTATTAATTTTACATTGTTTGAATAGTAGGTATGTCCCTAATGAACAATTTTTACTTCTTATAGTTTCAGTTTTGAAACAGTGAATACACCAAATCAGTAGTGTAACAGTCCTAAAAAATTCGTGACGATTTGTGCAAATTCATCATAGGTCATTTTGTCAATGTTCACTCTTTCAGAGCAGAACTATAGACGCTCGAAGAAAATTATTGATTTTTCCAGATTTAGTTTTCAGTTGTCAAAATAAAGTCTAAAGACTGTTTTTCCGTTTTTCACCTGCTTATATTTATCGCAGCCTGGAATTTTAACGACAAACATTGTTCAAACTGGCGTGAAAGAGCTCGGTGTTTTGATTTTAGAGTCAGTAAATCATGAAATGAATAAACATAAAAACAACATTCATCAAACCCGATGCAGGAAATTAAAATGTCGTTATAATGGGTTTGTTGTTGTCAATTCTAAAATCGCCACATTTTTTTCGTTGCATTGTAGATTAAACAACCATTTTCACTTTTAATAGGTTAGACACGTTTTAACTATTACATATAATCTCAGACTTCTCGAAAACCATTCTATTCACATAATATTTTCCCACCATTGTTATTAAAATGGGCGTTATTCCAAACCTGTCAGGTGCGTTATGGAGTGGTCCCGTCAACCGCCGCATTGTTATCTGACGTAGGTCCCATTTTTAAAGGTCATTATTTATGAACGCTAGGGATGTTATAGACGTGTAGTTCCGGTAATCTCGTCACCGGAAGCGTTGTGCAACAATGTCACCGGATTTGCGCCAAACTATCCCCTTTCCAAATCCCAATTTTTTTTAATGCCGCTTTTATGAGATTCAGCTAGAAAGTGGTCGACTTTTCTTATTTTTATAGCGGAATTATCAGGTTGTAACCGCACGAAAACCAACCGCCAATTTTAAGCTTGAATTCTTTGGAAAATTGAATAAAACAAGCGAGAATAATTTAAAAAACGTACCTATTTCGAGCCGAGGGGACTATTCATGTAATCACACGCTGATAACAGGTGATACTGGTGTGTGGATTGAAACGTGGCGATTATAATAATTTAATAAGTGGCCTTATCGCACCGGTTGATAACATTTCGTTTCTTTACAATTTATTGCAATAATTAGGGTGCTAAACTCGGATATAGTTTAATTTTACGTTACGAAAAATATTGTTTGTATTAGTACGGCCAAAAAACACTTTTCGAGCCGTGTACACTTAGATTTATTCAAAGTTACCTGTTTCGCTTATTCTTGGTTAGTTGTCGAGAAACTACAAAGCTACGTCAAGCCACCTTTCCGAACACCTTGCGCACATTAAGTTGACCCCGCACTGTTTGTGTTCGCTCTTTCTGTTCCACACACAACAAGTTAGTGAGCGAAGAATTTTTTAAATGGGAATTAAAATGTCTGTGTTTAGTGCGCAGGTCGGTGCCATCCTTTATTTGCGGTGGCAACGCCACCAGAAGGCGGTTTCTTTCAAATCTAATAAATTTACGACACACATTGTGATGTCACAGGTGTAAATAATATAGACTGTGTAAACGAACGTAGGCAACCGTTTATTGTAATTTTTGGTATTAATTCGAAATCAATGTTTCGGTTAAACTAGCAAAAGTTGTGCCATAAACGATATATACACACGCCCCACAAAAAGTGAAACACCCTGTATGCAATTTAAAATTGTTGCGTTTGTTTTAAGGCGTGTAATTGACCTGGAGCTGCGAGTTTCTTTTTTTGGAGCGAATTAACATTAATTTATGCAAAGATGTTACGCTAGGAACTAATAGTACTCCATTATACTAATCTTCGTTGAAAAAGTTAGAGTTTTGTACTTGTCTGCATTTTATTAAACGGGTGAATTGCCCTCACTGAAGGTTGAATGTTCAAGGTGAGTGCTTTAGCAAAAGAAACGTCACACGGACTGTGGTTGATCGTAACATGATGTGCACAGTGGGTTAATTATATAATAGTAAAATTACTAACAGACAGACGCCGACAGATAGACGGAAACGGGAAAGCGTTTCCTTAATTAAAAAAAAAAGAACGTACACAAAGTAAAATTACTGAATTAATGTAGGTGCAGTATTCTAACTAGTGAATTAATAATACTCACTGCTAACACCTGAAATCGTCTTCAAATTTGTAAGATTTGAAGGGGCCTTTAAATTTTCACATTTTGTGACAGGAATTTTGAAAACTACTGTTCGTTGTCAAAGCAAACTGCATTTTTAGTTTTTGTTAGGTTAAAACGTTTCAAATGAAAGCCAAATTACGTAAACTTACTTAAATTTATTTACAAGAGTATTTACAATGTTCACCTTAAAATAGATAACTACATTAATAATTTAAGTTTATCTATATTTCCTGTCCATAAATTCTCTTGGGAATGATTGTACAGTCGCTGTACATTATTATTATTACATTATCTAGATGAACATTTCACTGGTGATGTATCATGATTTTATTTGGTCCAGGATATGAGAATAACTTAATGGAGTCGATTAACATTAAGGGAATAGTTCACTTTAGTTCAATAGTAATAATAAAAAAAAACAAAATCAACGCTTTAACAAACAATCAACTTTATCTAAACGTTCCCTTCATACAAGGATGCTGATAATGATTGTATTTAACATCTCATTCCACTTTCACCCACTTTCGCACACCATTCGCACCAAAATTTAGGACTGCTTCGGATGAGGGACCACAGCTTGTGGTTGCGCTTTGAAACACTGCAGGAGGAAAGCCGTGTATATGACGAAAGCGATGCTGATGGCGAATAATGCGTACATAAAAATGTTCAGTTCTGGCTGCCTAAAGCGATTCTTTCGCATCCATTCCAAAACGTCGGCTTCGGAATGCATGTCCCCTCGGTATATGCTGGGAAAGCGCCTACGGAAGTAGACTATGGCAGGAAGATTAGTGACCCCCCATTTTCTGGCGTAACGCGGATCCGCCATCTTGACGAACGTTATGTCGAAGTTGTCGGTCTCGCTGTCGATGTTTTCGAGCCTTTCCATGATGACTTTGCTCTCTTCGGTATTGAGTTCGTCTGGAAGTTGTGTCATTGTTAATTGCACAAATTGGGTTGAATCATGACTTACAGAAGAAGACGGTCACGAACTCGTTCTCTTCCAACAATTTCTCCAACATTTTCTTGTTGACTTCTTCGATTTCGTTCTTGATTTCGAAAACGTCTTGGGAGGTTAGCCAGTCGAGGACTTTGTCCGACTGGGTTAAGTCGCCTTCGTACACCATGGGGGTTTTCTTGCGGAAATACATGAGAGCCGGGAGGTTGTGGAGACCTTGTTCAGCAGCGGCCTCAGCACTACAGATCTTGACAAAGTCGATTCCAAACATGTCTGCTTCCCCGTCGATTTCTTCCAAGTTTTCTAAAATTTCGTCGCACTCAGGACAATCTTCGTCATCTAGAAACACGAGTTAGATTGAATTAGGACAGTCGTGGTACTTACAAAAGAAGACGGCGAGAAAAGGCGATTCGTTGAGTAATCTTGTCAACATTCTCTCGTTAACGGATTCTATTTCGTCCGCTAGCTCTCTGTTATCGTCGTCGATCAGCCACTCGAGAACCGAATCTTCGTTCTGGAGGTCACCTTCGAACAACAGAGGGTTACCGTTTCTGAAGTAGACTAGTGCAGGGAATGTCTTGATGCTGTAGCGTTTTGCTAGTTGGGGATCCTGGATGCGGACCAACTGGATTCCGTAGACGTCACATTCGTCGTCGATTTTCTCCAAGTCTTCTAGGATTTGTTCGCAGATGTGACAGTTCTGTTTGTAGAAGTAAACAGCTAAGTATTGGGTGTCTTGGACTAAGTTTTCAAGCATCACTCGTGTGATTAGCTCGATTCTGTCTTCGGTCCGTTGTTGTATCAGCCATTGGAGCACTTCTTCCTCTTCTTCTAAGTCTCCTTCGAACACCCCGCCGACTCCCTCTTCGAAGTACATCAGGATTGGGAAATCCGTCGCTCCGTACTGTTCCGCGATCTTCAAATCCTGCGTTTTGACGAAGAGAATCCCGTGACGTTCGCAATCGTCGTCGATGTTCTCTAGTTCTTCCAGAATGTGGGCACACTGTTCGCACTCGTCGCTATCTGTGGTAAAGACATCGTGAGACCGCTTAAATTGGATTTAGTCTGGTGAACGGAAAGAAACGTGCGCTTAGTTTCGTTTCGTTCATGCTACAATAAGATCAAAAAATCTACAGTACCTAGGTTTTCTATTGTTAAAAGTTATCTAAGGAAACGAGGATTTTTGTGTACGGGTTTTTGAAAAAAAGTGGAAAACCAAAGTTCTGTGTGTAATTCAGTGTCATAGTGTTTATGGATGAAGAAACAGTCGTTGATCGTCGAAAGAAAGACTTGAGGAAAAGTGTCCCTGTATGTGGAAAAGCATATTCACAACACTCTACTACGGGAAAAAAGTACCGTCTTTATTCGTTTCGACTTCTTCCTCGGACGTAGTCCGCATTTTGTGAGTCTTCCTTCCTTGATGTTGCTCTTGTGTTTCGCACATATCACACAAAGTCTTGTTCCCTGCGCACATACATCCAGACGTAGAGATAATCAATTGCAACTAGTACTAGTAATCAGTTACTCTACACACATCGAGTTATCATTTCATTCTTAAGAAAGCGAACTAGCGCCAAACTGTTGCAGTACTTACAGAAATAAACCGCCAGTGCGGCTTCTTCTTCGATTAGTTTAACCAGCTCGCTCCCTTCGGTCGCTTCGATCACATCCCCAGAAGGATCCTTCTGGGTCATCATCCACTGCAAGATCTGCTGCTCGTCGTACAAATCCCCAGCGTAAATAACAGGCTCCCTGGACCCCAACTTGAAGAAAAGAATCGCAGGTAGCGCAAAAACCCCCAACTGCTTGGCCATTTGTTTATCGTCGATCTTGACAAAGTTGATCCCTGCTGCGTCCGCTTCGTCATCTATGTGTTCGCATTCCGCAAGAACCCTCGGGCACTGCTTGCAATCGTTGCTGTCTGAAAACGCACTTTAGACCAAGCGCAACCGAAATCCACACTTACAAATAAACACAGCCACGTAGTCGGACCGTTGTCGGATTTTCTCGAACATTTTTCGGTTGACGCGTTCGATGTGGTCCGTCAATTCCATGTTCTCCGGGTCCGTGAGCCAGTCTAAGATCTCCTCTTCGTCGTCGATGTCCCCGTCGTACTTAATCGGTTTGCCTTTGCGGAAGTACGTGATGCCTGGAGGGTCTCTGTAGCCGTACTTTTTGGCCATCAGGCGATCTCTCATTTTGACGATTTTGATTCCGTACTCTGCGGCTTCGTCATCGATCAGTTCCAGGTGTCTCAGAATTCGAGGACTGTCCGGATCTTCTTCTTTGTCTGTAATTTGGGTGTTAATTTTTGGCGCAAGAGTGGGGTTAGAGCATACAGAAAATAACTGCGAGGAATTCTTTCGTTCCAATGTATTTGAAGAGAGTGTCTCTGTCTATTTCTTGGATGCTTTCGTCCTCCTTTTGGTCCATCATCCATTCTAACACTTCGTTCTCGTCGAATAAGTTTCCTGGGAAAGGACGGTAGGTGTTTTAGTCGAGGGGCGTTGTCGAGGGAGGAGATAGTTATGGAATGGCTATAACGATAACTTACCGGTTATTGGCTATATGCGTACACTAAGCAGAATCTTTTATTAGGGCGTGTCGTTGCATTTAAACCATGGAATAACAGTAATAGAAAACAATTTATTATAACGTAAGATTTACATGTGTGATGTTATGTACATGCGAGGTGTTCGGCAGTGACTTTAGCGCTGACACCGATAAGATCACGTCCCCGAATGCAACTGGTCAATGCAAATACGTAGAGCCTTTTAACGATTCAAAAGTCAGGTGAATTCAGGGCATTGGTTATTCTACAGTGAACAGAATATACAGTCATGCGTTCAAAAATGCTACATCTAAACGATTTCTATATTTAAATGTTAATGTTCTAATAGTATTTACAGATGGTTCGATTAACAGTCTGAATAAGAGTTTTACAAAATGATTTACTTTTTCTTTCATTTTTTTTTTTTTGATAAAAACACAACAAATCACTCAAAAGCCTTAACAAGAGCAGAAAATAAAACAAAGTCAATAGAGTCGATGGTTCGCTTGAGAAAACAAAAGTCTGCGTCGAAGAGTTCACGCTTCACATGGAACATGTGTTGATTAGATTCCGCTACCTACCACCACCATATATATTTACCGGTCCCGAAAAAGCTCTTTTTTCCTTTTCCCTTTTCCGCTTTGACCGGCACGTTTTTCTCTTTGTTTTCCTTGTTAAGTTTGGTGGGATGGTTAGCCTTCGAAACGGGTTTCAACGGGGCAAGTTTCTCGGGTTTTTTACTTTCTTTAGGGACGGCTCGGGTGGTTTTAGTGGCTGGTTTAGCTCCTTTAGCGGCTATTTTTGCAAATTTGCTTCCTTGACTCGGTTTACTACTAGGACAGCATTGGTAGGGTTCGTAGGAAGGGTTGGGAAGCCGGCCTTTGCCCCCCATTCCGATGTAGAAGCAACCATCCCCTGCAGCAGGAAACATAATGTCAGAATTCACCCGAAATATAGAGAAAGTGGTTCATTATTAGGAGCATTTAGCTGTTAGTAACTTAAGGTACAAGGAGTGAGTCTGACACTATGTCCTGCATGCAGCATCAAAGGGAAACACATGCACAGACAAGGACACCCACTCCAGAAGCGATTACACCGTTCCAGGGCCTGCCGGATTCGGTCATCAACGCTCAACCTTCTCTTCCCGTTTACCTGAAAACATTCCCTTAACCAAATCATTTTGTACGCCAATATCGTCATCATCATCATCATCATCTTCGTCGCTATCGTCGTCGTCATCATCATCATCGTCGTCGTCGTCTTCATCATCATCATCGTCGTCGTCGTCGTAATCGTCGTCGTCGTCATCATCATCGTCATCCGAATCATCACCTAGGACATCATAGCAACATGCAGCCATCATGCAACACACACGCCCGCGACCGAAGCATAAGCCAATGTTTTGTTTTATTTTTTTATTTTTATAGTCGCGTTTCGATCATTTAATTGATTAACATTTAGAATTTAGAGAAAAATACAAGAGAAATTGTCTTACTTTTCTGGTTAACTAGCCATTCCAGAACTCTCTCCTCCTTTTCAAGATCACCTATAAAATAGGCACATTAATCATCCGACCGATCTACACACTACTTACGAAAAGGCTATAGGGATCCTGTTAACGAAATTATTTTGCACATTCAAACACAACTTTGCTTACCATCGTACATTATAGGCACTCCAGTTTCATAATAAACCAAAGCGGGAAAACTAAATATACCAATCTCTGATGCCAATTTCGAATCTTTTGATTTCACAAACTGAATACCGTGCTGATCTGTATCATCGTCAATATTCTCCAACTCTTCTAAAACTTCGTCGCAATCGTCACAATCGTCGGTGTAAAAGAGAACCGCCAAATGTTCCACATCACTGATGAGACCCTGTGGAACCAGTTTCAGTTTTAATAAATCACACTGTATTTACATCAGTAACTAAAATACACCAATCAAGCACAGCCGACACCGGGAAACCTGCGGGTAATAAAAATAATAGTGGTAATAATAACAGCCTTTATTGAGCAATCGTCTTCAAAAGTACAACTGATTAAATCTTCCCTAACTAAAACGAACTTACAATAACAATGATAAAAAGCAAATATAATTATAAACGTAGGAACACAATACAGCAAAAGAAACAGAACGGATCCACGTACAGAGCCTTGTGGAACGCCAGAAATAATAGACGAAGCAAAAATGATAAACGCATTTAACAAGTCATGGGTGTATTGGAACGCCCAAGCTGTCAGAAGCTTTGGACATTTGAAAAATGTTACGAGACTAACCTTTGACTTTAAGTCTCTTAAGTAACTTAGATTTATTTACCTGAAGTGTTTTCCTGTCGACACTCTCAATAACATCAGGGGCGGAATCGCGCAAGTTTAGAACCCAGTCGAGAATAGCCTCCTCGTGCATCAAATCTCCCGTGTAAATATCTCTGAATCTGTGCCTGTAAAACGCCAAGGCCGGAAGCGACGGCAAATCGTACTCTTTCTCTATTCCTTCGTCGGAAATCTTAACGAAATCTATATCTTTATCCTCACACTCGTCATCAATGTTTTCCAACTCCTGCAAGATCTTCTGGCACTTCTTGTCACCTTCTTTATCTGAAACAGACTCGTTAGACTGGTGTCGTTGGCGTAATTGTCAGTTTTTACAGAAGTATACCACAACATGGTCGTTCTCCGTCAAGATCTTATCCAACATCTTCGAATTTACCTCTTCGATGCGGTCAGGAATCTCCAGAGTGTCTTCGTCTGTAAGCCAAGCGAGAACCTCATCTTCGTCTTGGATGTCTCCAGAGTAAATCAAAGGTTCCTTGTTTCGGAAGAACACCAACTTCGGGAAAGTCTTAATTCCGTGCTTCTTCGCCAAACCCGCATCTTCAGTCGTCACGAAGATGATTCCAGTTTCGTCTAGCTCGTCGTCGATGTTTTCCAATTCTTCCAGAATGTCGTCGCATTTTTCGCCTTCTTCACAGTTCCCGCTGAAGTAAACCACCACATACTCGTGCTCTTGAATCAAGTCTTCAAGAATTTCATCAGTCACTTCTTCAATAGTGGCAGAGGTCTTCTGTTCGATCAACCATTGGAGAACTTCGTCTTCGTTCATCAGATCGCCCTCGTAGAGAGAAGGAATTTTGTCTTCGAAGTACACCAGAGTCGGGAGGTGGTCAATCCCGAATTCTTTGGCTTCGGCATCGTTGTCGATGCGCACTATCACGATCCCTTCTTTTTCCAAATCGTCGTCGATGTTCTCTAGCTCGTTCAAAACTCGAATGTCTTGCTTGTCATCTTTGTCATCTGGAATATCTCGCTTGGATTAAAGTTCCGCGTTTTGGCATACTTGGTGGCGTACTTACAGAATAGTACTGCAAGGTACTTCGTGTTGTCAATTAGGCGATCCATCATTTCGTCGGTGATGTCAGGGATTTCACTGTGGCGCTTTTGGTGCAGGAGCCACCCGAGAAGTTCGTCTTCTTTGAGCAGATCTCCCTCATACAGATGAGGAATTCTTTTTTCGAAAAACACCAAACTAGGAATGGCGTCAATTCCGTACTCCTTGGCTTCATTCGTGTCGTCGATCTTCACAAACGCGATGTGGTTTTGGTCGCACTCGTCGTCAATGTTTTCCAACTCCGCCAAGACCTTCTGACTTTTCTTCTGACCTTTGTCATCTGTACAAACACGACTTTGGCAATCGTCGAGAGACATCAGTGGTACTTACAAAACAGGACTGCTACGTGTTGCTTCTTATCGATAAGAAGATCCAGCATTTCGTCCGTGACGTCTTCGATCTCGTCGCTCTTGATCTGGTGCTCGAGCCACTTGAGAACCTTCTCCTCCTCCTCGAGATTCCCTTCATACAGCGTCGGTATTCCGTTTTCGAAATAGACCAAAGACGGAATTTTCTCGATCCCGTATTCTTGAGCTTCTTCGTCGTTATCAATTTTCACGAAAACGATTCCGAGCTGGTCGCATTCGTCGTCAATGTTTTCTAGTTCGTTGAGGACTCGCTGTGACTTCCTGTCATCTTCATTATCTGAAAAACTTCTATCAAACGAACGATTAGACGAAACCCCTTGGGGACGTACAAAACAGAACCGCCAGATTCTTTCCTTCGTTTATCAGCTTGTCGAGCATTTCATCAGTGACGTCCTCGATTTCGTCCTTCTCGAGTTGCTGCACTAACCACTCCAGGAACTCTTCTTCTTGCTCGAGGTCTCCGTCGTAGACATTCGGGATTCCCTTTTCGAAGTACACGATCGCGGGAAGGGTGTCTAGACCGTATTCTTCGGCTGCTGCACCGTCGTCGATCTTCACGAACTGAATTCCGTACTTGTCGCAGTCGTCGTCGATGTGTTCCAGTTCCTCGAGGGCTGCCATGGATTCTTCATCTCCGTGGTCGTCTGAACGAAAAATGGAATCATAAAAATACCATGTGAAGATAAGAGATACATTGGTAAAGAAAAGTGACGTTCAGGTCAAAGATAAGCCAATGAAGTAGTGTATAGTTCTGGCTGACTTTTAGGCGGGAAATTTGAATTGTTGCACATGCGTGGTGAGAAATTCAAAACCGGCTCTTGCGCGGGAAGTTCAAACTGACCAATTAAAAATATTTATTTTCTTTTAAATCATCGAGAGATCGAAAAATTAAAAATTGAAAAATCGTTAAATTGTAAAATTTAAAATTTAACAAAAATAGAAAAATCAAAAAATTGAAAATACGAAAAATCAAGAAATTGAACAATCAAAAAATCGTAATATCGAATTCTCGATAAATCCAAAAATGTAAAAATTGAAAAAATGGAAAAATAAAAAAATCGAAAAGTTGAAAAACCCAAAAGTCGAACAGTCGAAAGGTTGAGAACTCTGATCACCCAAAAATTGAGTAATCTAACTGTTAGAAATTCGAAAAATTGAAAAATAGAAAAATCGAAAAATTAAAATATCGAAAAATCCGAAAAATTCCCAAAATCTAAATGTGAATAATCGAGAAATCGAAAAATGAAGAACCAAAAAATTGAAGTATTAAAAATTCAAAAATAAGAAGAGCGAAACACTAAAAAATTGTAAAGTTGAAAAACTTAAAAATATAATAAAAATTGAAAAAACTCGAAGCATTGAAAAATAAAAAATTTGAAGAATCGTAAAACTGAAAAATCGAAAAATTGAAAAGTCGAAAAATCGAAAGATCAAAACATAAAAAATTGAAAGTTGTAAAACTGTAAAATTTAAAATTTTAAAAATCGAAAAATCAAAAAGAAAAATAAAAAAATCGTAACGTCGAATTGTCGATAAATTAAAAAATGTTAAAATTCAAAAGATGATAAACTAAAAAATTCGAAAAATTGAAAAATAGAAAAATCGAAAAATCGAAAAATTAAACCATCGAAAAATCGGGAGATTAAAAAATTTCCAAAATTGAAGTGTTGAAAAATTGAGAAATTGAAAATTTGAAAAATCAAGAAATCGGAAAATCGAAATTTTTTTTAAATCGGCAAACCGAGATGTCAGAACTATTAAAAATTGAAAATTAAGGAAAGCAAAACAAAACTGAAAAATCGGAAAATGCAATAAAAATTTGACAAATAGAAAAACTGAAAAATCGAGAAATTAAAATATTCCAAAACTTAGCAATCGGAAAATCGAAACATCGAGAAATCGAAAAATTAAAAGATCGAGAAATCAAGAAATCGAAAAGTTGAAAAGTCGAAAAAACGAAATATCGAGACACAAAAGTGACATAAAATCGAAGGATTAAAAATTGAAATATTGGAAAATATAAAATTCCAAAAAATCGAATAGTCGGGAAATTAAACAATCGAAAAACCTTACCATCGAAATTTCGAGAAATCCAGAAATCAAAAAAATGAAAATTTGAAAAATTCGAAAAATTCAAAAATTCGTAAAATTGAAAAACCGAAAAATGGAATACAATTGAAAATCTCAAAAATCGAAAAACTGACAAATCGAGAAATTAAAAAATCGTGAAACTGAAAAATAACAAAATTTAAAAATGTAAAAAAAAATCAACAAATGACAAACTGAAAAAGCGAAAATTTGAAGAATCGAAAAACTGGGAAATCGAGAAATTAAAAAATCCCAAAACAGAAATATCGAGAAATTGGGAAATCGACAGATTATAAAAACTTAGAAATCGGAAAACCGAAATATCGAAAAATCGAAGTGGGATAAAATCGAAAAATCGACGAATTAAAAATTGGAAAATTGGAAAATTAAACTATCGAAAAATCGAGAAATCGGAAAATTAAAAAATCCCAAAACTGAAATATCGAGAAATTGGGAAATTGAAAAATTATAAAAACAACATTAAAAGATCGGAAAATCAAAAAGTCAAAAAAACCAGAAATATCGAGAAAACGAAGTGGCATAAAATCGAAAAAGTGGAAAATCTAAAATTAAAACAATCGAACAGTCGGGAAATTAAACAATCGAAAAATCTTACCATCGAAATTTCGAGAAATCTAGAAATAGAAAAATTGAAAATTTGATAAAATGGAAAATTTAAAAAGTCATAAAACTGAAAAATCGGAAAATGTAATACAAATTTAACAAATGAAAAAGTTGAAAAATTGAAAATCTCAAGAATCGGAAAACTGAAAAATCGAGAAATTAAAAAATCGTAAAACTGAAAAATTAAAAAATCTAAAAATCTAAAAAAAATTAACAAATGACAAACTGAAAAAGCGAAAATCTGAAGAATCGAAAAACTGGGAAATCGGAAAATTATAAAAACAACATTAAAAGATCGAAAAATCAAAAAATCGAAAAGTTGACAAGTCAAAAAAACAAGAAATATCGAGAAATCGAAGTGGCATAAAATCGAAAAAGTGGAAAATCTAAAATTAAAAAAATTGAACAGTCGGGAAATTAAACGATCGAAAAATCTTACCATCGAAATTTCGAGAAATCTAGAAATAGAAAAATTGAAAATTTGATAAAATGGAAAAATTAAAAAGTCATAAAACTGAAAAATCGGAAAATGTAATACAAATTTAACAAATGAAAAAATTGAAAAATTGAAAATCTCAAAAATCGAAAAAATGACAAATCGAGAAATTAAAAAATCGTAAAACTGAAAAATTAAAAAAATTAAAAATGTAAAAAAAAATTAACAAATGACAAACTGAAAAAGCGAAAATCTGAAGAATCGAAAAACTGGGAAATCGGGAAATTAAAAAATCCCCAAACAGAAATATCGAGAAATTGGTAAAAAATATTGGAATTATAAAAACTTAAAAATCGGAAAACCGAAATATCGAAAAATCGAAGCGGGATAAAATAGAAAAATCGACGAATTAAAAATCCAGAAATTGAAAAATTCCCAAAACTGAAATGTTAAAAAATTGAGAAATTGAAAACTTGAAAAATCGAGAAATCGGAAGATCGAAAAATTTTTAAAATCAAAAAACCGGGAAATCAAACAATTGAAATATTAAAAATGAAAAAAATAAGGAAAGCGGAACATCAAAAAATCGTAAAATTGAAAAATTGAAAAATCAAAAAATGTTATAAAAATTTAACAAATGGAAAAATCGAAAAATCGAAAAATCGAAAATCTCAAGAATCCCAAAACTGAAATATCGAAAAATTGATAAATCGAGAAATTATAAAAACTTAGAAATCGGAAAATCGAAACATCGAGAAATCGAAACCTTAAAAAGTCGAGAAATCAAGAAATCGAAAAATTGAAAATTTGAAAAAATGGAAAAATTACAAAACTGTAAAACTGAAAAATATAAAAATCGAAAAATGTAATAAAAATTTAACAAATAAAAAATTGAAAAATCGAAAATCTGAAGAATCGAAAACTGAAAAATCGAGAAATTAAAAATTTTCGAAACTGAAATATTAGAAATCGGAAAATCGAAACATCAAAAAATTGAAAGATCGAGAAGTCGAAACATTAATAGATCGAGAAATCAAGAAATCGAAAAATTGAGAAGTTGAAAGACTGAAATATCAAGAAATCGAAGTGACATAAAATCGAAAAATAGAAGAATTAAAAATTGAAAAGTTGTAAAATTTAAAATATAAAAAAATCGAAAAACAAAAAAAGAATAAAAAAATCGGGAAATTGAACAAAATTTGACAATAATCAGTCCAGTAATTTCGGATATTATCTGTCGAATAAAAATCGACACAGACGGCGGGCGGACAGACAGACAGACAGACAGACAGATGGACAAATAGTCGGATACTGGGGACCTATTTTTTGTACTGATTGGACAATGAAACGTCGAGAAAAAGTGAAAGTAGCCAGTCGCCCGATGGACTGGAATGTAATAGTAATGAATATTTTTGTTCATAATAAATGATGAAAACATACTTTCACAGGGTGTTTCACTTGATAACTTTTTTATTTACAAAAAATAAACTTCTGAAGCAACGTATTATTTATTTTATCTAACAGGGCGCCAGGCAAGAAGCCTTCGTGTTAGTCCTTTTTAAATGTTAAAAAGTATCCAAACATTCTACGCATGTGCACGTTTGAATTTGGCGGATGTGTCCCTAAAGTTACACTTTGGCACTCTTTAACGTAAATACATAAACAAATTAGGTTTCTGTGATTTGTCTAATTTAATTATTTATCAGAAACACATAGCAAAATTTTTTTCTATAATAAATATAGACACACATTTGGAAATATATAATTAAATATGGCGCCAACAACTGTCTAATGCATAAAAGAGTATCCACATATGAAATTAGAAAAAAATGGTAGAACAAAATTATCGTCAAAAAGTATATTACAACAAAAACAAGTCTAAAATAAGCGCAACAGAACGAAAAAACGTATATCGTGAAGTTACAGATTTTTATAAAGGAGTATGTCGATATATTAAATTCATGTTTAGCACATTTCTCTTGTAATAATATAATAATGCATTTCCAAGGATTACTGAAAGACTTTTCAATTGCAATGTGTTTCAAAAAATTATATTAAATAAATGCGTGTATGCAACCAGTTATACACGCAATCGATCCACACCTGTGAATTTTTAAAAGGTTTCGTTCGATGTTAAAAAATGATGATCGAGGATGTAGTTTGATGTGTCCGCAAGTCGATCATGAAACTATGAGAATCGTTCTAACCCAAACCACACATAAACTGTTAACAATAGATTTAAGTCAAGAGAAACAAAATTTTATAAAATGTACCACTAGAATAGAAATCAAATATCAAAATCTGACTATTTCCAAGAAACTTACAAAAGAGTACTGCCAGGTGATCCACGCTCTGGATAAGCGTCGACAGCGTTTTCAACGTTACGTCTTCAATGATGTCATCTTCATCCCCAGTGCTCTTATGCTGGACAAGCCACTCTAAAACGTCTTCTTCTCGGGTGAGTTCGCCTACAATTCCAGAGTTATTTTTGCAACCACTACAATTCAAATAAGATTCAAACCTTCATAGATGATGGGAATTTGATGTCTGTAATAAACCAGCGCCGGTAGAGGCTCGAGATTGTACTCTTCGGCCAGATTCTCGTCGTTAATCTTCACAAACCCGATTCCTAACTGATCCGCTTCGTCGTCAATATTTTCCAACTCCATCAGAACTTTGGAGCATTTTTTGCACTCTGGTTTATCTACACAGAAATAAGCATCACAAACGGCTTTGTTGCGAGGGCGCAGAAATACAACTTGAACTCTAATTAAAGACTCGGGGGTCGGTTCAAGTCGTACGGGTTTAAATTTGGCGGATATTGTTATGAACAGATGCCAATCAGCTGCCAGACCACGGAGTAGAAATTTGAGTTGCATTTCTTAATTACACCCGCTATTAGAAAATGGGGCAACGGAACCATGACACAAAAAGGCTCGAGTGGTCTAATTAATCGCTAGAATTATGTATAAATTATTTGGCAAAGATCAAGGGTCACAGTTCCCGAGAGCTTGCGTGAAATTTGGATAACGAAAATAAAATGGTTTTTGGATTCGCTCTCGGGAAGACATGCAAGCTGTACTGCTTAAGTTACTGGGGATTAATCAGATGACGATGATTTGGGGCAAACGTCTACTTGGGGCTGAGAAAATTCTGAGTACGTGGGGGTTATTTTTATAAAGTTATAAAATAATATAAAGCGGTGCTGGAAGACGAAGACGCATGCGTAGTGCTGTAAATATTGCAAAACATCGTCTGCAACTGAATCATTCCACTTTCGGTTTCAAATAATTGAGGAATATTTGAAATCAGATTTTGGGTGTCGTAATGAGTCAGGTGTAGACTTGACGGTTCCTTTTTTTAGAGAGACAACCAGGGAAACGTATACTTACTGACTCCTTTATGGGAACACGTACTTGCATCAGGACCTGTACATCACACACTTGATAAAAAAGTGGTTGTATAACATTCACAAATAGATATTTTTCCCAAAGGACAATGTTAATACAAGAGGAAGACTGAGTTCGTGTCGTACTGATTTCGAAAAATTTAAATTCACTTACAGAATAGCACGGCTACAAAATCTGTTTCTTGGACTATTTTGTCCAGAATTCTCGCATTCACTTCTTCGATGCGATCCGGCAGGTCCATCGCCTCCAAGCTCGTCAAGAAATCCAAAACGTTCTCTTCGTCCATAAGGTCTCCTGAAAGCAGTATCAGGTTTCACGATCGACTTCTCCTTATTTTTAGATGCACAAAATTTGGAGATATTTTGAATGTGTGTTAAATTATTTTTAGCAACATGTAATTTCCATGCTGAATTCATGACCCAAGTCCAAGTGAGAGAGAACTAGCCAGAAGGCTATTTATATCTAAAACAGTTTTAATGTCTGAAATTTTCATCCGATCTATCGCTTACTTATATATAACTAGCACTGATTACTTGATTGGATTATAAATAACCGCCCGTTGCTAATTTTCGAATTTTCGATTAGTTCGTGGAATCGATCAAGAACTTATTTTTAGCACGAACAATGACCAGACGGTTCTCGAGTGCCGAAAATTTGAGCTCTGATGATCGAAAAATAAACATCTGAGGCCGTAAATCGATTAATTGTGTTCGTGAAGAGGATTTCAGCTGGTTTTCGAGTACGTTGTGCTTTTTGGTGCTCGTATAAAGTTAAAAGTGGAGCTGTATCCATCAACTTATCGGATTAATGATAATACGAAAAGTTTATTATAAACATGGCAGTATTTGAGGAATTTCGCCACTGTAAAATAGAATTCTTGGCAAAAACGTTTGTTGCTAAAGTGATTTCATTATATCTACTATTACTGAAGTTTTGTAATCTTGCAACAAAACAGTAGAATAAATTACACGAGTTAGACTCGACTTTTTCCAAAAGAATCGTTCTCAGCAAATGTTTTCTTAAAACTGTCTTGAATAAGCCTTGATTATTTTTAACTATAGACGGTGCCACCATGCGTCACCGCTTGGAAAATGAACAACAATGAATGTATGAATCGCGACGAATTATGTAAGATAGGAGGCAACTTGAAAGTTTAAATCCTTTTTAAGGAGTCGTTGGTAACAATAATTCGGTTTTTACTAATTAAAATTTAAACAAACACCCATTGTACTCTCATTTTTTTGTTCTAATTGTTTATTGTGTTGGTTGTGTCAATATTGAGACATTTCATTAAAAATACATGTTTGTCTTCTTGAAAATTTAATAACATCTTTTTTTTTTACAAAGTTTTACAAAGTTCTAATTAAAAAACAACCGTTGGTGTTTGTTTTGACTTTGTATTTTAACGACCATGACGATTGTTTTTTTGAAGAGCAAATTTATTTTACGTTGTTTGCGTCAACCCAAAAGAGGCAAATTTAAACAATTTTAATATTATTAAACAAATTACTCACAGCAGGCGTTGGAATATCATTTGACACAAACGGCATGTCTATTCTTATAACATATGTCAGGTTGTTATAAGAACAGACATGCCGTTTGTGTCAAATGAAATTCCAACGCCTTCTCTAAGTGATTTTTCATTTGAATACTCACTACACTTTCATCAAAAAGTAATTGTCACGAGTTCAGAATAAATAATAATTAATTCACAACTGCAAAAATTCTCTTCACCATAGTACTATGGTTTTTTATTACCACACATGGACTATAAATGCATTATTACATATGACCGCTAATCGACTAATTTGTGTAACCAAATTACCTACAAACTTTTATCTACGACTTCAAAACTTATTTAAAAAGCAGTTAAAATAAATGAAAAAGGCTTTTGTTTGTTTAAAATAACGTTTGCGGAACTACTTTATATCGTTTGTAAGTAAAGTTATACCAATTTATATCACTACCTACTGATGGAAAAATTACTTTGAAAGCTCGAATTTTCTTTAAAATAGCCTCTTTTGTAAACTCTGGGAAATATTTGATCAATGAAAAGAGTATTCGTATAAAATACATCGTTCTCGATTACAATAATATTTTTGGTGTAGTTGAAAGAGTACATTGTATATTTATTTTGAACACGATACGGTAAAAAGTGCATTTTCGCTATTAGACTATTCCCATGGCAACGATGTCATGACGTCATATTTAATGTCAAGATTGTCATAGCAAACTTTTCTCAGAATTGTTGTTTTGGCACTTTCAATTTATCAAAGGTGCACAGTTGAACATTTAAAATGTGATATAAGTGATATAATAAAAATAAAACTTACGACTTTGGTTAACAAAGTAGTTGCGGAAACACTCAGATAGTTTGTCGAAATTTTGGTGTTGTGGATGGATGAAAAATTGAAAATGTTGAGAATAAAAACTATTCGTTTTTCGAAAGTGTCAAATGTAACAGTTAATGAATTATGAATAATTAAATTTATTATACAGAGTGACTATTAATGTATGTGATGTTTTTTTGTCAGGTTGGCAACATTTAAAATCTTATTATGGCAGACCTGATGGCCAAAATGTCATTTATGACACCAAGTTAATAGCTGCCAACGTGTCAATCAATCAACACTGACAACTGTGAATTGACATACTGGTATGGTTGCCAATAATTCAGAATTGCCAACATAAAAATTTGCTTCAGTTAATAATAGTCTCCTGTATTTTCAATTTTTTTTTAAATGGCAATACACATTATTGCGGACGAAATTGTTTAATATATATTTCTATCACAGCGTGATCAACAAGTAATGTTTGAGTTGTAAATACCAGATGACTGTTAATGATTGAAAAAAAAAATTGTGTTGGCAATTCTGAATTATTGAATGTTATTATGTCAGTTCATAATTGCCAACTTTGACAGTAACGCGCTTAACACGCCTTACAAACGTGATGAAAAGATGATTTTATTTTGTCAATCAGGTATACCATAAAATTTGAAATATGTTGCAAACCTGACAAATAAAATCATAATCATTAATAGTCACTTGATAACCAACTCTGGCAGGATATTCTTGTGCTGTTATTACCAAACGTGATTCAAATGTGTCGCGTTATGTCACTTTTTAGCGCCCAAGAAAGTTTGGTTACAACATTTTAATAACAATCAGAAGCAAATTTTGACTTAAATCAAATGTCACTATGTCAGTTTTGACAACAGGAAGTAAGCTAGAGTAACAGATCTACCAACTGCAAGAAAAGTTCATTGATAGTACTTGTTGATCAAGCTGTAGAAGAAAAGCTCAGATTTCCATAATGTATGAGATCAAAGATGTAAACTTTGGTGATACTTTAGTAAAAAGTTGGTCGAAAGTTGTTTCGACAGAACTTCCCTCGCTCTTCAAGTACTATGAAACATATCCAGCGTTTTCGAAAAATGATAAAATTTGATTTTGTGGATTTTATTTTTTTATGTGAACTCCTATAAGTTGAAATAAATATATATGTAAAGCGTATGTTTCAAATGGGTTTTTACTTTACAAAATTTTGTGACGACGTCATCAACATTTTTGCAAACACACGTATATATTTCGATTTAAACAATAAAATAAATTGACTCATTCATTGATTTTTATGAATCACCTGTATAAGAAATTTAAAACTTTTAATGCAATCACAAGTATAGATTCATTATATTTTGCACATTTTGGATAGGATTTATTCGGCAAATTTTGAGATGACGTAATCAATTTTTTGGGAGGGGATAAATGAACAAATTTTGCTTAACGATTTATCATGATTACGATAACGTTAAAATATTATTCATTTCAGAACAATCGGTTTTGCACTTTCACAGTTATATTGCAAAATATTGTTATTCAGTTTTGAATTTTTTTCAAATATTCTGGATGTCTAAGGTGAAAATTCGACACGGATTCATACACCACAAGTGCCGGACTATCTTATTTCATATGATTAAAAAAACCTTTTATTATAAGTTTTGCAGATGACGTCATCCTATTAGCGTTTAACCATCTACATACAAAATGTGACAACAATCGGTGCAGTAGTTTCGGAGATTACTTGTCTAACAAAAATGGATACAGACAAACAGACAGACAAATAGACAGACAGACAGATGGAAAGGAGAGACCACTTTTTTCGTATTATAGAGGTCATGACAGGTCGAGAAAATATGAAAGTGGCAATTCGGCCGATGGACTCGATGACAATACTTCCTTAGCTTAGGCTCGGGAAAAATTAAGCTGTATTAAGCTTTATGTATACAGAGTGTCCCATTTAAAACTCGGCGGCCTTATATCTTAAGAACGGACAAAGGTATTGAAATTCTGTAAACGCCATTAATTTTAGCTTGAAAGGGAAAGCTCAATTTAGTACATCAAATATGACGTATATATTTTTAAGGGATTTTAATATAATGATATACAACAATTACATTTTTTTTTCATATTTAGATGATGAAAAATAAATAAATTTTATGAACATAAAAAAATGAAAGTTGAGTGAAATAAAGATGTCTCACCATTTTCCGACAGCTCGAACATGACGTCATTTGTGTGTCATATTTGCAATGTACTAAATTAAATCCCCTTCAAACTAAAAATAATGGCCTTTGCAGAATTGCAATATCTCCATCTGTTCTCAAGATATAAGGCCGCCGAATTTTAACTGGGACACCTTGTATGGTAAAAAAATGCATATGGCAAGAGTTTTATTTACTGTATGAAATTATTGCTGAAAATTAATCACAAGAATAAACTTGAGAGAAAAGTAATAATAAGTACTAATGTTTTCCTATTTTAAACGAGTCGGTATCTTCCAATTTCTTTCAGATTCCCTTATATTTTTTCACATTCTCTCAAATTCCTTTAGATTCTTTCCGAATTTCCGAATTTCTCTCAAATTATCTCCGATTCCCTCAAATTCCTCTCGATTCTTTCAGATGCTTTCAGAGTTTTTTCATTTTCTTCTGAATGTCTCTTTCAAAATCTTTCGAAATTTTTCAGATGCTTTCAAAGACACCGTCAGGAATCCTCAAGATTCTTTCAAATGTTTCCAATATATTCAGATCATTTTAGATTCTTACAGATCCTTTCAGATATCTGCAGATTCTTTAAAATCTTTCCAAATTCCTCCAGTTTTTTTTATTGTCTTTGATTTTTCTAAATTCTTCAAAATTCCTCAAAAGTTCGCTTAGATTCTCGCAAGTTTACCATTTTAGAGATGTTTAAGTTTCTTGTTGTCGAAATAAGTATGCACATATTAAGAAAAAAAAAGACACAATGTAGCCCCGCCCACCCACCCTATCTCAATTGTGATGATTTTTTTATTCATCGTGAGCCAAGAAGGAGGAGCTTAACTGCAAAATCCTTATTTCTCTACGAGAAATTAAAAACATGTTTTTCTAAATTGTTCGAAATTCCTCAAAACTCGCTGAGATTCTCACAGGTTTCCTCAAATTCCTTCCAATTCCTTCCGAATCTTTCAATTTCTTTCAGATTCCCTGAAATTTTTTCACATTCTCTCAAATTCCTTTAGATTCTTTCCGAATTTCCGAATTTCTCTCAAATTTTCTCCGATTCCCTCAAATTCCTCTCGATTCTTTCAGATGCTTTCAAATTTTTTCATTTTCTTCTGAATGTTTCTTTCAGACTCTTTCAATTTTTTTATTCTTTCGGATTATTCCGGATGTTTTCGATGCTTCCAGATTGTTTCAGATTTTTTCGAAATTTTTCAGATGCTTTCAAAGACACCAGAATTCTTTTAAATTTTTCAATAATATTCAGATCATTTCAGATTCTTACAGATCCTTTCAGATATCTGCAGATTCTTTGAAATCCTTCCAAATTCCTCCAGTTTTTTTATTCCCTTTGATTTTTTTTAAATTCTTCAAAATTCCTCAAAAGTTCGCTTAGATTCTCACAAGTTTACCATTTTAGAAATGTTTAAGTTTCTTGTTGTCGAAATAAGTCTACACATATTAAGAAAAAAAAGGCAAAATGTAGTACATACATTCTTATATTTTGTGTTTTTTCAGATTTTATTATTTTATTGTTCTTACAGTATACTGTTTAGTTCAAAAATATTTTTTATAGTTGTAATTGAATTTTGAGAGCCTAATGCCACAAAAAGGAAATTCATTTGGTAGTAAATAGTTATTAGTTATTAAAATACGTTCATTATGAAGGGTCTATTCGATATATTTATTACTCCATATTATATTCTGTATAGAATTCCCGAACAGATGCAGTAATCAACTCTAAGCATAATAATTAACTAAACGGATTCAAGACACCTATTTTCTAACCAATAGGAACAGTCGGTTTGTTGTTTATGTGTTGATTAGGCACTTATATCACTACGCCCAGTATAGTTTGTTCTTTAAAGTTGTTAATCTTATCTCAGTATCTTTATCATAGAGATTTTGGAATTGTGGTAGGTACTTTACGTTATCATCAGTTAATTATTGTAGAGCAAGTCAGGAATTAATAAATTGAATAGATATGACATCTGGAAAGATTCCATAAGATAGAACGAAATTCTTAATATTGTATTAAATTTTGCAAGAAAAGTACAAACTTTTCCTTGTGTCATTGAAAAAACGTTGTAATATTCTATCTAGCACACACGTTGAAATAACGTTGATTTACGACGTTGCCACATCGTATATTTATGAAAGTAAATTTCAATGACTAACAGCTCAAAGGAAAATATTGTTTTAACGTCTACAACGTTCAAGCAATGTTAGTTCCACAAAAGTTGTTCATCACACAGCAGTTAAAAAATTGAAGTTAAAAAAACAAATGTTCGAAAATAAGTAAACCAATTCGCTATATGTTAACACGTGTCGAGTTAAATCAAATCCTGGCTTGAAACCCATCTTCCACTTCACCAGCCCCTGATTGATGCCTCTACCGTCACAGATAATTCCAGCCACCGACAAAAAGTGCACTAAATGCAAAAAAAGCCCCTTCCACCGAATGCGCACATTTCCATGGCGGTATTTATAGCAAAACCAACAAGCATCTCCTGAGCAAATAAACACCAAACGAAAGCCCTACCTTCGTAAATGATCGGCTGCTTTTCTCTAAAATAGGTAAGTGCAGGAAATTTGGTGATGCCATAGTGTTTGGCCAGTCGTTTATCGTTAATCTTGACGAAGTCCACTCCGAACGAGTCCGTGTCGTCGTCGATTTGCTCCAACTCTTGCAGCACCCGGTCGCACGTGGTGCAGCTGCGAGCATCTGCAACAGAAAATTCCACGTGCCGTGAAAACGATACTCCTCGTTCCAATTTTCGCAAAAACAATACACCTCCGGATTAAACACGGGTTTGTGAATAATGAAACTGCATTTCAAATGTATGCCAACATATTAATTTAAATTTTGAGTGAAGGTCGCACTTTTGGCACCGTGCCACGGTATTGCCCACCTGAGTTTTATACGCGGAAGCCGATTTTCGATATTCCGGAGCGAGATATTCGGGAGGGGCTAAATTTAGAGTGATATAGTGAGTACCGGAAGCAGAGGGCCATGCGGAAAGTGTGACGCGAGTGGGAAGAAATAAGGGAAAATTTCGTTGTGGTCCATGGCGACAGAGCTATCTTAATTAGAGAATACCAGAGAGGCTACAGCTTGAGGCATTGTGACCTTTATGAGAGAGTATTTGTAGACGAAAATTGCACTCACTGCAAAGTAAAAATGACTATTAACTATAGATTTTTTGCATTCTTAATTAATGACAATGTCTCAAGAATCACTCAAGTTGTTTTTTTTTAGTATTTAGTCTTGTGTTAAGGAAAGTCTATTCAACCTCTAACGTTCTGTCAGAGAGTGAAGTGAGCTGTATTAAATTACATGGCTTCTGAAATTCCTTCACCAAGAGAAGCAAATCCTAGGACATATGTTACTTCCAAGAAGGAATATTGAGAGTCCTAAAAAAGGTCTATTATCCCACATCTTAAAACGAAAGATAATTCAATTCTTGACTTTCAAGGAGCTTTCAGGGAGCGAAGTGAGCTACATTAGGGTATTTCTAATCAGTTTACCCATGTTCTGTGGTCATTAAATGAACTGTACTATCTTATCAAAATCTCAAAGAAATCCATTATGTAAGAATGAGAGAAAATGGCAGCGTAGCTGATGAAGACCTTTAATGTAGAGTTATTTCTGATGTTCCAAGGTTTAGCCAAAAGCTTTTGAATGAATATTATTCTTTTGGTCCCTTTTTTTCTAAAATATAATTTATAATCTCTAATTATTGTCATAATGAGATTTTTTTTAATTCTCTATACAAAAATTAAATAATTGGTTAAGGGTACGAAATTTAAAATCACCATCATCAAATGCTGGATTATACTGTTTTGCTATATTTACGACTGAAAAAATATATTATTTCCGGTGAAATCTGGCAGAGAACATTTTGGAACGAACAGCGGATTATTTTTTAGATCCGAGGATTTTTTTGTGTCGAAACTAACGTCAAAAAAAAGCAAAATTGGGGAAAAATCATTGTCTGCTGTTTATGAGAACTTTTAATTTACTGTACATTAAAATTAAACTACTTCTACATGTCCGACTCTCCCCTAGTATTATATCAAAGTTAATTAATGTAAAATACGAACCAAATCAAACTCCTTTTTTACATTTTTGAAATCTTCTATCTTCAAAGTTCAAAGTAAACATAAAAATGCACAATTTTTTTTCAAAATTCCGGTGATTGACAAGTGTTTTTTGCTTTTATTTATTTATTTAAGTTAAACGATGCTCGAAATTTTAATAAAATCCTATCCAAATCCCTCAAATTGACGGATGTAAACTTTCTTGTTTCAAAGTTACTTCATGATTTTCGTTCATTGTTTTGCATAAAATAGTTCTAGGCAAAAAATTAAGCAAAATAACGATGTAACACTTAAATTATAACACTGAACGTTGGCACAAAATCAGATTCAACAGGATTGGGATACAGAGGATGCGTCACTAGGAGCGCGGTGCTCGATATCTCACTAATTTTAACTATACAGAGTGTTCTGTTTTAAGGTGTGACACACAACTTAGCTTTTTTAATGAATCACCCTGTATATTTTTACATATTCTCATTAGCCTCTTTGTAGACTTTGTAACTACAGTTTGTTTTTGAAATTTCGATGCGACGTTGCCACGTTATTCCAATTTTCTTGAATTTTTTTTGGCAATGGAAGGGTCCACAAATCGTAATAGGCGTATTTTGTAAGTGTTTTATAAGTTTCAAATATCAATATTTCAGTTTTTTCAAATAGAACACCCTGTATTTTACTCTACTTTTGTTCTCATTCTTCTACTATTAAAAAACAGGAAATACTTCATGCAAAAGAAGGAGGATACAAAATAGGATGTATCCGAAAAAACGGAAATATCCATATTTGAAAACTGCAATAGTTAAAAAAATATTATAAACACTTTGTACATGAAAATTTCATTTCAGTTATGCCATAACAAAACACGTATTTTTATTTGTTTCTCCACAAAATATTGTTGCACAGATGTTAAAAATAACTCCAGTGAGATTTTTTTGCTAAAAAATTTCAAGAAAATTGGAATAACGTGGCAACGTCGCATAGATATTTCAAAAATAAACTGTAGTTGCAAAGTCTAAGAAGGAGCCAATCAATCTATGCAAAAAATATAGGATGTTTCATTAAAAACCTCACCCTGGATAATAACTGCAAGTTGCAACAGTATATTATTGTACAACATATACAGAGTGTTTGTGAATAGCGTCACGTCAAAAGCTTCTGCCGCCTTGTCAAAATAAGAACAAGAATTACAGGCAAATGATTAAGTCGAGCTTTTATGCTATTTTAGAAGTAGTAAATATCAGTTTAAGGGTGAGCGGCACTATAAATAAATTAAATTCCTCAGTGTGTGTTAATTTTGTCATCAAGTGACACACGAAAATAAAAGCTGATCTCATACATTGTTATTAACTTTCAACATGAATAAGTTAGAAGGCTCTTATAAATAAAACTGCACGCACTATATATAATTTTGAAAGAAATGGCAACAATACGGATGTAATTTTTAATTAAAGTAGTAACCTTAATCGTATCCAAGTGACATTAAATGGTAACTTTTAATGTCAAAATAACTGAAAAATGTTAGTGACCATAATTTTATGGCACAATCATTTGTAGATATATTTTCCTGTTTAAAATAGTACTTCACCACGCTACACTATATTTTCATTAATTCATTATTAAACCAACAAAACGACGGTATATAAAATAATGTTTTTAAAAATTTTATCTAAAAATACTTACTCGCGGCTGAGTACATCTAAACAATTTATAGAACAGGAATGGTTTACACGAAATGCTGATGGTGGAACTGACACATTAATGACGGTGACGTTTTTGACTACTAATACCATATGATTGGAAAAGTCATCTAGTAGGCCATGAAATTTATTTTTCAAATAATGATGTTGGCATTGCCCCCATTTGACACTTTATTTGACAGTTATTTGACCGTAACTGTCAATGAACACGGAGCGCGTTGGTGTCGCCAACAGTATTTTTTTAAAGTTAAATTTCAAAGGTTGCTAGACAAGTTTTTTTCTCGATCATATGGTACGCATTATTATTAGCGAAAGGTTTTACAGAAAATGTTAATGGAATTTAGTCAATTTTGCAATGGGGCTTCAATTCAGTCATCAATTCCAATTCCAATATTCAGATAAAAAAGAATAATCGAATCAAAGAAAGTATGTCATAGAAGAACGTGAGGGCTAGAATTTTTATGTTGACATAAAACTTTTTTAATTTCAATTGTTTGAGCTCTGGATTTAATAATAAATATAATAGTAAAAGTTTATTTCTTAGTCTTCTTTGGTTTTTCGTTAATTATAGCTACTGTTAAACTAATGGATCAACAGCTGATGCATCTACATTGAATGGGGGCCGAGTATAAAGTATCTTTATGATTTAAATTTGAACATTCCTCGTAAAAGTTCCATTTCGTCAGGATCTGCAATAATAAGCGACACTGTTAAAATGTAGACACAAATTGTGTTAGTTGGAAATGTGTAATAAACACGGCGTCTGAAGGCCTTCAAGAAATTCCTTTCATAATTTAGATCTCAATGAAAGATAAAGTAAGGCCAGTCGATAAAAATGTTGGTTGTTTTTAAAAAATATCTTTTGATCCTTGCGATTTATTGTGATTTGAACAAGTCTGTTGTTTTTGCAAGTTTGATCGGTTATAAATAGTACGCATGTCTGTCTAAACCCGAACTTCACGCTGCTCTTTTCTCGAATCACAATGGGATCAAAACAACGGAATTTTGTGGGTAGGTCCGCACACCTACGTCTATTTCAAAATTTTCAAGTGAAGTCAAAATCCTGAAATAAAAATTCTAAAAATACGCCCTCTGTTGTCTTGTGAAATATTTCCAACTAGCCACCAACCAGCCACGGTCCCACAAAAATAAATCGTCCCAAAAAAGCGGAAATAGCGAATTTCGCCCCAGCGCTGGAACTGGATCAGCAGGTGCCGGTGGTGGTGTCGAACGCGAAACGGTGCGAATCGTTCTGAGCCCAATTTTAGCCCATCCGTGCTCCTATTTATAATGGCTTCATTATGCAGGTTGTATTTATTTTTACGGCCGGCAAAGAGTTTTAGGTTGCATCACTTGTGCGGGAGGATGTCCGCCGCAGTGGACGTCCAGCAGGACACTGAGGCGCGCCAAATCGGGATATGGCACGTCCTCTCCCGGACCGACACTCTACACTCACTGTCCGTCGGCTACGCGCACCATCACCCGCTACGTGGGGCGGTTAACAGGGGGCTACTTACACCAAAACACGGCCACAAAGTCCTTTTCTGCTAACACGCGCTCCAGCTGCTTGGCCGTGACCTCCTCGATGACGGGCTCCTGGGTCGACGGGACGCGCTTGGCCGTCGCCAAAGCCACGAGCAGCAGCCACCACCACATGCTGCCGTCCACTGAGCGCCGGCCGAGGCGTCGCGGCGCTGCTAGCCCCACCACGACGGCGACGCTGCCGAAGGATGGACGCGCCAGACGCGACCTGGCGCCGCGGAACGGAGCCTCGGGGAGGGATCTTCGCGCTTCGGAGGGGCCGACGGGGCTAGACAAACGGCATTCAGGCAAGCCGTCTGGTAGACGCTTGCTCTCAAAAATAGTTAACATTATGTAACGTCTTAAAATTCTTGAACATTAAATTCATTTATTCGTTCCCCTTCGAAAAATTTGTTTTTAGTTACCTAACAGTTAGTTACTTTTTCAAACTACCGATCGATTTCTTAGAAAATTTAAACCCCACCTACCTATAGTTCAATCACCCTATTTAATTAATTATTATTAACTTTACTTGGGTAAGTTAACCTTTTAAAATGATATACTTTTGAATACCCAAATTTACAGTTTATTTCGCAACAAGTCAGGTCTGGACAGGTTGGGTCAGGACAGAACAGCCGATCAAGACAAGTTAGGTTAGGTTCCGTCAGGTCAAGACAGGACAGGTCAGATCAGGTCAGGACAAGTAGGTTAAGTCAGGTCAAGACAGATTTATTTCGCAACAAGTCAGGTATGGACAGGCTGGGTCAGGATTTGACAAGTCAGGTTACGTTAGATAAGATAGGACAAGTCAGGACAAGTTGGTTAGGTCAGGTCAGGATAGAACAGGTCAGGTCAGGACAAGTCATGCTAGGTTAAGTCAGATCAGGACAGGTCAGGTCATTAAGAAATGAAAGTTGAGTGAAAAAAAAGCACTGACACATTATTTTACAATCAACAAGATCTGTTTGAAAAGCAGTTCTAAGTCTACACGTACTAAGAGAAAAAGGCAAAATGTAATACCGCCCACCCGCCCTATCTCAATTGTGATAATTTTTTTTTTAATCGTCGAGAGCCAAAGGAGCGGAATTTAAGACATTTTTTTGAGTATCGTGTTATTAAAGAATCCTATGACTATTAAGGAAAAATTAAAGCCTACCCATGCCTGCCCTTATCTAAATAGTAATGAAGTTTTCATTCGTTGGTAGACTTAGGAGCGGAGCCTAATTGCAAAATCCATACTTCCCTACAAAAATTTACCATTTTAAACCTATTTTGAGTTTCTAACAATAAAAAAATCATCACAATTGAGATGGGGTGGGTGGGCGGGGTTTATATTTAGTCTTTTTTTCTTAATATACATAGTATTCTTTGAACAACACGATACTCAAAAACATGTTTTCAATTTCTTGGAAAGAAATAAGTATTTTGCAGTTAAGATCTGTCCCCTTGGTTCACGGCGAATAAAAAAAATTCATCACAATTGAGATCGGGCGGGTGGGCGGGCTTTCATTTTGTCTTTTTGTTTTAATATGTGTAAACTTTTTTTCACAACATGAAACTTAAAACATGGTTAAAATGGAAAATTTGTTGGCTGTACCCATGCCTGAATATAGTTTGTAATGTATAAACCTCATGAAAATTTTGACATAAATTACATTAAAGTCTTTGTTACAAAGTTTTATACGTGACTTCGCAGTGATGTATTCTGATATGCTATACTGTAGATACCAAATTTAATGTACTTGATGACACGTTAAAGTATTAAATAATTCAGAACAAGTCAGGTTGTTAAAGTATTAAATAAACCTTGCGAGATATGGGCTACATGAACCATGCGGAAAATATTGCAGAAAAAAAATTATAAAGTGACTGTGATAAAAAATAAAAATAAAAACGGATTCATAATCGACTAATACATCAGGTTTAGATTAACCCTAACTTAATAATTCTTTTTTTCTTTTTATTTCAATACCATAACATGTAACGAAAATATTGAAGAATGATTTAGATACAGTTTTTTATACTTTTCGTTTCACGTGTCGACCTAAAATAATTAGAGAAACAAATATTTTCAAATTTCTGTTTTTATATGTAAAAGCCCTATGTTCCAAAAACGATTCTACACCCGGTATATATAGTGGACACACTATGAAAAATTGGTCGAAAGTTGTTTCGACAGAACTTCCTTTGCTCCTGAAATACAATGATAATTTTTTTGAGTCACCCTGTATACGCAGATTCAAAAAATATGAATGGAATGATAAATCACAAGTACAGATTCATCATATTTTGTACATTTAAGATAGGATTTATTCAGCAAAATTTCGGGGTGACGTCATCAATTTTTTAGGGGGGATGAGGAAATATATTTTGACTAAAAATTTACCATGCTGTAGAATATCTCCAAGATTTCAAAGCATTAGGTTTTGCAGTTCCTGATTAAATCAATTAAATAAATTCACGCATTCATTAATTTTTTTGAGTCACCTTGTATATGCAAATCCAAAAAATATGAACAGAATGATAAATCACAAGTACAGACTCATCATATTTTGTACATTTTAGATTCAGCAAAGTTTTGAGATGACATCATCAATATTTTGGAGGGGACAAGTAAATATATTTTGAATACAAATTTATCATGATTATCATAACTGTAAATTATCTGCAAGATTTCAAAGCATTCGGTTTTGCAGATTCCAAATTAAATTGCAAAATGTTGTTTCATGATTTTGATTTTTTTTCAAAAAATCTGGACGTTTCGGATAAAAACTCAATTCGGAGTCATAAACTACATGTGTAGGACTATGTTATTTTATACAATTTAAAACTCATTTATTATGTACAATTTTGAAGTGACGTCATCACATTATTGGGCAAATTTTGGTTAGCGTTTTACCATCTACATGATATTCCTAATATAAATACAAAATTTCACAACAATCGGTCTATTACTTTCGGATATTATCTGTCTAATAAAAATCCGGGACAGCAGACAGACGGACAGACAGATGGAAACGGGAGATCTATTTCTTCGTCTTCTAGGGTTCATGAAAGGTCGAAAAAATGTTAAAGTAGAGAGTTGGCCGACGGACTCGATTAAAATAATACTTCCTTTGCTTACGCTCACTTGGCAGTTGACCTTCGTATATGTCTACAATGTAATTATGGATTTTAGTAACTAATTTTAGTAACTATTCTGTCATTGAAAATTTAATTTGTTAATTTATGTCAATTATTGCCTGTTTGACACTAGTATTTGTTAAAAAGCAACTGACATTTCTAACATTTCTGACATATAAGTGGCAGTTTTTTAATCTAAATTCTAAAAATCCGTTTCAAACTATAAAAACTAAATAAAATCTGACAAATTTTTTTCTGACATTTCCCGGTTTTTTGGTAGTTTAGAAGATTATCTGTCTGCAGACGACAGACAGACGTAAATGTCAAACTTACTTTTTCATGCTGGGGTCGTAAAACGTCGAGAAAACATGGAAGTTGCCAGTCGCCTGATGGACCCATTTTTTTCTAAACATTTTTTCGAAAATTTAGTTCACCTGTGTTTCCATATTAGAAACGACGTTGCTCCACTACTGTCTTTTACTATTTATTAAAAAAAGTTATTTAGACAAAACTTCCTTCGTCCCTGAAGTAAAAACATCTAAACCAAATCAGTTTGTTTTTTAGATAAATTATAAAATTTTATTTTTGTTATAACATAACCTCTATAAGTTAAAATAAAGATGTGTGTGAATAATTAAACTATATATAGCTCATGACGTACGCTATGTGCATGTTTCTAATAATACAATTTTTTTGCAAGGGTACATATACCAGTTTGGATAGGTACAATGTGTCACTAATAACAACAATACTATATTTTCAAAATTTCGGAAAAATAAGGTTAGCCGTTTTTCATTTGATCAATAAAAGAGTTCGTTATTTTTTTTTGAATCGTCCTATACAGCCTGTTATTGAAAGGTACGTACAAAATAAAATCGGCAATTGGTCTCGAAGTATGGGTGCTAAAAGTTAAAAAAAAGTTCAGGTAAAAGTGTTCTCCTTTTAGAGATAAAAATTATTAAAATTTATGTCCAAATTCGTTGTACGCCTCTGATAAAAAGATCATCTTTCGTTTCTATAGCAACATTTAGTCTTGACAAAAGTTTTATTGTTACAGTTGCTAGGATTTACTAAAATAAATTAATTTTACCTATTTATCCTTCAGTGGCGTCTAAAAAGATTGGATAAGGGTTAATTTTCCTCTTAAAATTTTGATAAGACAAAATAAGTTTTTCCGACTTCTTAGACTTCGCGAAGAACTGTCCATTTTGTTGTACGTACCTTTCAATAACACCCTGTATAAACAATTTTAAGAAATGTGAATAAAATCTGACAAACCACAAGCATAGGCTCGAAATATTTTACACATTTTAGGTACGATTTAGCCAGCAGAATTTTGAGTTGGTGCGTCATCAAGTTTTTGGAGGGGACAAAAAAATAAATTTTGCTTAGCCTTATTGGTTTTGCAGTTTCTAGCTTAAATTATAAAATGTTGTTATACAGTTTTTTCCCCCATAATCTGGGCATCTAGGGTAGAAAAGTCAAATTCATAAATAACAGATATAGAAGTATTATTTTATAAAAATTAAATAGGATTTACCTTGCAAAATTTTGAAATAACGTCATATAATTTTTACGATATTTGTAAAATAAATCTAAAATTTGACAACAGACGACAGACAACACAAACGGAAGACATATTGTTTCATACTCTAGGGGTGTGAAAAGTCCAAAAAACATGAAATTAACCGTTATAATACAATGAAAAATTAATGAGTATCATTTATTAAACACCATCTGATATCGCTGCGCTTGACTTTCACGTACTTGAAATAGCCAATTACAGACGAGTTTTCTGCAAATCGTGGACGCTGATCTCTAAGTTGAAGCGTCTTCACCAAGACCATCGTTGATTTACTACTACCATTTGAAGCTGAAAACGAAAAAAATATCAAATTCAACATAATAATTAGTTTTTTCAAACAATTAAACCCTTCAGGACATATTTAAGAGAAAATTTTGCTGGTATTTTGTTCAACTTTTTCGAAAAAGTTGAATTACAGGATCTAGAATTAAAAAAGTAATGGATATTATGTACCCAACTGGAATAATGTGTAATGGGTTTATAAGCAAATACCGTCCAAAAGCCTTGGACTTGTGTAACCGGCAGCATTATTTAATGAAGGATTTAGAGTTCAGTTACGTAAAAAAACCGTAGCGATTAAGTATTGCTGAAATTTAAGTTTACACTGGGATTAATTAACAGAAGGGAAAGAAACCCAAATGAAATCCAACACTAACGAGATTACAGTACATATCAAGTGTCTTGAGCTAGAAACCTTTAAACGTAACTTCAGTCCTCCGCCAGCTTTTACAACAAAATGACCACTAATAATGACATTCAGACCGTAATTGTTGTCGGTGGCGGTTTGGTAATATACAAAAAAGTGTGTAAACAAATTATAACACGTATATTGTTTTATAGGTTGGATCTTTGTGTGCTATTTTTATGGCTAAGAAGGGATACCATGTTACAGTTTTCGAATACAGAGAAGGTAAAGTTTTAGTATATAGTGTTGTGATTGGAGTACCTCTGTTGGGCAATAAAGTTTATTATTATTATTATTATTATTATTATTAACACCGTGTTGTAGATATAAGATGTGCACAGTTACTTCGTGGAAGATCGATCAATATGTCACTATCTAATAGGGGAAGAAGGGCACTGTCTGCTGTAGGGCTTGAAAACTTGATCATTGGTAACGCAATCCCAATGAAAGGGAGACTTTTGCACGACTTGGAAGGAAAAACCAAAAGCGTTGCTTACGATCCCACAACTGGCCAAGTACATTATTATTATTATTACTATTTTGTACTTAAAACAATTTCTAGTGCATTTATTCAATCAGCCGAAATTATCTAAACAGAACTTTACTCACGGAACTGGAAAACCACTCAAACGTCAAGATCTTCTTCCACCACAGACTCATCAGTGCGAATTTTGACGACGAGACGATCACAGTTTTGAAGTAACCCACCCGAACAAAAAATCTAAACACTTACCAACCTTTTCCAGTTTAAAGTCGCAAGAAGTTGAGACTCACAGTGCTGATTTGATCATCGGAGCCGACGGCGCCTACAGCACTCTGCGCCGCTTCATGCAGCAAACTCCGCTTTTCGAGTTCAGTCAAACCTACATCAAACACGGCTACCTCGAGCTGAAAATTCCACCAAAAAATGGGCACAAAATGCTCCCAAACCATCTACACATCTGGCCAAGAGGCGAGTTCATGATGATCGCGTTACCCAACCAAGACAAGTCCTGGACTGTTACCTTATTCATGCCTTTTGTCAACTTCAAAATTTTGAAAAACAGCCACCAGTTGATACAATTTTTCAAAGTGACGTTTCCTGACGCCGTACAGCTGATTGGAGAAGAGTTACTTGTTTCTGATTTTTTTAAAGTGAAACCGTCGCCTTTGGTTTCTATAAAGTGTAATCCGTATCATGTGGGGCGGAAATTTTTGATTGTTGGTGATGCGGCCCATGCCATGGTGCCTTTCTACGGGCAAGGTATGAATGCCGGGTTCGAAGATTGTTTTATTTTGGATGATATACTGTATGCGAATAAAAATGATATTGGGTCTTCTGTGGAAGAGTTTAGTAAGAAGCGTACAGAGGATGCGTTTGCTATTTGTGACCTGGCTATGTATAATTATGTGGAAATGAGGGATTTGGTGACCAGACGGTCCTACCATTTGAGAAAGTTGCTTGATGAGGTTCTGTTTAAACTGTTTCCGATGAACTGGATTCCTCTTTATAATTCTGTTACTTTTTCTGGGATGAGCTACAAAAAATGTATTAAGAATAGGGAGTGGCAAAATATGGTGAAGTACAACTACTGGTTTGTTTTATTTTTAATTATTTTTGTTTTAGGTTATTCAAAGAACATTCCTTGGAATTATTATTGGTGTTGTAGGCATACTTTTGTATTTGTTTAGAATTTGGTGGTACTAGGAGAAATTATTACCAGTTTTTCACTTATTTTGACGAATCATTTTTCAGACAAAAGAAAACACTAATAAATAAGTAGCCAAATTGAGCAAATAAATTTTAACGTTTTTTTCTTCTCGATTTTTCAAGTACTTATATTTGTATTCTTCAAACAACTGAACCATCGCCCCTGTAACTGGTTCATGTATCATAAGAATACCGAAATCGTCCAAGAGGCAGTACCTTCCATATCCACATCTTAACAAAGTACTGATCTCTTCGTAGGAAATAGTTTTTGAGGTACGGTCAGTACGATAGGTTTTTGACCCAGGTCATTGGACGACCTCCCTGTACCCTGGTGTTTTCGTTCAAGTAGTACCGATGTCAGCTTGGCGAGTTTTGTAGGTAATCTTCGACATTATTCAACACAGAAGTTGCATTATAGAACAGACGGTACTGACGAAGGTTGTTTACTTAAACAATACGTAAATATTTGTTCATTGGATTAATTTTATCTGAAACATTGTTTTTCCATTTAAAAACCTGGCAAGAATGGAAACTCAAGGGTTGTATCCATATGGTTTAAGAAACAAATTCGTTAGGTGGCACTTCGTCAGTACTGCCAACGTGTTATTAAACCTAGAAACAGCTATGGAAGTTGAAAATCTTGCAAAGAAATTTTAGAGAAGACAGTACTGAGTCCACTCAATAAAAAAACTGCTTTTGTATTGTATATCTTTATTTTTATTTTTTTCATATTTATTTTAACTCTAAAACACTCGCTTCTGGATCTACCAAATAATCATATTTGTATGTATTGAACAAGTGAACTAACTGTTTTATGAATTTCTGGTGCAACTCGTCAATTTCCTCTTGCGTTGGATTTTCGACTCTAACAACATCTATCGGTAGCCCCACTAAAAAAAAGTTAAAAGTACTTTCAACATAGCAGCCTACACCAACTTACCAACAGTGAAAAGTGGTTTTCTTCGTGGAATCAAACCAAAAGACGTCTGAAAAAACCCACTTCCAAGAGGCAAAGCAAAAGTAAAATGAAATAGTTTTTTCAAAAATAGTTGAAATCTGCACACTAAAGGATGTTGAATTTGGTCGAACAAGTCTATTTCTCCAAACGTAAAAACTGGTACTAAAGATGCCCCAGTTTTCAAAGCGATTTTAACAAAGCCTTTTCTGTGTTTCAGTACTAATTTATGTTGTCCTGGTCGTGCGTACATTGTTTCTGCTGCTCCACCTGGAGACAGACTAACTCCAAATCCTCCTTCAGGTCTAGTTAACATGTAAGTCAATGATTTAGCCGAGCAAGAAATCCCTCCTTTCCCGAGAACTAATTCTCTAACAAAAGGTAAATGGAAGAATTGTTCCATTGGTGCTATTTTAACTGTCATTTCTGGGTATATTTGTTGTAATGTAGTTCCTGGACTTAGTAACGACGAGAACGGACCGTGGGGTATTATACCATGAGGAAAGCAACCAAAAAAGTAATTTTTCTTTGGATCTAGTTTAAAACCTGGCACAAGTACTGTACGTGCTGGGAAGTAGTTCCGTAAGTGACGCCACCAACTCCACTTTTGTATCCAGGGGGACGATCGTCCGCCAGTTTCACAAGTTTTTCTATCCAAGTATATCCAGCAGGTGTATATTAATGATAGCCACCAAAAGCGTGTAAACAATAGATATACACCAAACAGTACACCTAAGTATCCTCCATACGAAAACATAGCAAAATATGCCCCTGCAGCCAAAGCTTCTTTTCGTCGGTGTAAAGGTTCAGTTAACGGGATCAATTTGAGTCCTAATATTTGCTGCAAAATCAGTGTGCACTGGGTGTGTTTAAATTCGGAAATGTTTAAAAGTACGAGGTTTTTTATTGAGTACATTCGCAAACTCCCATACTTTGAACACACAACAGGTTTACATTGACGCACTTTTTTTTAGTCCAAACAACATAGAAATTATCACAAATACATCCGTATATGTCAAGATCACAACTTGAATTTAAAAATTTGAGCTTTTAAGACGCCAAATGTTAGAATGTTATAATGCGATGTAAGGAACAAACAGTACCAATGTTTTTTGAAGTACTTAAACCTTTTCCGCAGCCTCAGTTTTTAAATTTAGGTTGTTAACTTGACAAATAGAAATGTACCCTACTGTACATAAAGTTCATTATTTGTTGGTTCCAACCACATCCAACCAACAAATTTCTTGGATTGGTCGAGAGGTAAGTAACAATAATTTCTAACCTTTAAGCGACCTTCAACCGTTAGTAATACTAACACTACTACACTACTAATGAAAAAGATAAATACAAAATTGGAATTCAAAAAGCAATATTAATTAAGGTTATTGTTACTGATATTATCCACAATTTTACTTACCATTTTTATAAGAAATCAGGAGAAATAGATTTATGGATTTCGAACTTCAAGTTAACGCGGAACGTTATTGTTGGGTTTATCGTGCTTAAGTAGTGTCAGAAAGTGGGTATACAGGTTTTCTTCCTAACTCAATCCATTGTTATACAATAAATGTCCATTTATAAAAGCGATATCCACAATGTAAGTAGATATTTACTGATATTATGTGACCAAGAGCTTGAGTAGTCACGAGTGTCCTCGAATTAAATAGTTTTTTTTTAATTAAGGAATAGTTAAAATTTCAAAATGTTTGATTTTTTTTTCAGATTTTTTAACATTAATGTTATTTGAATACTACATAATTTTTAATTGTACACATCTATAGTGTAATACTACACTAGTAACTTTCAAAAAATGGGCTTTAAATTGTATAAAATAACGTAACACATGTAGTTTACGAGTTTGAGTTTTTACCCGAAACGTCCAGATTTTTGTAAAAAAAATCAAAATTATAAAACAACATTTTGCAATTTAATTTTGAATCTGCTAACCCGAATGCTTTAAAATGTTGCAGATGTTTTAAGGCTATAAAGAGCATCATAAATTTTTAGTCAAAATATATTTGGTTATCGTCTCCAAAAAACTGATGACGTCAACTCAAAAGTTTGCTGAATAAATCCTATCTAGAATGTACAAAATCTGATGAGTCTGTACTTGTTATTTATCATCCCATTCATATTTTTTGAATTTGCATATACCGGGTGACTCAAAAAAAATGCATGTGTAAATTTATTTTATTGATTTACTCAGGAACTACAAAACCGAAATCTACTGCGAAAAAAAAACATAATAGGCATGCAGTCGTCACGTTTCCGACAGCGAGGGAATTACTGTCTAAACTCTTTAGACCAATTTTTTTAATACTCTAACCCGTGGTATGCACTTTAAAAAATTTATTCTAACTGTAACAAACTCGCTTCTGAATCTACCATATAATCAAACTTGCATGTGTCAAACAAGTTTTCTAATTGTTTTATGAATTTCTGGTGCACCTCATCAATTTCCTCTTGCGTTGGATTTTCGACTTTGACAACATCTATCGGTAACCCCACTAAAAAATAAAAATAAAAGTACTTTCAACATAACAGTCTAACCAACTTACCAGCAGTGAAAAGTGGTTTTCGTCGTGGAATCAATCCAAAATACGTCTGAAAAAATCCACTTCCAAGAGGCAAAGCAATAGTAAAACGGAATAGTTTTTTGAAAAATAGTTGAAACCTACATATTAAAGGATTTTGAATTTGGTCAAATAGGTCTACTTCTCCAAACGTAAAAACTGGTACTAAAGGTGCGCCAGTATTCAAAGCGATTTTAACAAACCCTTTCCTGTCTTTCAACACTAATTTATGTTGTCCTGGACGTGCATACATTGCTTCCGCTGCTCCACCAGGATACAAAATAACCCCGTGTCCTCCTTGGGGTGTAGTTAATACATACGTCAACGATTTAGCCGAGCAAGAAATCCCACCTATCCCGAGAAATATTTCTCTGACAAAAGGTAAATGGAAGAATTGTTCCATTACTGCTGCTTTAACTGTCAGTTCTGGATGCATTTTTTGTAATAGATTTTCTGGGTTTAGTAGCGATGAGAACGGACCACAAGGTATTACACCATGAGGGAAACAACAAAAAAGAAAATTTTTGTCTGGAGTTAGTTCAAAACCTGGTACTAGTACGGTACGTACTGGAAAGTAGTTCCGTAAATGCCGCCACCAACTCCATTTTTGTATCCAATCGGAGGGTCGCCCGCCATTTTTACAAGTTTTTCTGTCCAAGTATATCCAGCAGATGTATATTAATGATAGCCACCAAAAGCGTGTAAACAATAGATATACACCAAACAGTACACTTAAGTATCCTCCATACGAAAACATAGCAAAATATGCCCCTGCAGCCAAAGCTTCTTTTCGCCGGTGTAAAGGTTCAGTTAAAGGAATTAATTCGACTCCTAATAATTGCTACAAAAAGCTACAAATTTGTATGGATTATATACACAATTTTGAATTTTACTTACCATTTTTGCAAGTAATCAAATTAACCCGGAATTTTATTGTTGGGTTTAGCGCTCTTAAATGATGAAGAATAGTGTTACGAAATACACCCTTACGCCGCCCCAGTACGACGCCTATGGCGGTCGAGAGCCTTCTGGACGTACGCACGGCGCTGATGGGTGAATCATCGCTGTTGACGGCCGAGAGGCGGGCGCATAAAGACAGGCCTGGAGCGTCTCGAAGCGGCGTCCAGGGGAGTCTCGAAGCGGAGTCGCGATGGATGTTCGTGAAGGATCTCGATCAGAGACTATGGGTTTAAATAGAGGCGACCGTAGGTAATGGATTCATTCATCCAGTGAAGACAGTCGAGAGCGCCGGAATAATTTCTGTACATATTCGTTGCAATAGATAGTGTTGTAATTCGACCTGAAGAAATAAATTTTTGAGTTTTACCAACGCCCGATTTATTATTCGCCCGTCAATCGTAACAATAGGGTACTACATGTTTTTGTTTTTTTAAGTCTAAACTGCCATTGGATTGGACATTAAATGTGCATTTGTGAAAACCATGAAAGATGATAATGTGCTAAGTATCAGAATCAATGGTAAATAAAATAATTGTTGTTTGTGACATTACGTCAATTGTTACAATATAAGATATTGAATTATCGTGTCCTTGAAATATGGGTTATTTTTAATAATATAAAATATTTTTGAATAGGCAAGTATTTTCTTCGGAATTTTCAACGGTAGTGTTTTTGAATACTACGAAATTATTTTTAATTGTATATACGTATATACAGCAGTACAGTTGAGAATGACCGTGGTTGGATCCTACAATATTAGATTAACATTTTTTTTTATCCCTTAAAGTTGAAATTCTTAAATGACTTTCTTATTTATTTATATATTTTTTTTTTTGAAAACTTGTTGTTATTATTCTTGTTAATACATACATTTAATACAGTTTTAAAAATATGTTCCCCATTATCTATGCCAGTTGTTGACTGCGACATTATTTTACATAAAATTAGCATTAGTTTTATTAGTGTAATTTTTTTTTATTTGCAGCATTGTTTTTTCATTTATGTAAAATGAAAAAAATGGAAACACACATTTATACTTACACGGCTTAAGAAATACATCCAGCCTCAATATCTGTGACTAGATTTCGTACTTTAAATATTTTTTTTAAAACACAATGCAGCAATCATGCGACTTAAGTAAACATGTTTAAGTTTTTGTCGTGAAAAGATGACTACGTATATTAAGAAAAAATGGCAAAATATAAGCCCCGCCCACCCGCCCTATCGCATTTGTGATGATGTTTTTAATTCGTCGTGAGCCAAGCGGGCGGAGCTTAACTGCAAAATCCTTATTTCTCTACAGAAAATTATCATGTTTTTGAGTATCGTGTTGTCCAAGGAATACTATGTGTATTAAGTAAAAATTAAACCCAGATTGAGATGGAAACGAATGGGTGGAGCTTATTTTTTGGCTTTCTTTGTACTTAATACATATAGTTTGCTTTGAACAACACGATTACTCAAAAGCATGTTGCACATAGCAATTTCTTGTAGAAGAATAAGGATATTGCAATTAAGCTCCACCCCACGGGTTACGACGAGTAAAAAATCGTATAATCAAATACTTGTCTCTATGGTTATTATTTTTGTAAGACCCTAATCCTCGGTTTTTTAAAAGATTTATTCTAACACCAAAATACTCGCTTCTGGATCTACCAAGTACTTGTATTTATATGTGTCAAACAAATTTACTAATTGTTCTATGAATTTCTGGTGCATCTCATCAATTTGCTCTTGCGTTGGATTTTCGACTCTGACAACATCTATCGGTACCCCCACTAAAAAATAAAAAATAAAGGTACTGTCAACATACCACCCTACACCAACATGCCAACAGTGAAAAGTGGTTTTCGTCGTGGAATCAATCCAAAAGACGTTTGAAAAAATCCACTACCAAGAGGCAAAACAAGAGTATAACGGAATAGTTTTTTCAAAAGTAATTGAAATCTACATATTAAAGGATTTTGAATTTGATCAAACAGGTCCACTTCTCCGAACGTAAAAACTGGTACTAAAGATGCCCCAGTTTTCAAAGCGATTTTAACAAAGCCTTTTCTATGTTTCAGTACTAATCTATGTTGTCCTGGACGTGCATGCATTGCTTCCGCTGCTCCACCAGGATATAAAATAACCCCGTGTCCTCCTTGGGGTTTGGTTAATACATGGGTTAACGATTTAGCTGAGCAAGAAATTCCTCCTATCCCGAGAATTATTTCTCTGACAAAAGGTAAATGAAAGAATTGTTCCATTGCTGCTACTTTAACTGTCAGTTGTGGATATATGTTTTGTAATAGATTTCCTGGGTTTAGTAAGGCTGAGGACGGGCCGCAAGGTATTACACCATGAGGAAAGCAACAAAAAAGAAAATTTTTGTTTGGATTTAGTTCAAAACCCGGCACTAGTACGGTACGTACTGGGAAGTAGTTCCGTAAATGCCGCCACCAGCTCCATTTATGCATCCAATCGGAGGGTCGGCCGCCATTTTCACAAGTTTTTCTGTCCAAGTATATCAAGCATATGTACATTAATGCTAGCCACCAAAAACGGATAAAAAATAGATATACAGCAAATAGTACACCTAAGTATCCTCCATATGACAATAGAGCAAAATGTACCCCTGCAGCCAAAGCTTCTTTTCGTCGGTGTAGAGGCTCAGTTAGAGGAATTAATTCGATTCCTAATATTTGCTACAAAAAGCTACGTTGGTGTTTTAATGTTTCGGAGATTTTTAAATTTTACTTACCATTTTTGTACGCTATCAAGAGAGATATTTCGGACTTCAGAATTTTATTGTCGGGTTTAGCGCGCTTATAAATGATGTTGATGAATAAGGTACTACAGGTTTTTTTTTAATCCAAACTGTCATGGTACATTAAATATGCATTTGTTAAAACCATGAAAGATGATAAGTTGTTAAATGTCTGAATCAGTGGTAAATAATATAATTGTTGTTTATGTCATTCTGTCAACTATTACAATACAATCAAGTATAAATATTTATCGACGTTGTAGAACAAATACCTTGCGTAGTCAAGATATTAAATTATCGTATCCTTGAATTAGTTATTCTTAATAACATAAAATTTTTGTTATCCGTAAAAGCTAAAGCTGTATGTCACTTTTATAGTACTCTCCTTGTACTTTATTTCTAATATAAGTTGCGAAGGTTCGGTACCAAAACTTTATTTGTGTAGGACACACCTTAATTGATGGAGTTGAAGTACCAAAACTCATTTTTACTTTTTAATAAATGAAGATAGACGAAATTGTAAACAATTAAGCGTATGTTGAGTCCTAAAAATATGTACCCCATTACATAGTCCAGAACACCATTCCTAATGGAATTTCTGTTTTTTTATGGTTTGAGTGTTTTAAATGGTTACACAACTATTTAAAATTGACGTTGGCATGACGGTTATTGTCGACTAGTACGTTATTTAACATAAAACATGCATTAGTTTTACCGTATTTTTTATTTGAAGCATTGTTTATTCATTTATGAACATAGAAAAAAATCTCAGCACACTTTTGTGCTTATATGGTTTAAGAAACATATAAAGTTTTATTAGTGTTCGTGACTAGAATTCGTACTTTAAATAATTTTTTTAAGTCACGATGCAGCGATCATGCGAGCTGAGTAAAGCTACCTGGAATCAAGACTTGAATGGGTGACCAACTAGACTTGGATCGCCGGGGCACTTAATGGGAAAAGTGGGTGCGGATTAATTTTAGTCGTACACAATGACGGCTAACGTATTAGTAAACGTAGGTGTAGCTATTAAAGCAGGAAATTTTCTTAACAAAAAATTAAAAAAAAATCATAGAATTAAATATTTTTATATTAATTACATTTTATTTTTGTGTAGGTATTTTAAAAAGTTTATTATAACTCTAGAATTCTCTCTTCTGGATTCACCAAATACTCATATTTGTATGTATCAAACAAGTTTACTAATTGTTTTATGAATTTCTGGTGCAATTCGTCAATTTCTTCTTGCGTTGGATTTTCGACTCTAACTACATCTATGGGTTGCCCCACTAAAAAAAAATAAAAGTACTTTCAACACCACAGCCTACACCAACTTACCAACAGTGAAAAGTGGTTTTCTTCGTGGAATCAATCCAAAAGACGTCTGAAAAAATCCACTTCCAAGAGGCAAAGCAAAAGTAAAACGGAATAGTTTTTTGAAAAATAGTTGAAACCTACATATTAAAGGATTTTGAATTTGATCAAACAGGTCCACTTCTCCAAACGTAAAAACTGGTACCAAAGATGCCCCAGTTTTCAAAGCTAGTTTAACAAAGCCTTTTCTGTCTTTCAGCACTAATCTATATTGCCCTGGTCGTGCGTACAAGGCTTCAGCTGCTCCACCAGGATACAAAATAACTCCATGTCCTCCTTCGGGTTTAGTTAATACGTGAGTCAAAGATTTAACCGAGCAAGAAATCCCTCCTTTACCCAGGCCTATTTCTCTGGAAATAGGTAACCTGAAGTACATATCCAGTCCTGCAATTTTCATTCTCAGTTCTGGATATAGTTTTTGCAATATATTTCCTGGACATAGTAACGATGAGAACGGAGCACAAGGTATTATACCATGAGGAAAGCAACAAAAAAGAAAATTTTTGTTTGGGATTAGTTTGAAATTTGGCACTAGTACTGCACGTGCTGGGAAGTAGTTCCGTAAATGCCGCCACCAACTCCATTTTTGCATCCAATCGGAGGGTCTCCCGCCATTTTCACAAGTTTTTCTGTCCAAGTATATCCAGCATATGTATATTAAGGGTAGCCACCAAAAGCGTGTAAACAGTAGATATACACCAAACAGTACACCTAAGTATGGTCCATATGAAAACGTAGCAAAATATGCCGCAGCAGCCAAAGCTTCTTTTCGCCGGTGTAAAGGTTCAGTTAAAGGAATTAATTCAATTCCTAATATTTTCTGCAAAACAGCCAAAACGGCGTATTAGTTTATTTGATTGATTTATTTTAATTAAAAAATATCTCAAGACGGCTTAAGATTAGTTCTACGCAAGGCTGACATCTATCTACATTGTACTTACCATTGTCATAAGCAATCAAAACAAATATATTTTTCTGGTTAACTTCAAGTTAACACGGTACTTTACTTCGGGTTCACCGCGCTTAAATGATGTTGAAGAATAAGGTACTACACGTTTTTGTCTTTAACTAATCTGTCATTGTACATTAAACGTGCATTTGTGAAAACCATGAAAGATGATAATTTGTTAAGTGTCCGAATCAATGGTAAATAATATAATTGTTGTTTATGTCAGTTGTTACAGTGCAATGGAATAGAAATATTTACCAATATTAGAGAACCAAGATCAAGAGTAGTCAAGATTATCGCGTCATTGAATTAATTAGTTATTCTTCAAAATATTAAACATTTTTGAAGAGGTAAGTGTTTCCTTCAGATTTTTTAACGGTAATATTTTTGAATACCACATTTTTTTTTTTTAATTGTATTTATATGCTGCTTGCCAGTTACCACGGCTGGATTCTATATTGTTTATACAAAATTAACCAAATATTTGTTATCCGTAAAAATTGAAGCTGTCACTTCTGTAGTCCTTTTTGTGTTTTACCTCTATAATTTCAAAGAAGTTAATTATCAAAATTTTTAAGTGACTCTCTTTTTTTTGAGAGAATATAGCCAGTGGCGTAGCTAACTTCCACTGCGCCCCCTCGGAATTTATAGTAAGCGCCCCCATACACCAAATTTAAAAAGTAGAATGAATATGTAGTTACTCGTTTGGACATTTTAAAAAAATATATCGCTTACGTTACGGTCTGCACATTGCGGAGTTTGCGGGGGTGCTATTTATGCCACTGAATATAGCATATTACATATTTTTCTAAAACCTATCGTTTTCCCCCAAAGTCACAATTTTATATCGTAAAGTGAACATAAAATTTTAAATCATATTTTTTTCTACTCATAATCCTGCATTTTTTGTTTACAGTGCTTTGCGCAAAGAAAAAACTCATTGTCTGTTTGTATAATTTTTCCGCAGGCTTAATTATTTCTTTGTTCTGCGAAAACTGGCAAGTGATAGTTTTCGAAAACTTTGTGTTATCATTCATTTTGATAACTGAAAATAACGGAAATTGTAAATTATCAACCGTATGTTCAGTTCTAAAGATATGTATACTAAACTCACTTGACATACGCCTATATTGTAAGCTTTATTTCTCTAAAAAATACTACCCGTTTAAAAACATATCTCACATGGTAATTTATGATAGAAAAATAAGTATTTTACAATTAAGCTCCGCCCCTCGGCTTACGACGAATAAAAGAATTATCACAATTGTGATAGGGCGGGTGGGCGGGGTTTATATTTTGCCTTTTTTTCTTACAAGAAACTTAAAACATGATTAAATGGTTTTTGCCCAGAAATATGGATTTTGCAATTATGGGGCGGAGCCTATGGCAAAATCGATATTTCCTTATACAATTTTTCCATTTTAAACACATTTTAAGTTTCATGTTACGAAAAAAAGTCTATACATATTAAAACAAAAAGGCAAAATATAAGCCCACCCACCCGCCCTATCTCGATTGTGATGAATTTTTTTTTTCGCCGTGAACCAACTGCAAAGTACTTATTTCTTTACAAGAAACTAAAAGCATGTTTTTAAGTACCGTGTTGTTCAAAGAATACTATATAAATTAAGAAAAAAAGAAAATATAAACCCCGACCACCCACCCCATCTCAATTGTGATGATTTTTTTATTCTAAGAAACTTAAAACACATTTAAAATGGTAAATTTTTGTAAGGAAAATTGGATTTTGGAATTAGGCTCCGCCTCTAGGTCTGCCAACGAAAGAAAACTTCATTATTACTTAGATCAGGCCTAAATGTTTGGTTTTAATTTTTTCTTAATATACATAGTATTCTTTGAATAACACGCTACTCAAAAAATGTCTTACATGGTAATTTCTTGTAGAGAAACAATAAGAATTTTGCATTTAAATTCCGCTCCTTTGGTTCTCAACGATTAAAAAAAATCATCACAATTGAGATAGGGTGGGTGGGCGGGGCTTATATTTTTCTTTTTTTCGTAGAATGTGTAGACTTATTTTGACAACAAGAAACTTAATCAACATTTTTTTAGCAATCAACTTAAATCCTCCATTTTTCTTCTACAACCCCTTTAAGTACGGCAAAAGTTGAATACCAAAGTTACTATCAACGGCAACGTGGCAACGGAGTTTATAAATGACAATTTTCATCTATAGAAGCAACGTCAGGGGGAACTTCAACGTCAACAGTAAGGTTATAAATCCCACTGCTAACGTCAGCAAAAAAAGATGTACAATTGGGATAGTTCCAAATCTGACAAAAATCTACGATTAATTTTAGTCTAACGCTGTGTCTAAGATTTTGTAACCATTTGTTTCGGTGGCTTCATGTGAAAGAAGCTTTTCGAAATTAAAATTGATAAAATTGTGCTTTAGGTCCACAATGAGCTAAGCGCGACTAAACAATCTTTCCATTTTGTCAATTGAAAAAGAGAGGAAAGTAAAGTTTGATAACGTCATAGAATTTTTTGCCAAAGTAAAGACCCGTAAGAACGTTTAGTATTAGTTGTTTTATTATAATATATAGGTATATTCCCTCCCAATGTACATAGTATTTACAGTGCTTCAAACGAAATTTCAAAGATACGAGTAAATACAAAAAAACGTATAATTAAATAATTCCATAGTTATTTATTATTTTTTAATACTATGTATATTCTTTAGTATTTTAAAAGATTCATTCTAACTCTAGAATTTTCGCTTCTGGATTCACCAAGTAGTCATATTTGTACGTGTCAAACAAATTTACTAATTGTTTTATGAATTTCTGATGTAACTCGTCAATTTCTTTTTGAGTTGGATTTTCGACCCTAGCAACATCTATCGGTTGTCCCACTAAAAAAAAAAAACAAATAAAAGTACTTTAACATAGCAGCCTACACCAACTTACCAACAATGAAAAGTGGTTTTCGTCGTGGAATCAATCCAAAAGACGTCTGAAAAAATCCACTTCCAAGAGGCAAAGCAACAGTAAAACGGAATAGTTTTTTGACAAATAGCTGAAACCTACATATTAAAGGATTTTGAACTTGATCAAACAGGTCTACTTCTCCAAATGTAAAAACTGGTACCAAAGATGCCCCAGTTTTTAAAGCTAGTTTAACAAAGCCTTTTCTGTCTTTCAGTACTAGTCTATATTGCCCTGGTCGTGCGTACATTGCTTCAGCTGCTCCACCAGGATACAAAATAACTCCATGTCCTCCTTCGGGTTTAGCTAATACGTGAGTCAAAGATTTAACCGAGCAAGAAATCCCTCCTTTACCCAGGCCTATTTCTCTGGAAATAGGTAACCTGAAGTACATATCCAGTCCTGCAATTTTCATTCTCAGTTCTGGATATAGTTTTTGCAATATATTTCCTGGACATAGTAACGATGAGAACGGAGCGCAAGGTATTACACCATGAGGGAAGCAACAAAAAAGAAAATTTTTGTTTGGATTTAGTTTAAAACCTGGCACTAGTACTGTATGTGTTGGGAAGTAGTTCCGTAAATGCCGCCACCAGCTCCATTTTTGGATCCAATCGGAGGGTCGCCCGCCATTTTCACAAGTTTTTCTGTCCAAGTATACCCAGCATATGTATACTAAGGTTAGCCACCAAAACCGTGTAAACAGTAGATATACACCAAACAGTGCACCTAAGTATCCTCCATAAGAAAACGTAGCAAAATATGCCGCAGCAGCCAAAGCTTCTTTCCGTCGGTGTAAAGGTTCAGTTAAGGGAATTAATTCAATTCCTAATATTTGCTGCAAAACAGCCATAGTTATTATTAGTTTATTTGTGTTTGTGAGAGCTTGATTATTTTAATTTTGCTATACATATGACCCAAATTAATAACATAGATTAAAAAATATCTCTGGACAACTTATTCATAATTGTACTTACCATTGTCATAAGCAATCAAAAGAAATATATTTTTCTAGAGCTTCAAGTTAACTCGGTACTTTACTGTCGGGTTCACCGCACTTAAATGATGTTGAAGAATGAGATACCACACGTTTTTGATTTAACTAATCTGTTATAGTACATTAAATGTGCATTTGACTTATAAAGGTAGTTTAGCTTGAGCTGCTTAAGTTATAAAAGTTGTACTAGTTGTATGTCAAGTGAATTTAGTATGCACCGTTATCAGAATTTGAGTGTTTTAAATGATTTGACGTAAGTATTTAAAACTATGCTAATTGTTGTAGACTACATTATTTATTTGGAGCATTGTTTTATATTTATCAACATGGAAAAAGTCTAAAGTCACATTTATACTAATTACACGACTTAAGAAAGATACACAGTATCCCTATCCGTGACTAGAATCGTACTTGATTTTTTTTTTATGTGGCTATTCGTGTGCTTTGTTAAATGTCCATGATAAATACTGGTCGACTTGAACTTGTACGTAAATGTACTTGGTACTGACAGTGTTTCAAACAAAATTTCAAAGATAGATACTAAAAATCATATAATATATTTATTATTTTTTCAAGACTCTATTCTTTAGTATTTTAACAGGTTCATTCTAACTCTAGAATTTTCGCTTCTGGATCCACCAAGTAGTCATATTTGTATGTGTCAAACAAATTTACTAATTGTTTTATGAATTTCTGATGCAACTCGTCAATTTCCTCTTGCGTTGGATTTTCAACTCTAGCAACATCTATCGGTTGTCCCACTAAAAAAAAATAAAAGTACTTGTAACATAGCAGTCCACACCAACTTACCTACAGTGAAAAGTGGTTTTCGTCGTGGAATCAACCCAAAAGACGTTTGAAAAAAACCACTTCCAAGAGGCAAAGCAAGAGTATAACGAAACAGTTTTTTCCATAATAATTGACATCTACATATTAAAGGATTTTGAATTTGATCAAACAATTCTACTTCTCCAAATGTAAAAACTGGTACTAAAGACGCCCCAGTTTTCAAAGCGATTTTAACAAAGCCTTTTCTTTCTTTCAGCACTATTCTATGTTGTCCTGGTCGTGCACATATTGCTTCCGCTGCTCCACCAGGATACAAAATAACTCCATATCCTCCTTCGGGCTTATTTAATACATACGTCAAGGATTTAGCCGAGCAAGAAATCCCTCCTAGCCCGAGACCTATTTCTTTGGTAAAAGGTAAGTAGAAGAACAGCTCCATTCCTGCTAGTTTCAATATCAGTTCTGGATATCTTTTTTGCAATGTATTTCCTGGAGTTACTAACGATGAAATCGGACCGCAAGGTATTACGCCATGAGGGAAACAACAAAACAGAAAATTTTTATTTGGATGTAGTTCAAAACCCGGCATTAGTACTGTACGTACTGGGAAGTAGTTCCGTAAATGCTGCCACCAACTCAATTTTTGTATCCAATTGGAGGGTCGCCCGCCATTTTCACAAGTTTTTCTGTCCAAGTATATCGAGCAGATGTATATTAATGACAACCACCAAAAGCGTGTAAAACATAAATATATACTAAATAGTACACCTAGGTATCCTCCATATGAAAATGTAGCAAAGTATACCCCAGCAGCCAAAGCTTCTTTTCGCCGGTGTAAAGATTCAGTTAAAGGGATCAATTCCATTCCGAATATTTGCTGCAAAAGAGCTATAGATTAATAAATTCGTGTGGTTTTATTTAGTTTTTCAGAGAAGTTAGCTATTATAATTTTAAAGAAAATTCTAGCGTCCTTTTTTGTGTTCTTTCCTTGTCGTAATCATGAGTACTTTATGACATCCTTAATGACGCACTGAAAGTTGTTGACTTTAGTTCAGACAGTTATTATCTAGTAGATAACTACGTCTAGATAACGAACACTAAAAATTCATTTCTAGTATCAGTGTCGCAAAAAAATACGTCCTGTTGTTTATGTCATGACAAAGCAAAAAAATAAACAAACACCCAAACATCAAATCCTTTCTCCTAAATTTTGTCCTCCAGCAGGTTGTAACTCTTCTATTACTAGACACATCAAAATTACTGTAAAAGTTAAATTTAACGATATGTAACGCCTGTCTCTAATATTACAAATATCTATGACTATACATAATTTTATTTCAACAAATTCTTTCGTAATCCCACCCCAGACACGACTCAAAGTTGTAAACCACTGGTTTTCAAGATGCAGTGCATAAGATAATAATTATTGATGTTATCTACAATTTTACTTACCATTTTTTTCGTAATCAAGGCAGATACGTTGACTTCGGACCTCAAGTTGATATTGTGGAATTTTATTTCTGGGTTTAGCGTTTTTAAAAGTGTTGAACACTGGGTCATGTACATTTATTCCTTTATTACTCAATTTGTTGTTGTACATTCAATGTGCATTTACGAAAACGATAAAAGAGGTTAATTTATTTATCCGGACCAATGGTCAATACATATGTTAATTGCTGTTTACTTCACTTCTTACTTGACTTGACATAAACAAATTGTTTTGTAAAATATATAGATATTTATCGATAGTATAGAAAGAACCAAGAGCCTCAAGAAATCAAGTAGTTGTTCTCATTAACGAATCTAAATTTTGCAGTTTTCGTAATTTCTGCTGGATTTCGAGTTTATTTTTGACCATCTTCTATTTTGACTGGAAGATTTGTTTATACACAGATCAATACAATGAAGGTCCTCATTTACAGAGGCTGTTAAATATTTCTTGGTAATACTTCGCACTGTTTTTTAGTTGTATGTGTTTCAGAGAGGTTACCGTTTCCGTTTACCTGTCGTCTGTCGTCTGTCTGTTGCTAATTACAACAAAATTTTATTATTTTTTTTTTTTTTTGTTAAGATGTCTCTTCTGTTCTTATATTTTCTCCAAGAGTATATTTTGTTTATTTTCATAATTAATTAACTAAGTTCTGGGTTGCAAGTATACAATTTTTGGTAAGACATAACTTTATTTCTTCATGGAATAAACAAACCAACAATTTTAGTAGTACACTGGCAAATATATATCATAGCTTACATTATTACCAAAGAGTCGTCATCCGGTTTTTCCAAAAACTTGTCCTTGTGTAAATCAAACAAATCCTTCAGTTCTTGGACAAATTTCGCATGCAGGCTGTCAATTTCTTCGTTCGTTGGACTCTCTACCTTTTCAACCTCAATTGGCTTCCCCACTAAATTAACCAACATTAACAAATATAACCCAACTGTTACTAATAAAACTTACAAGCACACGTCAGCGGTACCTTTCTTGGAACCAACCCATAACGAAAAAGGAACCCCGTTCCATAAAAAATGACAGGTGCAATCCCGACATACTTCCTTATAAACTCTTGAATAGGTCTTAATTTTTCGGATATAACTTGTTCAAAAAGGTCTGGTTCACCGAACGCTATAACCGGTACTAACGGGGATCCATGTCTTAAAGCCATCTTAATAAACCCCTTTCGCTCTTTTATCAGAAAGGTATACTTCTGAGGACGACCATAATACGCTTCCATTGCTCCTCCAGGACTTAGAACCACTATCCTGCCACCTTCTGGTCTACTCAGTATATAATTAAGCGATTTGGCTGTACTCGATGTTAACCCCATCCCCATAATGACCTCCCTCCAGAAGGGAGTGAAGAGAAGAATGCGCAAAATAACTAGTTGTACTTGGAATTGAGGATACAAGTGCTGAAAATCGCTCACACCACTCGTGAGGCCAATATAGACGGCATTTGGTATAATTCCATGTGGGAAAAAACAGAAAAGGTAGTTGCGTTTTGGGTCTAGGTTAAATCCAGGTGCTAAGGCCAGTTTTGACGGAAAATAACTTTTGGGGTAGTACCAGATTTTGTTATTTTGGATCCAAGGAATAGTACGTCCTCCGAGATCGGGCGTGTCTTTGTCGTAGTACAACCATACAAGGTATGCAAGTGCTAACCACCAAAATCGTGTAGTGAAAAAGTAAATGAAAAATAACCAACCACTAAAAGGTGCTTGAGTGTAGAGTATGAAAATTATTCCGGTTGATAGTTTTTCAAAGATCTTCTGCGATATTGGAACGAACTGATAACTTTCGGTGGCCATTTTTTCATAAAATTTATTCCAATTAATTTTGTTTGGTATTAATTTCTAGGCACGAGTTCGATCTGGCGGGTTAACCGCGACTAACTTAATCGGGAGGTTTTGTGGTGTAGATTACTTTACAATAATGTCAAGTAGGTAGTTCGACACTTGTGTATTTCGTAGATAATGTTACTGATTATTATTAATGAGAATAACAATTAGCGTGACCTGGGTATATGTAGTCATTGCCACGGATTTCTAATGCTAAACATATTTTCACTTATAGGTGGTTCTTTCAGAAATTGCTAAAATTGTTAGACTCGAGTGTCTTACAGTACGACCTGTTTACCAAAGTACTAATTTATCTACAGATCTGATAAAATAAAATAGTAGTACGACCTGTGACTTCTACAAGTGTTTTTTTAAACAAATGAAGCAACTTTTAATCATCGCATTTGAAAATATATGTATATTCTAATTAACATACTTAACATATATTTAACATGTTTGTAATGTTTTAGCGCGAGTTTTCTGGTGTAGACGAGCAGATAAATTTTAGTAAATGTTTGTAGATATTAAATCAACGTCAGTCTTTTAACAAAATTTCGGGAATTTAATTATTACTTATGTAGAATTATATGCCTATTTTTAACGCAAACCAATTCTCACAAAACTATATTTTCCCTGATAATACAGCAACCAACAATGCAGTCATAACATTCGTAGCCTACATGACTACTAAAGAGTCATCATCAGATTTTTCCAACAACTTATCCTTGTGTAAATCAAATAAATCCTTCAATTCTTGCACAAACTTCGCATGCAGGCTGTCAATTTCTTCATTTGTTGGATTCTCAATCTTTTCAACCTCCATCGGCTTCCCTACTAAATAAACCCAACTTTAATAAAAACAGAACTCTTACTACTAAAACTTACAAGTACACGTCAACGGTGCCTTTTTTGGAACCAACCCGTAACGAAAAAAGAACCCCGTTCCATAAAAAATGACAGGAGCAATCCCAACATACTTCCTTATAAACTCTTGAATAGGCCTTAACTTTTCACATACAATTTGGTCAAAAAGGTCTGGTTCACCGAACGTTATAGCAGGTACTAACGGTACTCCACGTGTTAAACCCCTTTCTGTCTTTTATCAGGAAATTGTACTTCTGAGGACGACCATAATACGCTTCTATTGCTCCTCCAGGACTTAGAACCACTAACCTGCCGCCTTCTGGTCTACTCAGTATGTAAGTAAGCGATTTGGCTGAACAAGATGTTAACCCCATCCCTATGATAACCTCCCTCCAGAAGGGAGTGAAGAGAAGGATGCGTAAAGTAGCCAGTTGTACTTGGAATTGAGGATAGAAGTGGTGAAAGTCGCTCGCACCATTCGTGAACCCAGTATAGGCCGCAAAAGGTAGAATTCCATGTGGGAAAAAGCAGAGAAGGTAGTTGCGTTTTGGGTCTAGGTTAAATCCAGGTGCTAGGGCCAGTTTTGACGGGAAGTAGCTTTTGGGGTAGTACCAGATTTTGTTATTTTGGATCCAGGAAATAGTACGCCCTCCGGGATCGGGCGTGTCTTTGTCGTAGTAGAGCCACACAAGATATACTAGTGCTAACCACCAAAACCGTGTAGTGAAGAGGTAAATGAAAAATAACCAACCACTAAAAGGTGCTTGAAGGTAGAGTATGAAAATTATTCCGAGTGATAGTTTTTCCAGGAGCTTCTGCAACAGTGGACTGGGCTGACAACTTTCGGTGACCATTTTTTCTAATAGTTTTTGTATAATAGTATTAATTTCTAGGTACGAGTTCAACCTGCCGGTTGTTACTAGCTACTAACTTACGCTGGTGTAGTACTTGTTATGGCGTAAATTTCTTTACAACACTCATGCATTTCATAAACATGTGACTAATTGTTATTAATGCGATAGTAACTAGGGTGACCTGTGTATATGTAAAGTCATTGTCACGGTCTTCAAATGCTAAAATATTTTCATCTACAGTAGTTCTTTGAGAAATTACTAAAATTGGTAGACCTGAGTGTCTTAGAGCACGACCTGTTTACCAGAGTACTAATAAGTACTACTGATTTTTTTGCATATCTGCTAGAATAAAATAGTAGTACCACATACAAGTGCTAACAATTTTTTTGCAACGATTCCACCAATTTTACATACTTACCTAACATGCCTATATTTATTATGTTGTACGAAAAAAAGGCAAAATATAGTGCCGCCCACCCGCCCTATCTCAATTGTGATGATCTGTTTTATTCGTCGTGAGTCAAGAAGGCGGAGCTTAATAAGTTTCTTGTTCTGAAAAGACGACTACGTATATTAAGAAAAAAGGCAAAATATAAGCCCCGCCCACCCACCCTGTCTCAAATGTGATGATTTTTTTTTAATCGTCGAGAGCCAAAGGAGCGGAATTTAATTGCAAAATCCTTAATATTCCTCTACAAGAAATGAACATATAAGACATGTTTTTAAGTATCATGTTATTCAAAGAATACTAACTATGTATATTAAGCAAAAATTAAAGCCAAAGATTAAGCTCCACCCATACCTGCCCTGATCTAAACAGTGTTGAAGTTTTCATTCGTTGATAGAGCTAAGGGTGAAGCCTAATTGCAAAATCCATATTTCCTTACAAAAATTTACCATTTGAAACGTGTTTTAAGTTTCTGAAAAAAAAAATCATCAGAATTAAGATGGGGTGGGTGGGCGGGGTTTATATTTTGCCTTTTTTTTTCTTAATATACATAGTATTCTACTAACACGATACTCAAAAACATGTTTTTAATTTCTTGTAAAGAAATAAGTGTTTTGCAGTTAAGCTCTGCCCCCTTGGTTCACGGCGAAAAAAAAATCATCACAATTGAGATAGGGCGGGTGGGCGGGCTTACGTTTTGTCTTTTTGTTTTAATATGTGTAGACTTCTTTTCACAGCATGAAACTTAAAACATTAATTTCTAGGTACGTAAATTTCTTTACTTACTCATCCGTACCAGAAAACTGATTAAAAACATAATAAATATAGGTATGTTAAGTATGTTAATTAGAAAATACTTATGCTTTGAAATGTGATCATTATTACTTGCTTAAAGAAAGACACAGATTTGCAAATATTGGTGAAATCGTTGCAAAAATATTGTTAGTACTTGTATGTGGTACTACTATTTTATTCTATACAGATAAATTAGTAGTATTAGTACTCTGGTAAATAGATCGTGCTCTAAGACTAAGAAGGTCTACCAATTTTAGTAATTTCTGAAAGAACTACTGTAGGTGAAAATATTTTAGCATTTGAAGACCGCGACAATGACTTTACATACGCATAAGTCACTCTAGTTGCTATCGCATTAATAACAATTAGTCACATGTTTATGAAATACATGTGTAGGTAAGCGCAGAAAAATGTTGTGCCACGGTGGGATTCGAACCCCACGCCTCTCGCTATCCGTGCAAGCATCCTCACCACTAGACTACGAGGCCACTTATCTCTCTCTGCTTACCGACGTGTTATTGTGCCGCCACAGCATGAGTGTTGTAAATGTTATTACATATCTGTAATCAGTAAATCAATGTTCGTGTTTCAACAAAATTTCTGAAATTTCCCTCGTGTATTTTTCTAACGCAAATCAATTCTCCCAAATAAAAACAAAACTATAATTCTTCTGATGATACAGCAACCAACAACACACAGCATTGTTTAAGTAGTACAATTGCAAAATTCGTAGCTTACATGAGTACTAAAGAGTCATCGTCTGGTTTGTCCAACAACTTATCCTTATATAAATCAAACAAATCCTTCAATTCTTGCACAAACTTCGCATGCAGACTGTTAATTTCTTCATTTGTTGGATTCTCCACCTTTTCTACCTCGATCGGCTTCCCCACTAAATTAACCAAAAATTAACAAAAACACAACTATTATTATAAATAAAACTTACAAGCACACGTCAGCGGTACTTTCCTTGGAACCAACCCATAACGAAAAATGAACCCCGTTCCGTAGAAAATAATAGGAGCGATCCCTACGTACTTCCTTATAAACTCTTGAATAGGTCTTATTTTTTCGTTTATAATTTGGTCAAAGAGATCGGGTTCACCGAACGCTATGACAGGTACTAACGGCGATCCATGTCGTAAAGCCATCTTAATAAACCCCTTTCTGTCTTTTATCAGGAAGGTGTACTTCTGAGGACGGCCGTAATAAGCTTCCATTGCTCCTCCAGGACTTAAAAGCACGATTCTGCCACCTTCTGGTCTACTCAACAGATGATTAAGCGATTTAGCCGTACAGGATACCAAACCCATCCCCATTAGTACTTCCCTCCAGAAGGGAGTGAAAAGAAGGATACGTAAAAGAGCTATTTGTACTTGAAACTGTGGATACATGCGCTGAAATTCACAGGCGCCACTCGTGAGACCAACGTAGATGGCATTGGGTATAATTCCATGTGGAAAAAAACAGAAAAGGTAGTTGCGTTTCGGGTCTAGGTTAAATCCAGGCGCTAGGGCTAGATTTACGGGGTAGTAGGCTGTGGGGTAGCTCCAGACTTTGTTCTTTTGGATCCAGGATAGTGAGCGACCTCCAAGATCCGGTGTATCTTTGTCGTAGTACATCCACACAAGGTATGCGAGGGAGACCCACCAAAATTGTGTCGTTAAGAGGTAAATAAACAACAACCAACCGCTAAAAGTTGCCTGAGTGTAGAGTATGAAAATTACCCCAGTTGTTAATTTTTCAAGGCATTTCTGCAACAGCGGCTTGGACTCGGAAGTTTCACTAGCCATTTTTTTTCGTAAAATTACTTCAACGAGGGGACCAACGGAGTCTGTTAAACGCGGCTGACTACGTGAATTGTAATTTTTAAACTAAGAGATTTCTTTTTAAATGGTTAAGTCATGTATGGAGATAATGTGCATGTTACTGATGTGATAAGAGTCTGACCTGTGAATATAAGATGTCACTTAAGTCATTGCGCTAGGATCTTGAGCACGTTCAAGCGTGGGGATTATTTACTAAATAACAAGGTTGGTAGACTCGTGTGTCTCCGAGCACGACCTGTTTTACCACAACTTCGTATTACTACTAATTAATTCGGAGAACTTGTCGTACTACAAGGTCTTCGAAGACAATGTGGTACCGCTGCATGTGTGAGTTTGCGCATCCATAACAATTTTTTAATAACAAAGTAAATATTATCATTAGGCAATTGACATTTTAAGCAACAAATTTATTTATTAAATAAGATAGTTTCGCGTATGGAATTTTTCAAATGTACATAGATTAAAAACAAAATTTCCAAAAAATGCAACTGTAGTTGCCTACAGTTTCTTTATTTTAAAGCCAACAACATAATATAAAATAATCGAACAAAACAGTCTTAAACTCTTACTCCAACTCAAGTTGTGTCTTTTCTGGATTTTCCAAAAATTTGTATTTGTACTCTTCAAACAACTTAACTAACTCTTGTTTAAACCTCCCGTGCAAGTCCTCAATTTGCTCCCTAGTTGGATTTTCCACCTTAGAAAGCTCAATTGGCGTCCCCACTACAACCAAAAAGTAAACAAACCACCCCTCAATTAACCTTCCTTCTTACCAACTGTCTTTATCGGTTTCCTCCTCGGCACCACACCAAACGAATACTGGAAGAACCCTCTTCCTGAAAATATCACAGGAGCGATTCCCAGAATCCCCCTAAGAAACTCCTGAATCTTGCGAATGGTAGGCCCTTGCACTTGATCGAACAAGTCCGGTTCCCCGAACGATATAACAGGAACTATCGGTGACCCGTTCTTTAGAGCCACTTTAACAAACCCTTTGCGATTCTTCACAACGAATTTGTACTGTCCGGGACGGCTATTATAAGCTTCCACGGCTCCCCCAGGCATCAAAATAACCACTTGTCCCCCTTCAGGACTACTCAAAACGTAGTCCAACGATTTAGAGGAAGCCGAAATGCATCCTAACCCATAGGCAAGTTCGCGTAACAACGGCATGAGGAAATTTTGTGAGAGTATGACCAACTTTACGCTGAAATTCGGGAACAGCTTGTGGAATTCGCTGTGGGGGCTTTGGATGGTGGTGAAAGGACCAACGGGCAGTACCCCGTGGGGAAAGCAACAGAAGAGGTAATTGCGTTTCGGGTCGAGGGTGAAGTCGGGGACTAAATGGAGTTGTGTGGGAAAGTACTTTTTGAGGTAGTACCACCATTTCAGGTTTTGTACCCATGGGATGTATCGGCCGCCTTCTTCGCAGGTGTTGCTGTCGATGTAAATCCAGAGGAGATAGAGGAGGGACAGCCACCAGTAGGACGTGAAGAAGAGGTAACCGGTGATGATTATTCCGAAGAAGCTACCGAAAGCTAGGACGACGAACCATGCTGCGGCGGCGAGAGTTTGCAGGCGGCGTTCGAGGGGGACGTTCAGGGGGGCGAATTCGATTCCTAGGATTTTCATCTAGAAGCACAAAATCGAATAAAAATGGTGTTTTAGCTTGAGAAGGTACTAACATTTTTGTGCTATCTATCAGATAATTTTTATATTAGATGAGAAAATTTCACGTAATTACAAATAGTGTAAACATTAGATATGTTATCAGTTGTAAATTGAACTTTTTATGAGATAATTGAAGTGGATCTTTTTCATTGACATAGTTATAGCTACGTGGACGGAACTTTTACTATCTTCGACACAAGAAATGACAAAAAGTAAAGTAAACAAAAGGTTATAACAATAGATTAGAATTCGATGGAATTTTTGAATCAACCAAATTAAATATGTATTGTTAAACAAAAAAATTACTGTTGTAAATTTTGTGGTACTATAATGACTAATGAGAAACAATATTTCCAAAAATAATTTGAAAAGTGTGTAATCAGAGGGAAACGTTATCTTTATTTCCTTTGAATTGACAGCAGTATCATCAATTTGAGGTTTTCCACGTGGTAAATATTTAATAAAGATGAGTAATAAACCTGACGAAACTATTCATCCAGATAAAATTTGCTTTAATATGTAATATATTTACGAAAATTAATTTCCGGACGTTGTGATAGTAATTTAATTTAATTTTTTTGACACGTTGGCAACATATTTAAAACTTTATGATAGCATACTTGGTTTCAATTTGAAAATTTGGGCCCAAATAAGTAGCTTCTATTTTCTTATTGGTTTTTTAGGCCCACTCAGTCAAAATCGAAACTGTAACTGATATGCTAACATTACTGCCAATAATTCAGAATTGCTAACGTAAAATCTGGTATAAATTACCTTTTATTTGGTAGTATAACACTTTGAAGAACTTTCCACTTTAAAATAAGGCGCTACAATTTAAGTAACCGAAGAAAACTACTGACAAAGAAATTTTCCCTACACAAAAAAATTGTAGTCTAGGGTAGTACTTTGTAATGTCAAATAATGAAAAATTAGTTATAAAAGTGAAATGATTACGTGCATCACAACAAAATTAATCTTTTAGTATTTAATGATTTTAAAATAAGCTCTTCACCTTTTCTTATTCTATTAAGTGGGATTTATAAACCTGCTGTTGACGTTGAAGTTCCTGTTGCGGTTGCTGTTCCCGCTGACGTTGCTTTAATAGAGCTGAAAATTGTCTTTTCGAAGCTCTGTTGCCAAGTTGACGTTGATAGTAAGTTTGACATTCAATTTTTGGCGTATATAAAGGGTTTGTAAAAGAAAAGTGGAGTATTTAAATTAAAAATTTACCATCTTAGAAATGTTTTAAATTTCTTGTTGCCAAAATAAGTCTACGCATATTAAGAAAAAAAGGCAAAATGTAGCCCCGCCCACCCGCCCTATCTCAATTGTGATGATTTTTTTTTATTCGTCGTGAGCCAACAAGGCGGAGCTTAACTGCAAAATCTTTATTTCTCTACTAAAAAAAAAAAACATAAAGCCAAAGATTACGCCCCATCCATACCCGCCCCGATCTCAATTCTCAATTGTGCTGAATTTTTCATTCGTTGTCAGATCGAGAGGCGGGGCTTAATTGCAAGATCCATATTAGAAGTTACCATTTTAAACGTGCTTTAAGTTTCTAAGAATAAAAAAAATATCACAACTGAGATGAGATGGATGGGCGGGGTTTATATTTTAATTTCTTTTAAAGAAATAAGTATTTTGCAGTTAAGCTCCGCCCCCTTGGTTCACCCCGAATAAAAAAAAGTCATCACAATTGAGATCGGGTGGGTGGGTGGGTTTACATTTTGCCTTTTTGTTTAGACTTCTTTTCATAACATGAAACTTAAAACCTGTTTAAAATAGAAAATTTGAATAGGGAAATATCGATTTTGCAAGTAGGCTCCACCCCATGATTGCAAAATCCATATTTCCTTGCAAAAATGTACTATTTTAACCATGTTTTAAGTTTGTGAAAAGATGGCTATGTATATTAAAAAAAAAAAGGCAAAATATAAGCCCCGCCCACCCGCCCCATCTCTATTCTGATGATAAGCCGAGAGGCGAAACTTGATTGTAAAATCCTTATTTTTTCTACCCGTAATTACCATGTGAACTATGTTCTTAAGTAATCGTGTTATACAAAGAAAACTAAATGTATTAATCAAAAAGGAAAACCAAAAGAGAAGCCCCACCTATCCATCTCGATCTCAATCGTGATGAATTTTTCATTCATATTCAGACCGAGGGGCGGAACGTAATTGCAAAATCGATATTTCCCTATATAAATTTACCATTTTAAACATGTTTTAGATTTCTTGTTGTGAAAACTTGAAAAGATGACTACAGATATTAAGAAAAAAAGGCAAAATGTAAGCCCTTGTAATTATAACACCTAATCTATTTTTGAGACGAATAGCAATAAATCTTGTTGATTTAGACGTCGAGAACTATCTTTAACAATGCATAACTACTGACAGAAAGCTACGGTTTTGGTGAATCGGTAATTACTTCAGAGGATTTCCTTCAAGTTGGCAGCACTACACACCACCGTAATTTGATTGGTTGAAAACCCAACGTCAACGGCAACGTGACGGCGAACAGCAACGTCAGCGAAAAGTTTATAAATCGACCTTTATATTTGAACACATTCCACCATTTTGTCTGACGAAATAACGTGATTTATCTTCGTTAATGATACTTATTTTATTTATTTTGTCCTTATAAGCTAGAGTATAATATGTATAATTTACAGAAATTACTAACTTGTTATAGTTAATAGCTGTAATTACATATCTATATACACGAAACAGTGACATTACCTAGGTCAAAGCAATATCACTTATCTAGTGAATGAAATTTATTTAAACGTTTATCATTAAAATTTTAATGATGCAGCTAAACAACGCAAAAAATTTTAAAATAAGACGAAACAACGAATTATAGTTGTAAAAGTAAAAAAGAAGAAGCATTAAAAAAGACGGAGCAACAAGAGTACTTAATAATAATAATAATAATTCTTACAATTACAAGAAATAGCAAGGGACTATAAATGTCTGTGATTTTTTTTTGTCAGGTTGGCAACATATTTAAAATTTTATGATGGCATACCTAATTGCCAATTTCAATTTTATGACAATGAATCAGTAATTTGCTCTGGGAGTTAATAATAAATTCATAGGATAAATAAACATGCATTTTGTCAAAAAGAAACAATGGTCTATCAATTTTTTATTGTATCCGTACCCGTTTAAATATATACAGCCATTCCATTGTCAAAAAGTGTAAAACAACCTTAAAGTATTGTAACCTTATTTTTTAATTTTGTGATTTTTGACATCGCGGGGATGCTGACAATGGATGCAAAGTGACAATAAGCCATGGACTACATCAACAATTTCAGAATGACGTCTGACATTTTTTAGCCGCGACTGTAACTGTTGCCGCATAACAAACTGGTATTAAAAAAAATAATAATAACATTCAACTACAGTAAGTAGGTTTCTGTTTCGAAATAATGTATTAGATAATTTAAGAATTTGCCATGACATTCGTAACAATCGTAACCAGGATTGCCAAATTAAAGTTTAAAACCTGTCCCACTATAACTCCTCCGTTTGTCAATGGCACGAGTGACGTAAGTTTCTAAAAAATTTACTAATAAATGAAGTTGGAAAAAATGACATAATCAATAACTCCCTTATTTCGTAATCCGCGGAATTTTTAATAACAATTTCCAATCCAACGCAAAATTTTTTAGCTAACAGATCTGGGATCTAAAATTGTCCTGAAGTATTTTTGAAATTAAACTCATTGCAGAATTCATTCAGTGAAATCACAAGTGAATTATATACTTCTGTTGTTCTTAGTGGTGACTAAACTAAATTAACCAATCAAAAAAATTAAATAGAACTCACATTGCCCTTGTAAAGGAACATTGTATCGAGACAAATACTGCCACAAATTGTTACAAACTAATTCTCTTATTGCTAAAGCCGCCCACATCAAAACCGCTATAATTCGTATTACAATTTTTATGCCCCATAAAGAGAGAATTAATCATCTCGATAATTTTAATCACACGCGTTTTAGTCATCGCTGCATAACACTTGACCGCATGCAGTCGAAAAAAACCCGCTTCTTATCAAATTCGCCTCTTTTCAAATGCCATTACCGCACAAAAGCACCGCCTGAAACAATTTCCCGATCTCCAAAATTTCCAGACTACCGGTAATCTATTTAAACACCTAAGTGCAAAATCCCCACAATTCCTTTATCTCCAATTCGTCAATAAAATGTAGCACCCTCAGCACCTATAATTCCCTTACCGTTATTCACTTTTATCCACCCCAATATCGACATTCACCACCAAAACAATGCTCTACACTCGAATCATCTCGCGTTCACTCTTCTAGCTTGAATACTCACAAACTGAGAAATCCACAACTGTTTTCCGAATGGGTTTTAAATTTGAAGACCCCACTCTGCGCAACACACCTAAATTTATTTCTTAGCAAGTGTGTAATCGCAGGTATATTTGATAAGAAAGCGATAGCGGCGAAGACGCCACCGATTTTATTTCCGTGGAAATGGAACGGCGCCGGGAATCAAAGAGACGTATAATTGGATTACTTTTACTTTTACTTTTTTCAAGGGAAATTGGATTGTCATGTTGTGTAATCGTCTGATGACGGGGAAAACGTGGAACTTTTGTAGTTGTTCGAAGATCAATCGGCTGGAATTTGTCGGTTCTATTAGTGTCCAAGCTTGGTGTATTCATGTGGCTATTCATAGGTGTTTGTCTCATCTGCTGGTTGGATTCATCGATTGTTGTTTGTTTACAGAGTTTGAGTGCACTTTAGTGTTGTGAACTTTATTCTAGTTTTGGAATTTTGCCTCTAGTGAGTGTGGTTGGAGTTGTGCTAAAGTTCATTAGGGGAAAGGCGAAAAACGTTACGCATTATTAGTTCTGATAACGTTATCACTTTCAGATTTCCGGTACAAACTGTTTTCTTGTGTGCATATTTTGTGTATTTAAGTAATTAAATAGGGTGCACAGGAACTACAGGAAGACGTACATGCGGGCTTTGAATGGCTTAATTATGGTTTCCTATTTATTTTAAAACGTCTCCGACAAAGATTGATTTTAGTGTTTAATGATTATGAATAAGTTAGTATCGATAAAGGTGAAGGTCCACCGGCGATCGATTTACAAAGCGAAGTTAAACCCCGTGAAAATTTATCAAAATATAAGAGAAATTGGAGTTCATTTTTGGCAACATATTTTATTTTAGCATGTTCTTTACAACTATGTATGAGTTATCATTAAATACATTTTTTTTTAATTTAAATTAAAGAAAATATTGTGTTCTATCATCAGTGTCAAGTACTTGATTTAAATAAATGTAGATGGTACATTTTGAAGAACAAAAAAAAAAACAGGACCTGAAATTAATAGGCCGAAAACATTGGTAATATAGACAAGAAATAATTATAAATTCATTAATATCGTAATATCATTTTATACTGTATTGTTGGTTGCATACACAAATATTTATTTAAAAATTAAAATTGCGCGCAAAAAAACAACAGCGTGAAATCGCATTTGAATAATTTGAATTTAAAAAAAAAGCAAACCAAGAAAATCGTTAAACATAGGCGACCATGTGCAAGTTTAGTTCCTTTTTGGTAATTGGTAGTTCTGCTAGGGAATTTGTACGTAGAGGGTTGGTAGTGAAGTTTACTTGTTTGGCAAAAGAAAATCAATCATAACGACGTAATCAACGCCGCCACAGTTTCCCCAACACGCGATTTTTCCAAGCGGAAATTTTCGACCTACGCCAAAACGTGGTGTAAATTTGTTTTTGTTTTATTGTTTGTAAATTCACAGTTCATGTTAGGATTTTAATCGTTACTCGTTCTAACACAATTTAATAGGCATAAGTTTGTTTAGATAAAGCACTTGCTCGGAGATTTCATGAAATTCGCTTAGTCAGTGTGTTTATCAAATTATATAATAAATAATTGTATAAGGTTTCTGAATGCTTACACTTAAGTATTACGTAATAACACTTCTTAATTCCTCACACAAGATTGCTAATAGTTCATTTACGCCAGTTAAATTAACCTAACGTTGTCCCACTTTGGGAAAAGGACCGTGAAAGTGCGGTAAAATTCATACTATCGTGCACTGAGGTACGGGGGATTAAAATTTTTCCCGTTAGATAGTAATCATCGTTATAATCATCACATCACCGAGACATATTTTCTCGCGACGTTGGAAATTACACCACCGAGAAGCATTTCTCTCAATGGTAGATGCATTTTGTGTTTATAAAGTGTGGTATAATTTAACATCAGGTAAATTTTTTGTTTGAATCCTTGATAAAGTGTGGCAAATATGAACCTCATGCAATTTTTCTCTATCTCACAATTTTAGCCTCAGTAATAATTTTCTTTGCTGTATAATTTAAATTGAACGTAAATTTTCATGTTCTGCAATTCCTAACCTCACGTAATTTTTTGTCTGCATAAGTTTCACTTCACACCAGATTTTTTTTGTTGTTATTAATCTTTTCTAGTTTTTTTACCATGTAAATAGTTTATTGATTAATCCTTCCATCATATAATTGTCTGATGTCCAATGTTCATTTCAAATAAGAATTCTTTGCTGTTTAAAATTTCACGAGAGTGTATGGCGAATTCAAATGTTTATTGCTCTTTCTGAAACTTGTTCGTTTGTAGTTTAATATCAGAGTTATAGAAATTGAACATGTAAATAGAATTGGGGTAAATATCACAGAAACACGTGGCAGAAGCAGTGGGCGCGGTTCCTAGTCGAGCTGGCGGGATTTGTCGCGCCATCTGCACAAAAGGCGCAGACCTATACAGTACAACTCAGGAGAGCGGCCGGGATGACGTGACGCTCGCGGCTTGGCCCAATATCCGGAATTTTCAACCACGAATTTGCGACCGTAAAGGCACGTTTCTTCGTGATAGAGAGGTGCTGGGAGATATGTGCTTGCCGATAGAGTAGAATCACCGTCGTGGTGGGAGAACAGCCACAACCAGGAGCCCCAAACTCCGCTCGTGCTACAACACCCCCTATGGGTAATTTTGCTGTGCTCTAGAATGAAACTGATATAGTCCGCTGTCGCAGTGCGGCCCGCTTCATGGAGTTTTATTAAAATTTTGTTCTCTTGTTGACTGCCATAATTTTAAATTTACCGCCACACGTCCGTAATAACTTGCGTATTTACATCCATTTACTTTTCTTCATATTTTTCTTTGTTTTTATTAAATTTGTGATCATCCAGATATTTGCATTGATTCAGCGGTACTTTTCCAACCTTGGGGTCCACCACTTACATTCGCCACAAAAAAAAACAAACACAACGTAGGGTTCTATTTTGTTAAACGATCACAGCCAAGGCCAAATTTTTGAATTTTTGAATCTTTCGCGGGCTTTTCAATTTTTTTTCACATGCCAATTTAAGGCGGGATGTTTGGGTTATCACAACATAATACCACATAGGTCAGATTTTACCTTCCACATCCAGATTTTTTGAAAAAAAAAGTTAAGCTTGTAAAGTTCCATTACATTTTCAATTTAGTTGGAAACAGCAAAACTAAAATTTTGCTTTTGTTTATCAGTGCATTCATACCTTTTTTCTGCTTATACAGGGTATATAAAATTCATTAATGAAGTAATTTGTGTTAAATTAAGCTACACTTTATCAAGGACGTTAACAAGGAATTTATAAGCGATTAAATTATGTGTAAAAATCATTCAATGCAATCAAAAACACAATAAGCTGGTCTCCGAAACGCTGCGCCGCCGTCGAGAATCAATGTTCAAATTCAAGCCGCAAAAAAACTTGAATTATATAGTGATAAACAAAGGAGTGAAGTCTGAATAAGTGAATTTCCTGACACGTGGTTTGTATGATCAATTACATAAGTGTTAAATTGTATCAGAACCATGAACAGTTAAAAATCTTAGCTTGAACTGTGAATTTACAAACAAAACAAAAATTCACACCACGTGTTGACGACATCGTCGAAACTTCACATTTGGAATTAGGAAATCATTAATAAATTAATTAATTAATACATTCGTTGGGGGAAGACTGTGGCGTCGATACGATTCTTACTTACAAACTTACCCTTATTTTTCACCACGTGTTTATGCTACTTATTACTACTGTTACACAAGTGACGCCAACGCGTCAAAAAGGGAAGGGCCTAACCTAGCTTCTCACAAATCTACCTGCCTTGTTTTTTATTGTACTTTACAAACTACAACAGTTGTGTCTAAATAACTTTCTAAATACCAATTTTTATTTTTAAAATTTTATTGAATTTTCGATGGTTAAAGTCTCACGTTATTAAGTAACTCACTTCTTTACTTCCAATAATTTATATATAGTTCCAAAATTATTAATTAAAAAATATAAAGGGCATTTTCCTAGAAAAACGAAGTTATTAAAAACAAATCAATTTGTGCAAACAAGTTTTTGTGTATATGTTGTATAAGTATAGTTATAAAACGAAAAATACCGCTTTGTAGGTGGTTTAAATAAATGCAGATATCTTACAGAAATTTCAAAGGAGTTGGTAATGTAGTTTGACTGTATATTTTGTATAAAGCGCAATACATCAAAAATAGGAAAACAAATATAATAAATACTCCTTAATATAAAAATAAAATCAGTAACACCAACACAATAATAAAAAACAAAACGCAACCCACTAAACAAGCACTCAATAGCGGAGCGCACCTCCACCCTAAATATTTCCCATTCAAACAACTTCTAGGAACACATTTTCAGGATCTTTAACATATCTGTGTTTGTAATTTTCAAACAGGGTCTTTATGCTTTCAACAAACTGTTGATGCAACGCTTCTATCTGTTCCGTAGTAGGTTTTTCAATCTTGGTTACATCAATAGGGTCTCCAACTAAAAAAGTACCCATAAGTACCAAAAAAATTCAAAAATAAGTAAACTTACCAACAGTCACGATTGGTACCTGATTAGGACACACCAAGCAAGTCCCCTTTGGAATAGTAAGCCCAATTTGCAGAGTTTTCTTCACCACCTCTCGAATACAACCAAATCCCGGAAAAGTGAACTGATCAAAAACATCCGTTTCGCCGAAACTTATCACCGGAACTAACGAACATCCCGTCTGTAGCGCCATCTTCACGAAACCTTTTCTCTTATTTAGAATGATTTTGTATTTCCCGGGTCTGCTGTACTGAGCCTCATCGGCACCACCGATTACAATGGACACTATATTCCCGCCATTTTCATTCCCTAAAAGGTACTTAATCGATGGCCCGGATATCGAAACTGACCCAACCGACAGGAAAAGCTCCCTAATAAAAGGCAGCCAAAACTGGATATCTAAAGCCGTCAAGTACGTCCTGTGGTTGGGGTAAGTAGCTTGGTACCCATCCACCAACGTGGCAAAAGGCCCCACTGGAAATATTCCGTGTGGAAAGCACCCAAACAAGTAGTTCTTCTTTGGATTTAAAACAACATCCTCGTTGGTTATTAACTTGTGGCTAAAGTAGAACTTCATGGAACGCCACCAGAAGGATTGGCGCATCCACTGAATGGGTCTTCCTCCACGATGGGGCGTTTTTCGGTCGTACCATATCCATGCAGCGTACAACAGGATTATCCATCGAAACGTGGGGCAAAAAAGTAGGGTTATTGATGTGACGATTGACACCAAAAAACCAATCGAAAAGGTCCAAAACCAGGCTGTTGCGGAGAGTAGATGTATGAGTTGGGTCATCGCGAGTTCTAAAAATAAAATGGAAAAATGGTAATTTTTATTGTTGGTTTAGACAATAAGGTTGGTTGTACACTTTTTGATTATCATTCGAAGGTTATAGGTGTAATTATAAAACTAGACTAACAAACGCGACATGACGAAATGTATAAATAAAGAGCCACTGGTTACCAATAACGGTTTTGTTTGTTGAGTAAAATTACTTTTGTAATAGGGAATTCTTGCAATATTAATTCTATTTTTTTTTAATTCTGAGGTTTGTCGTATTTAATTGGAATTTTACACAAATGGGGCATTGTGTTTCACAAAAATTTCGAGCTTGTCACCCATCTCAAAATCTTGAAAAACTGAAAAAAGAATGCTAAATTTGGGGGCTTACAAGTTGACTTTCAATTTCTGTGCAAGCGTGGCCAGAAACTTTCAAAAGTCTATGTATATGTATTAAATAGGACGTCATTAAATCTATTTAACTATAAAAACCAGAAAAACTGTATGTTTTGAGCAAAATAAACTTCAATACATTTTTTTATGATTAGATTAACTTTAAATTTCACTGATCAGCTCAAACAGAGATTCGACAAATTTGGGGCTGACATAAATTCTTTTTACCAAACTAGAATGTCATTTTAATATGGTAAAAAATTACACTAAATTTAACTTCAAATTCTAATGTATGTATATTTGTGTGGTGTTACTATTTCCTCAAATGAGTAACAGTTGAAAACCTTAAAAAAATGCAACTTTAGCTATAAATCCACCATAAACGGTAAAACCAGAGAACATAGTAAAACCTTGTCGTACTGCATATTTTTATCATGTTATTTTCCCGCCGTTTTGGTGTCCTAAACCATTAATTCTGTTTCTAAAAATAAAAGTTTCAAAGATAAACCGTGTTCACTTCGAAAGCTTTGTTTTACAAAACATTATACATTAATTATCGCATCGAATGCATTAATCACGTTTACCTTTGAGAAATTACGGATGAGTACCATAATTACCAGTACGGTATTTTAAATATATTCACAGAAATAATAATTTATATGAAAACCAACAGATCCCGTTCTGAAGTGTACATGTTACGCGAGTGACCGACCGTCCGTTATCAGAGTCTGATGACTCATCATGACGCTCAAGTGTTTATTTATGTTTATACATCGAAAGAATGTCACGTAGAAATTAGTTTGATTTGTATGAGTTTGTCTTCTCAAAACATGGGACTAAAATTATTAACTATAACCACAATCGAACAAAATGTTCTGAATATTATGATTCTTATTTTATCATTATTATATTAAGACGTGCGTATTCTTCACATTTTCGAGAAAATGGGGCGATTCGTTCTTAATTTCACCAATAAAAAATTGGAAGTACCGGGATCCATAACCGGGACTTCCAATTGTAATGCACCACTGAACCACCAGCCATGCTTGCGGAGCCACGAATTAATTATGCTTATCGTATGAACGATGTTTAAACAATTACAATTATAATAATAATAAAACACAAAAGCAGGGGGATTCATAAAACACAAGTGTGGGAATACAATGCACTGCCAGACAAAAAAACTAGGACACTTCAACTTTTTGTAATTAACAACAACTCGCCGAACTAAAAAATATTCCAAAAAGCAAATCATTAATGTATTTATTTATAAACATAACTTTATTCTAGAACACGTGGAAACAGAAAAGAAGTAAAAAAAAGTGTCGGGCAGTGTATTTTATGCAATTCAAATTTTATTTATTGCGATCTATTCGCGTACGCTCGGGAAATAAAAATCGGGACGGCAGACAGACGGATAGACTGATAGACGGACGGACAGATGGACAGACAGACAGACGGACGGACGGACGGACGGACGGATAGACAGGGACGTCATTACAAGGTCTTCATAGATTCTACGAAGAACTACACCGTCGTTACAGGGCAATGAATGATATTCTCGTAACATTTAGTGTTCTTCAACCTAAAGGTCGATTTATAAATTTGTCACTGACGTTGCTATTCGCCGTTGACGTTGCCGTTGTAAAATAAATGCGGAGCGAAGGTATGCGTCGTTTATATCATCCGTTGATGTTGCCGTTGACAGTTGGCAGGCCGTTGGGGTGACGTTCGAGATGACAACTAGTTTTAATAATATTTTAATTGCAAAATCGATATTTCCTTATACAAATTTTCCATTTTAAACATGTTTTAAGTTTCATGTTGTGAAAAGCGATCTACACATATTAAAACAAAAACCCAAAATATAAGCCCACCCACCCGCCCTATCTCAATTGTGATGATTTTTTTCATTCGCCCTGAATCAAAGGGACTCAACTTAACTGCAAAATACTTATTTCTTTACAAGAAATTAAAAGCATGTTTTTGAGTATCGGGTTGTTCAAAGAGTACTGTGTATATTAAGAAAAAAAGCAAAATATAAACCCCGCCCACCCACCCCATCTCAATTGTGATGATTTTTTCATTCGCCCTGAACCAAGGGGACTCAGCTTAACTACAAAATACTTATTTCTTTACAAGATATTAAAAACATGTTTTTGAACATCGTGTTGTTCAAACAATACTAGTTATGTATATTAAGAAAAAAAGGCATAATATAAACCCCACCCGCCCACCCCATTTCAATTCTGATGATTTTCTTTCTTATTTTTAGAATCTTAAAACACGTTTAAAATGGTAAATTTTTGTAAGGAAATATGGATTTTGCAATTAGGCTCCGCCCCTGGGTCGGCCAACGAATGAAAACTTCATTACTATTTAGATCAGGGCAGTTATGGGTGGGGCTTAATCTTCGGCTTTAATTTTTTCTTAATATATGTACTTAGTATGTTTTTAATAGCACAATATTCAAAAACATGTCTTACATGGTAATTTCTTGTAGGGAAATAATAAGAATTTTGCAATTAAATTCCGCTCCTTTGGCTCTCGACAATTAAAAAAAAAAACATCACAATTGACATAGGGTGGGTGGGCGGGGCTTATATTTTGCCTTTTTTCTTAATATACGTAGTCGTCTTTTCAGAACAATAAATTTAAAACATGTTTAAAATGGTAAATTGTTGTAGACAAATATCGTTATTGCAATTAATCGATCTGACAACGAATGAAAAATTCATCACAATTGAGAATTGAGATCAGGGCGGGTATGGGTGGGGCTTAATATTTGGCTTTAATTTTTCTTAATATACATAGTATTCATTGAACAACACGATACTCAAACACATGTTTTTAATTTGTCGTAGAGAAATAAGGATTTTGCAGTTAAGCTCCGCCTTCCTGCCTCACGACGAATAAAAAAAATCATCGCATTTGAGATAGGGCGGGTGGGCGGGACTATATGTTGATTTTTTTTTCTTAATATGTGTAGACTTATTTCGTTAGAGCCGGCGTCAGAGCGAAAGGTGACAGGGGCGGGGCTTAAGTTGCGCGACTTGTAGTCGGACCAGCAGTGGCGTAACATCGATGTATTGAGAAGGGGGGTATGACTGCGTTATATTTCTATTAAAAACAATAAAAAAAGGCAACATGTACAAAATATTATATTTTATTAATGCCAACAATACTTTAATATTTCAAACTCAAAATATTTTTAATGTCCCTCGGATTATATCGTGCGTATTTTTAAATTTTAATCGCCGCCGTCACTGTTTCCACGATATTTGTAAGACCGAACCAAAACTGTGTTCTGCGTACTCCCACCTGCTGTCACCTTTCGCGTTGGAAGCTACTTCTAACAAGAAACTTAAAACATGTCTAAAATGGTAAATTTTTGTGGTAATCAACTTAAATCCTCCGCTTTTCTTCGAGAACCTCTTTAAATATAGCAAAAATTGAACATCAAACGGGGTTTATAAATGAGCTTTCAGCTCTAAAACCAATATCTATTAATTATATTTTCCAAGTGTAGCTACTCGATTTGTATGTATATTTAAGGAATTTGATATTTTTCTTTTATTGTATGTTATTATTGGTCTAAACGGAATTATTCTGTTGGACGAATAATCTAAAAATAGAAATTTAATATTTTTCTCTTGTTAATATGTCTAACTGCAATTTGTTTTTTTTAGAATATAAATAAAATTCAATGCACATCCGTTAGTAGGTAAATATGTATACGTTTCATAAATATATTTTTATACTTTTCAGAAATTTTGTTTTTCTTCTTTGTATGCACGTAACTTATTAAAACATTCACTTATAAACTGTTTGCTAAAGAAAGATTTTATGAAGTAATTATTGAAAGTTACTAACACACGCAAAAATTGTCGATACAGAGCAGCGAGAGGTATTAGACTGCTCCGTCTCCTCACTGCAGGTTTCCATAATCCCTAAACGTGGACAAAATTTCCTGAATGAGAATTTTTTGAGATAATATTTCAAACCACATATATATCTGACTGTAGAACATGAAAGAAGCTGCAGTTTGATGTATAGGTAATACATACTTATATACTAATATCATTTTATCACAGAAAACAAAAAAATTGTCACACCTCCTATAGTGAGTCCCCTTAAGAATTCCCTAAGTGTTGTTAATGGCGCCTTTCTTAGCCTACCCTTAATTATCCAGTTATGACTTTCGTGCAGTTAATAGCTTTAAATTTGTATCTAATGACATGCATCATTTACTAACCATTTGATTTGAGATAAAATACAGATGACTCAAAATTTTGGAATGCCAATAAAGTCCTATTATATTTACTTTAAGACCAGTGACTGTATTTATTGTACCATATAAGTAGATTTATATAACGGCACACACGTTAAATACAAACAAAATTCTACTTCCTCGTAATATCGTAATATATTTTTATTAATTCATTTCTAAAGAATGATTTAACTAAAACACTCCACTAACACATTTTATGGTAGAAAGAACACCACGTTAGGTGCTGTCATTTTTTTTTTATTATTATTATCTCAAATATTAATATTAAGAGTCAAAATTTCACACCAGTTCAAAGTTTACATTTATTTAAAGTGTTCAAATTAATACTTACCGTTTAAGTTAAATAATATTAAAAAGACAAGATAAAAACAACTAGCTTGCTCCCACTATCAACACTTGAATGCAACAGGTTAAGTGAACATTACAACGCACATCCACTAAGGACAACGACCTCGTCCACCTTGTTTTCCTGCCTTGATCACACTGAAAGCTCCGCTAGCGGTCAAGTTCAAATATACCTCTTGAATCACGTTTGCCCCTTCAATATGCATAAACTATGCAAATATGCAATCAGGTTCATGCCCTTTCACAATCGCAAATGAACCAAAAAAAAACTTCCGTACGAACAAATTAAAACTTTATTAAAAATACGGGAAATGAATGCTTTAAGCACTTCATCGACAGTTTTGCCGTAAAAAAGTAAATCCGTACGTAAAAACTTTAAGTTGTGGAAGTATTATCGTTTTCAAACAAATTCATGAGTTGCCCAATTGTGACTTTATTTTTTTCCCAGTTTTGCGAGTCGCTGCTCACTGCTTTCTGAATACTTTCTTCTATTGAGCCTTTTATGAAAAACTTGTGGACTACAGTTGGCCTGGAACAGTTTTATTAAAATGGGTCCATAGTTCCGGGACAAAACTCACCTCGTTTGTCCGATTCTATGGACTCTGCCGATTGCTTGAAGTTCGTCGCCGACATTAAGCAACGGCTCGGTCAAAATAACGTGAGTCGCTTCCACCAAATTCAGACCTTTGGCGCCCAAATTTATGGGCAGCAGCAGAGCGGTGATGTGCTGCCTTTCGTCCTACGAAATTACACATTTTTGAATACTTGAACATCCATTTTAAAAATCTAAATTTAGTGATAATAAATATTTATGACAAAAATGATAACGCACATTTGGTGCAAACCAATTGTCACTAACGCATGCGCAGATTTTTAGTCAAGCTCCACCCACCTTAAACTTTTCTATCTGCTTTTCCAGAGATCCCGACGACACCAACTCTGAAGGAATGTCATTATTAGTCAACGCTTCCTTAACGTAATTTAAGACAGAAACCCACGACGAGAAAACCAGAATTTTGACGTCACAGTCTTCGGATCTCAGCTCCATGATTAGTTTAACGATGCTTTCAACTTTGGTCGAATAGTTGCCGGCGATTTTTGCGGTTTCTACTTCCTGGTTTTGTTCGTCGGTCTTGGTGTAGGAAATTTCTATTACAGAGTAGTAGGCGCGGCAAACACAGCATTGCAGATGTTGACCTCTGATCTACAATTTAAAATCTAAGTTTTCGAAAAAGTTGGAAAAATTGCTAGTACTTGATCGATTAGTTGTTGGATGCAGTCAAAGCAGTAACTGTGACCGCAAGGTACCATCCCCCAGTGGTTTTCTAACGCGTTTTTACAAATAGGGCAAGGATCTAGACTTTGATTTTCGTTATGTTGCTGAGTGAGAGTCTCTAGGTACTTTCGTGTTGCGATGTTCTTATCAAGGAAAGCCATATTGCGGTGTTCTTCGTTATGGAGGACTATGCGCTGGTGTTCCAACTAGAAATTTAATTGTTGTGATCGCGGTACAAATAAGTTAGAGCGTGCGTGTAAAGCGCACGACATTATCTGAAAATATATATAAATCAAAATAGACACCTACCTCGTGCTCATCCAAAAGAAAAATCGTTTCTACTTTATTCTCCAGATTGTAAGTCAAATTCTTCAGTATCGACGTAACTTCCTTCTTCTGCGGTTTATCATCATTGGGCCCTTTCAACCTCAGTCTTGTTTTACACATATCCAATTCATCCTGAGCGCAAATCTGCTGATCCAAATGCGTCCACAGTTTTCTCACTTCTTTAAATTCCTTCTTCAGCGTATCCAAGATATTTATGTGTATTTCGCCGTCTTTAACCAAATCATTGTTGGCGTTCTTCGCTCTTCCTATCGCCAGTATAGCTAAAAAAAAACCATGAGTACAACCCCATCACAACTGAAACCCATACATCTGAATATCAATTCCTGCGGAGTCGGTTTCCAGCTCCCTTTAAGCGACATATCCTCGAAATTAGTCGTCCTCTTCCCCATAAAAAACAACTCGAATTCGTATGCCTTAAGGTGATCGTTGGCCACACACACCGGGCATTTTTTCTTACTACTTTTAGACTTTTTCTGGGGTCTTAAATGGCAGTCAGTGGCTTTTTGTACTAATTCATCAGAAACTATAATTTGGAATTCGTCTTCCGGGCAGTGCGTGTATAAATCGTTAACGACTTGGATTGCGTTTTCGCGTAAATTAGATATGTGGTCGTCCCAACTGGATATCGCGTAAATCAGACTCCTCGCGTTTTTGAAACTGTGCTAAAATTAGTAGTGTGAAAATAACAATTTTCGTGAACTTACTCCACGGAGCATTCGACGTTAGCAACGGAATGTAGATTTTCGATTCTCGTGTATAGTTCTTGATCGTAGCTGTGGACGTAAATCCACTCCAGTAAATCGCTGTACCACCTCCCGGCGTCTAGCACGAAACTATCTTGCAATTTTGTGACGTTGGCAGTGATTAACAAAGTGTCTTGAAGAGCAGCCATCGACTGGTTGATAAATTTTTCAATATACTTCTTTTCTACTTCTTGACAGTCCCGACGCAACGTGTCGTCTCTCAATGTCGCCCCGTTTGTTGCACACGTATCTAATACTTCCGCTAGATTATGCATGGCGTGAACGACCTGTAACTTGTCAACTGACAACTTAGCGATTTTCTCTTCCTCTGTGAATCTCGTGTAGAGTTGGAGAACCGCGCGATATTCCTCGATGGCTTGTTCTGGAGCCTGCAGAAGCAAGTAGATGCCGGCCAGACCTACAAACCAAGTGTTACACTTGACATCACAAGTGTTACACCAACATACCGTTCAGCGCGCTCAAAACCACCCGCAAATATTCTTCACTTTCGTTGTTATTTTTAGCAATCAACGCATCAAGAAGGTCCTTCATGGACTTGACGGGTTTTTTCGTAGCTAAATACCGTGTTTTAATCGAATTGGGGTAAGTACAAATTTGACGCAAAGACAAAAGTGGCGCTAATACCTGAAGAAGAAGAGCCATAAGCCGAAACGTTGAAAATATTACTTTACCATTTTTAGGGCGCTTTTATCCAGAGACTGCAACGGAACATCAGGTTCGTGCGATCTCACTTTGTCCAAAAACACTTTCTGGCTAGAACTGTGTTCACACTTGTAAAAATGGTGTTCTATGGTGGAAAAGGACAACCAGTGTTCTTTGATCGTTTGTTTGGGTATATTAATCTACAATTGGCACTGTATAAGTGAAAATGTTGAGCGTTTTGTACTGAGTACCTGATCTATGACGTCGTCCTTGGACGACCTCCACAGCACCTGTGCGAGAAATGTTAGCATAGGGGCGGTTTTACCCTGGGAGTAGGGATTGAACAGAAGTTGTTCCCATGTGTATGAGTCGTTATAGGGTTCCAGGTGAAGGTAATCGATAAGCCCGTGTAAATCTAAACATCATTTTTGCGTGATTATGGGGGTTGGGTGGGATAGCGGGGCTTGTGATGGGAAAATAAACAAAACATAACCTTACTAAAAATGACACAAACAGGCCTTGCATAAACAATTCACACATCCAAGTGGGCACTGATTTGTTCTCTTACGTGCTTAGTGGATACATGTTTAATTGGTTGCATAACTCTAAACATACAAAAACTTTCAACGAAATATCGAAGATTTACTTAAAAAAAAAATTGTTTCTACGATAAAACAACGACAACTATATTAATCAAAACAGTAAGTGTCCGTTATTATTTAATTTACCTGAAATTTCTTTCGATATTGGGGTTCCCGTGACCGCCCACCTAAAGTGCGCCGTGAGCTTCTTCGCCATCGCCGACACCATACTGGTGGTAGTTTCGACAGTTTGCGCCTCATCTAGACACAAGCGCCACCATTTAACCCTCGTAAGGGGGCTTCCAGGGGCTGAGTATCTTTTATGATGCCTAAACGACAAAGCCTAAAACCAACACACTATAACAAACCCGCCACTGCTACAACACAACGACACACTTTCTCAGTTTCCGTTAACCTCAGTTCCGACTGCAACACACTGTACGTCGTAATGACGATATCATATTTTGTTAATTCATTTGGATAAGTTGGCGTGACTGACGATCCGCCATATTGCAAAACTTTAAGATCGCCTTTAATGTGTTTGCAGATTTCCTTGCACCATTGCGTGCGTAAAGAAACCGGGGAGACAATCAAGGTGGCTTTGGTTTCGAGTAAGGGTTGGTTCATCCAACACTGCGGACATCTGTAAGGGCCGAAGTTCTTTTTGTACCCGAGACAGTCGCCATGTTGGATTTTGTCGCAGTCTATACACGTCACGCTTCCTTCTTCACTACTTCCTCCGCATATACACTGAAGAGCATTTTCGTCTTTATGCTCTGTTTTCTTACAGGCGGTTTGTAAAACGCTGTTGTACCAGGTTTCTAAAGCGACGTACGTTTGTGATTTTTTACTGCTTGATTTTACCCAGTCGTCGGGTACTTTTAATTTTTTTGATTGATCGATTAGGTCTGGTTTGGGTTCCGGTTTGGTTTCTCTCATTTTACGCTTTTTCGAGATGAGTTTGACTGTGGGTGACGTTTCTAGGTTTATGTTTTCTTCGTTTTCTAGAGGTTTGGAATGAAGGAGAATACAAGCTAGAACTTCTACAGTTTTTCCCAAACCCATTTCGTCGGCTAAGATGCCGCCTTTGGTTGTGGTTTCGATTGTGGGTTTTGTTATATCTACGTATCCTGAGTATTTATCGTAATAAATGTCTAAACCAGACTCTAGTTTTATCACAGTGTAAAGAGGGTGGAGCTCACCTATAAATTTTACAATGAATAGTTACGTAAACGAATGAAAATTTGTTTATTCATTTCTTCCATCTAATTGATGACGTCATCTCAAGAAATTATCAAGTACGAATAATATATATATTTACAAATATGCTTTAAAATAAATTTTACAGGACGTCCAAAAAAAGTAATCTAATAAATAACAATGATTATCTCCTAACCTAACTCAAAAATTATTGACGGCATGGATAAAGCATAATAGAAAAAACTAATTTCATGAAATATTCTTAACTTTTGAATTCTTGAATTTATTGTACTTTTTGAGAAAATTTGAATAATAAAATGAAATTAAAATTGTAACTTTAAAAGAAATATGATTTACCTTCAGGGGCGTCAGTTTTTCTTTCTTGTTGCAGCATCCACCGAACGGCGTCTTCTTGATAAGGTCTCAATTGTGGCTTAAGTCTTGGATGCTGAACATTTTCGCACTCTATTTTGTTGCTCTTTTCCCTTTCTTTTCGAATATTTTTGTACAGTTGCGCAACAGCAAACTCACTGGATAAATCAACCTCACTTTCCTCTAAACAAGACAGTTATGAAACAATTAAGACTCAATATCGCTACTATACCATTGTCATCAATAATGGGAACATCTAGTACTAATGATAATACTGTTTGGATACACAATCCAAGTCGTTTTGTAAACCTGGGCAGTGGTAGATCACAAAAGTAGAGATCGAAAAACACACTTCCATCAATAAGTAAAACATGTATAGCAAAAATTCTAGAGTAAATAACTTCTGCAATTAAAAGATTAAAATCAAGACATTGGTTTGTACAAGAATACCTTCGACTACGTCGTTTCCTGGTAAAAGTTCGACCAGGACGGATGTAGAATCCAGATTTATGAGCAAATGTTTATTGGGTGTTCCTCTTTTAAACAAAAAACTCATTTTACAAGTTGACCATGTGTCAGGCAGTTCATTGTGTGTGGTTCCAGCCAGCAACTTTCCTAAATGAAATTGTTTGTTTTTCTCAGATGGTATAAGAATCTTATAACACTGTCCGGTACTTAACGAATTATTGCTTCGCTTTTTACTTCTACGTGGTTTTACTGGAATGTAATCTAAATACCGAGAGTGGCAGCCTTCACTCGAATTGAACTTCGTTGGTGTTGTTTTTTGACGACCCATGATCTAGCTACGTATTTACGGGTTTTGTTAATCCTAGTAATAAATTAATCTGACTGTGTTTAAGTTTATTCACTTCGGATGCGAGTCGTCGCAAGCGTTGTAGTATCAACTCGAGATTTAGGGCTTACCGTGCCCTTCAGAGAACATGGGGGAGATTAAACATAGAACACCACAAATCAACAATGTAAAAACACCTCATAACACCCAAAAATTGTACGAAGCCGAATTTGAACACTTCGAGACGCTAATATTTTGACATCTGTGTTTGACATAATATTGACGACCGTCATAAAGTTGGTGATTTGAAAATGCCAATTCAGTGTCAGAAAGTCCCTAGATAGACTGAAACCATAAACATAAAAAAGTGTAGACCAGCCAATGGGTTTAAATTTTTGATAACTAAACAAAAAGTGGGTCCCATTTTCTATGTTAATCCTTTTTTGAAAAGATGGTTGCCTCTTTTGGAACTAAATTTTTGACGACTCGACTACTCATAACATCCACGTTTTTACAAAAAGTACAAAAATAAAAAACTAAAAAACTTTATTTCAAAAATAGACTTACTAACATGGTATCTATATATCTAATTAGGTGGAATCCACCCACCAAAACACTTTTCCAATTCTTCCGCAACCGCAAAACACAGTCTGTCCTGCTTTGGTCCCGCTATCACTTGAATCCCTATTGGAAGTCCATTTTTATCAAACCCACAAGGAACGTGAGTCGAAGGGAGCTCAGTCGAGTTATAAGTCATTAAATAAGACGTTCCTAGTGTGTTCAGGATGTAAGCACCATGGTGGAGAGCAGACTTTGTAAATGTTGGGTATAGCAAAACACCATCGTCCCCCAGAAATTTCTGAAAGTTAAACTGCTAAACAAACCCACACATTCAACAATTTTAGAAACTTACCCTAAACATTTTTTTCAAATCCTCGTTTTTTTGCATATAACTATCGCTCTGTATGAATGTTTGATATACATTTTGTATTAGATAGAAGTGTAGTAACCCGAAAGTAAAGTTTGAGAAACCTAGAACGCTTTTGAGAAGCTCTACAGCCAAATTGTGATTTCCCTAAAACGAAGTTGATAAGTTTTAGAAAATTTGACGTGAGTAAAGACTTACAGCTTTCAATAGGTTTGGAGTGTCCTTCAAGCTGTTGAGCACTGAACCAGAAACTTCGCAACTGTTTTTGAGTTCGGAAAATTTGACATCATCAACAACATGACAGCCGCAAGTATTTTTGAGATATTCAGCGCTTTGTCTTACAGCAGCTGAGATTTCTTTTTGTACGTGTGGAAGAACGAAAGATTTTCCTTCTTCTTCCATGAAAAACACTCTAATTTTACTTATATCCACCTGCAATGATTACAAACTTTAGTGTCAATATATGGGTTCGATTTTTTTTGTCATACTTTATCGTCTAGGCGAAGTTCCGGTAACACAGCATCGTCTGTCATAACTTTCATCATTAGCTTCAAGTCTTTAGAATATCGCGTCATGGGACCAACAACCAAATAATCAGCATACTTCTTGTCAATACAGTAAGGAAAATGTCCCTTGATGGATATAGTTCCTTCAAAATCAAAAATCATTTGAAGGATTAACTAGAATCAAGGGAATTTAGTTACGTGGAGTTGGTTTGTGGCCAAAAACGCAATTAAACATAGCCGGTAGTCTAATGGAACCAGCAACATCCGAACCGATTCCTATCACGGAAGCGCCAGATCCCAAAAGGGCACCCTAAAATTTTCAGTGTAACTTATAAGCTACAAGTTTCGTACTAAATAAAGCCAAAATCAGACTTTAACACTGCTGATTAACGTAAATCAGCAGTGTTGATATGATTTTGACTGAAATAACTACTTCTCCTCCTGATGAACCTCCAGTGGTACGAGAAGTGTCATACGGATTGTTTGTTCTTCCGGTTATAAAGTTGCTGGTTTGCCAGTCTAGGCAAATTTCTGGAGTGTTGGAAACCAAAAGTGGAATGGCACCACTAGATTTTAATTTGGCTACGGCGTCACCATCTTTGTCTGCTTTAATTCCGGACCTGGATAAGGTTCCAACGCACAAGCTCATACCTTAAAAATATTTGGAAAGTTATTATTGTGTAGGTACTAAAATTTGACTATAATACTGAATAAAAAAAAAATCCTCTATTAGGTAACGTAATTTATTTTTAAAATAGTGATGTTGGCAACACTGCAATTGGCTTACTAGAAGATATTTTTTTTTCAATCATACGGTACACTAAAAATTGTACTGGACGGACTGGATTTTTTTGTGTGAGACCTTACAATCGGTTCAGTTTTTGCTGTTAACCTTGAGTCATGAGTATTTTGTAGTTTTTTGTTTCTTATATGGAGATTTAATTAGCTCATGTTATTATCTTCAGGTGCGTGCGGAAATTAAAACAAATACCACACAATATCCATTTTAAATTTTCATACATAATTAAAAAATGGGTATTCTCATAATGACGAGAAAATGTGCAATAAAATTAATTTACGAGCGAAAATAAACTGCGATGTAGGAAATAACATATATCACAAGCTATTACTGTTGTGTACTTTCCTTATTTTTGAAGAATAAGTTAACTATTGCGTGTACGTAACATTATTTCTACCTATTATCTAATGTCTGCAAGGAATACCTGACCATTAAATCGAAGGTTTTCGTCCTCACTAGTATAAGTACAACTTGTTTTTTTTCTGTAGACAAAGTAGGTCAAGTAGTAATCTCGACCAAGTGCGAACTGTAATTTTAAAGTACTCGTACTTTCCTAAAAAATAAAATTTCTCCAACTTTCTTTTGATATAATTTATAGGTACAGTTGTCAGTTAAGTACCTACCGCTGAAATAGTACTTATTAGACCTTAACTGACAGGAAATAACGTTGGCAATACTTAACTTTACTCAAACATAGTTTTTGCTGCACAATTTGCTTCCTTTTTTACATTTTTGCATTTAGAAGCTTCCGGCTATCTTAAATTTACATAAATAAAGTGCAACCAAGGACTTATCAAACAGCAACAATAATTAAAAAGTATAATAGTCTGTGAGCACCAAGAAATCTACCCTTGGAGTTAACCCAATTTATGTTAGCAATAAGCAAAAACCGTATCAACTCTCCACTCAACCAACAACTTAAAAGTTTATTGACTTGGGCTTTCGCAAAGATCCGTGCGTCAAACGCAGTTACGTTTTTCAGCCAAGAGCGAATCAAATCGCTTACACACACTTTTGTCACGCTGAAATCGCTTCAGCATTTCATTTGGAAATACCTTTTATTGCTATTAAGCAACGTTTTGTTCCCGAAGTGGAGCACCGCTTCATTACGGCATTCCTAGTTTGCGAGTCTTCGAACACTTACCTCCAAGAGAACAACTTTCCTTTACGGTCAGTGGTACTCCCAACAAAGGTTTTGTTTTCTCTAGTTCTTCGTTACTTTCAAATGACGTTTGCAAATAATTATCGACGTTACGAGCATCTTGCAATGCGATTTCGAACCTGTCTTCGACAACTGCGTTCAGGATGGGATTGACTTCCTTGATGCGTTTTATGTAGGCGGTACATAGCTGTTCGCTGCTTATCTGTAATAGGCATTGGGTTGGATGTTAGTGACTAAACGGGTTTTTGAAGTATAGCAACTACTTTTTTTTAAAAATTAAACATTTTGAAAAGTTGTTAAACCTTGGTTTTATTAAAAACCAAAGGCAATCAAATTTAAAAAAATGTGGTTCCTGGAATCGTATGTTAAATCCGGCATTGACATAGATGACTAAAACAAATGTTTCGTGTACAATTGCATCCATTGTTAACAAAATTTGAGTGGTATTTACAGAAAGGTTCCATGTTAATATGTTAAAAATGATAATAGTACTTTTTTACTCTGTGAGATAAATAATTTCAACTTAGCAAAATCGAAACGTTGATCTACAATTTAAATTAATTATAAAGATTAGTGGCTAATTTTGTTTTAATATGAAGGTAGGTACCACTTTTTGTAAAAATTGAGAATTTTGTGAAAGTTGCACTAAGCCTTGGTGTTATTAAAATGCAAAGATTACGAGATTTCAAAAAATGTGTTTTCTGGAATCGTAGTTTTTCCTGTTAGTTACATGCGGCATTGACATAGATAGCGAACTGGTGACTAAATTATAAAATAAGTGTTTATTATGGTACTTGGTTGGCATACAAACAGTTTTATGTAAAATTTACATCCATTATTAATAACATTTCAGAGGTAATCCCAATGTTAATACATTATTATGTATAAAATTATAACATTTATTATTATTCCAAGTCGAAGTATTCAAAAATCTGAACCTTTTGGTTTGGTACTGTCAATACATGTATATAGTGACTTTATGCTTTATTACGTGGTCATAGTAAAAACAATAGTAACAAAGCCAATATTTAAATCTTCCAAGATGTTTTTTTCCTAATAAAAAATAATTTATGTAAAACGTGATACGTTACAAAAAAGTCGTAAAACTGCTTTAGATGTACACATAAATATAAGATTATAATATTGGCACAAAAAAACGTCCGCGTGTTTACCGTAAGAACTGTTTTTCTACGTTCGGACAGATCACAATACTTTTTTTTTTAATGCAAACCAGGTAGTTGATCTCAGACGCACGTTTATTTACTTTTTTTATTATTAGCTTTACAGCTATCTAGTGGGAATAAATATTTTAATTCTGATATGTACTTTGTCAGAGTACGATTTCCAAGTACTACTACTTCGAAAGTAAGAATAACAACACTGTTATCGAAGCATTAAAAATTATATTTGTCAATATCATGTTTTATTAATATTTTTTGAGGCGACGTCATCAGCTTTTTGGGAGGGAAATTTGCATTTTCGTATTCTACAATCTGTTTTTTAATGTCAAGAAAAAAAAACACTGAAATATGAGTGTATTACTTAATTAAAACCGGTTTACGACTCTACTACAGATTTTTTGAAAGATAATAAAATAATATTTTTATTTTTTCATTCATTATAATTATAAAAAACTTGAAACAATGTAAAATTGCACAAAACAATTTTCTGTACCTATCTACATTATGTGTGACGCATTGTTGTTTTTGTATCGGTAATTACACAACCTTTGCCCAACATAAATAACACATTAAAATTAAATGCCTCATTTCTTTGACTGGTGTATAATATGAACTTGTCCAAGGATAAGGTCAGTATCATGTCTGAGCAATCAACAAAATAAAATTAATTCAAATAAAACAACCTTACCTCTCTTCGTCTGATTTTTTCGGCCGAATCCGTCGCACTAATTTTGAGTAATCCATCACTGATAGTGGGTACAGTTTTCCGTGGTCCTCTGTACTTTAGCCACAATATAGGCGCAACGATCACATTCAAACAATTTAAAACTACGCTGATGAAACGAAGCACAAAATTCATTTTCTGTGTAAAGTAAAATCTAACTGTCGACAAGTCACCGGTTTGGTAGCATCTAAAATTGAAAATTGAATAAACACACAGTAAACTATTTTTCTTTTCTGACCAAGTTTTAAGGGTGTAAACGTGCATCCAAGTCAAAGTCGCAACTAAACACTGAAACTCACCTGGGTCTGCGTTCAAGATCAATAACTCTTTCACTCTGACCGTGAAAAAAGCACACAAATTGTTAAAACCTGACGTGAGATTATGTTTTGAATAATTAATAAATTGAATGACAAACTGGAAATGTTAAAGTTAAAGTTTTTTTTGAATTTTCTGAGTTTTAAAACTGTTGTGGAAAATTTTACTTACCACAGAATAATTTTGAGTATGACGTTTCGTGCTATAGAATTATTATGGAAATCTCACGAACTATTATTATTTATTAGCAGTGAAAACAGTAATTTCACACAACAGAATATTCTCTTATACGTCGGGAAAGTACGTTTACATTTTACAGCGTTTGGAAGAAATTTAAATCGCCTGTAGAGTGAAACATAGTTCATATTTTTATGAGAGTTTAAATCGGGGAGGGGATAATCATTATGGTGTTTTATTTAAAAAAAAAAAACCTAGGATTGGCAATTACAGGTTATCTACGTCATATATTTGCCAGTACAGAAATAAACAAAAATTAAAAATTAATTAACTTGAAATTGTTTCTAACATTATTTGTTTTCAAAATTCATTCTACAGTTTAATTACTGCATTGTCATAGCCTGGGAAAAACCACTGAAGTTAAAAAATACATTTTCACACTGTTTTTCATGTTTTTCTTGCTTTATGTAAATTTCGGTCTATAATAAATTACCCATTAGCTGATGGTTGTATACTCAAGCAGTGCTGCTTCATTAACAGGGATTTATTATGTTTAATTTAAAACATAGTCAAGGTTAGAATAAAATATCCCGTTTTCGTCTAATGAGAATTTTTATTAATCTAGCAGATAAAATTAATTGCTTCGCAAGAAGTATCACATTCTACTAATAAACACATTATTAGTAACTCGTTTAGTGTATTTTTTATAGATTTTGCAGACTCGAACATTTCCTAAATAAAAACGACGTACTTTTATGTTACTATTTGTTTATTTTCCCATTATTTTGTATGCATATTTAAAAAAATAGAATATTATCAAGTTACTTATACACGTACTTTGTTTTGTATTTTTACTCTTACTTACTGAAATCATAATTTCGAAGTGGTGATTTTTAATGTTTCTATATATCGAACTGTAATCTTAATCGTAATTTTAATCTACGGCTTTATATTATATAGCTAAAAACCGTCAGTACATCATAACTTTGGCAGCGTCCGCCTGAAAATTTCGGATTCTGTCGTTCGAGTTTTTTAATAAAATTGACACTACCAAGTGTATATATATTGTATGTAAAAGTGAGTACAAAACAGTCTAGACAATATTAAAGTTTTATTATTGTTTTATTCAGAACTATAAACTTTGTTTTGTAAATAAATTTAGCTATCTTTACTGTGCTAACATGTATAGGCAACCAGCAATACATAACATATAATTACATATACATTTCTGTAGAATAGATCCGTTTTAAACAAAGTTTGTTACATTTAATTGAAGAAAGTCTCTATATCTATCCCTGTCTGAAAACATATAACACATTTTTTTATCAAAGGTTGTAAATTATATCCATCCATCTGATATCTATAGGATGCATGAATATTTGTAAAGTGGGTTGCATAACAATATTAATTTTTTGAATGAAATTTATTTAAACGAAATCACAATTAGGCTTAATTTCCGTATGAACTTGTTTTTATTTTTAATTTAATATTTATTATAAAATTATAGCACAAAAAGTTGTAGTTAGTTCAAAAAATCGATTAGCAATTGAGAGAAAAGACAATGAAAATCATAAGCAAGCAAATTATTATCTTTACCAACATCCAGGATCCAGAGACAAATTCTGTCATAGCCTGCCCACAGCTAGAGTGCCTTGACAGAATATGTCGTTTTTATATTTTATATTTTGTCTTTTTTTCTTAATATTCGTAGTCTTCTCTTCACAACAAGAAACTTAAAACATGTTTAAAACAGGTAAAATGGACTTTGCAATTAAGCTCCGCCCCTCAGTCTGACAACGAATGGAAAATTCATCACGATTGAGATCCAGACGGATGGGTGGGGCTTATCTTTGGATTTTTTTTACTTACTACATATAGTTTTCTTTGAGCAACACCATCACTGAAGAATATGTTTTACATTGTAATTCGTGTAGAAAAATACGGATTTTGCAATTAAGCTCCGCCTCCCCTGACTAACCACGAACAAAGAAAAATCGTCACAATTGACACAGGGTGGGTGGGTGGGGCATATGTTTTGAAACTGAAAAATGATAAATTTTATTCCCCACACTTCTCTACAAATTTATCCTTTTAAACATGTTTTCAGTTTCTTGTCGTGAAAAGAAAACTACGTGCATATAATTAGAAAACAAAGGCAAAATACAAAGCCCGCCCCCAGCTCAATTGTGATAACGTTTTTATTCGTTGTTAGCCGAAAGGCGGAGTTTATTGCAAAATGCTTATTTCACTACAAGAAACTACCATGTGAAACATGTTTTCCAGTAACATGTTCTTGAAAGGAAACTATATATGTTAAGAACAGAAGTAAAAAATTAAGCCCCACCCACCCGCCCCAATCTCAATTGTGATGAATTTTTCATTCGTTGTCAGACCGAGGGGTGGAGCTTAATTGTAAAATCGATGTTTCATTTTAAAAATATTGTCTTGAAAAGATTGTTACGTATATCCAGAAAAAATGCAAAATTTAAGCTCCACTTACTCCCCACCATGTTAATTGTAATGATGTTACTCGTTGTGAATATTGAAATTCTAAAAAATTGTCATACATATTTCATATTGTAAATTGTGGAAAAATGGTGGCAGTCTTCCAGGAAATGAAGACGAAAATAACTTCTGGAAATCAAAATATATAAAACAAAACTTTAGTTAATTTTCGAAAGTGTTCGAAATTTGGCAAAAAAATTCATATTGAAAAAATTTAAAACGGCAGGTTCTGTCAAGGCACTCTACCTACAGCTAGAGGCGAAATTGAAGTCGAAGTGAAATCTAGACCGCCATCACCTTTAGCACCATTTACTATTTAGATATATGTATTTTTTTTAAACAATTTAAATTAATCAAGAACTCGAAATGGAACAATTGATACAATAATAACTGAAGCATCAACTAAATTGAAATCGTTAAATGCACACGTTACAAACGTTAAGAAAACACAACAAAAAGAAAAATTTATAGTTTACAATATGTCTTCGGCCATCTTAACACACAACGTAGGTCCTACCATTGCCAGACGTTCACATTCATTGGTCAAATTGTTTTATATTTGAATTTTCGCGGTTTGTTGGGTTCGAAGAGCGCATGCGTAAAATTATTTAAAATAATTAAAGGTACTAGAATTAGAATCAATGGATCTGGAATCCAGCAGTCTTTTTATTGAAATTCACAAATCAAGAAACGATGAACGTTGTCGTTGGATATCTCCAAACACTGTCGGGGCAATACAGGACTTAAATTTTTTTTCTTTGTTATGTTTTAATATTATTGATATAATATAAGGGATTACTGATTGAATTTACAGTTTATATTATAGCCACTAGATTACATATAGTAGCGACATCGGGTCACTAACTGGTCCCACTAGTGCTGCCAACTTAAAATCCAGGCGAAAAATGGCGCCTCCTTTAAATTAAAAATTGTGTAAAATTAAAATTTGATACACAAAACAGGAAAAATTGTTATTATTAATATATTTATATATATTAATTATTGATTTTAACACAAATCTCCACACGAATAACAGAACATACTTACTTGCAATAAACAACAAAATGATGTTTTGAGTTTTGACAACAAAACAGGCTTTGACTCTGTGCTACGTTGTAGTATATGAATCTCTCCAAGAAAATGGGGCAAAAAAAGCATATGTATCTCCTATTATTTTTATTCATAGACTTTGAACTGTACACTATTGTTCTGTTATTTTGGTTACGTTTTTTTACATAAAAATACACCCTACTTCTTATATATAATTTAACAATACTTTCAATTATGTTATTGCCGCAGGTACAAAACATTGTTTTTTCCAAACTGTTGAGTACCATATTGCATATTTGATCATTTTTAATGTTATTGTTATTTAGAAGATGTAAAGTGTTTCGAAATATTTTTTCCATCTTCACAAATCGGCATTTTTATTGAATTTAACGCAAATCTCCACACGAACAACAAACACACGCACTTGCAATTAACAACAAAATGGTCTTTAGAGTTTTGACAACAAAACATGTTTTGACTTTTTGTGCTACGTTGTTTACACCAGGGTAGACAACACAAAACACAACCGAAACATCTGACATTTAGTTACTTCAGTGCAACCAACACAATTTGGGACCAGCCAGGAGACCCAGGTGACGCTACTATATGTAATCTAGTGGCTATAGTTTATATTTATAGTGTACAAATTTTATTACAAGAATGACAGTTCTGATTGGAATTTGTAAAATTTTGGGGAATTTTATCATGGTTGGAATGACAAACGTAGATTGTAACATTTGAAGTTTAAATTTTCACGATAATAAAATATGATACAATAATGAGTAAAACTGAGGAATATCTTACCACGTTGATAAATACTGTATTTACTGTGACTTCAATAGCTCGGTTATGATCGCGAAGTAGAAAATTAGTTAACCATTAACTAACATATTTGTTGCAATGTTCCTATAATAATCGAAATCTTTCAAAATTAGAAAATATAAATTAAATTATGCAACTAAATATACACTTTATGTACAAATTTCTGTCAAAGTTTGAATGAAATATATTCGCTTTTGTCCAATGAGTATTTTTTGTTAATCGGGCAAATTAAATTAAAAGCTTTGTAAGAAGTATCACATTTTAATAAACACGATCGATACAACACTAACTAATTATTAAAAAAAAGAACTCCAAATTTTTCGCATATTTCAGAGATTTTTTATTAGACAAAATTTTGAGTTTAGTTTTTGAGGAGGGGATAAACGAATAAATTTTGATTAAGGATTTTTCAAAGTTATACAATTTTGATTTTTTTTCTGAAAATCTGGATGTCTAGGATGAAAACTTAACGCGGTTTCATATACCACAAGTGCAGCAGATAAAATAAAAAACAAATTTACTAGTGTAAATTTTGGGGATGACGCTCGGGAAGTAAAACTTGACATTTTGTCCATGAAAATAAATGCTGGGTACCTGATAAATATTTTCAAATTCAAAAGAATTAACGTCATAATGAAAGAAATAAGTGTTTACAAAATAAAATTAAGAATTAACTTTCCACATATAGAATTCGTAATAAATACTTAATTGATGTCTTCAAGGACAAGTACTACCGTTGATATTGTAGTAGGTATAAACATTTCTATTCATTTTTTGAGTCTTATTATCAGTACCAATACATTACGTCATTCCACGCTAAACGTTGAAACTATGCGCAATTAACTTTAAACGTAGTTAGATTATTATTGAAAAATAATAGCTTTATCAAATACAGCGAAGGACATTGTGACTAAACTTTTATTTTGTGTCCGGTGATTTTTCAAATTTCGGCTCTAGTTACCCTTACGCTTACGTCAACAGTTTTTATCTCGGTAAGCAAACATTAATTTTGAAACAAGAAATGAAAATTTCCTTTCCTGTTAATCAAATTTTCAATGTGTTTTCCTAGTTACATAGACCTAGATTTATTACTTTGTAACGTACATTTACAATTATCATTTTTTTAACATAACTGAAAACCCTCGAGTAAAAAGGTAGTTATTAAAAGTGTTTGTGCAAAAAATATGTTTCTTGTTCTTATTTTATTTCACAGCAGCAAGTTCCCAAGTAAGTACTTCAAACTATGTAAATTTCCAACCGCCAAAAGCCCTTTCGATTTCTTCAGCTACGCACAACGTAAGACGATCTAAATTAGGCGCTGCCACCACCTGAAACCAAAACGAGTGTCAGTTCTTATTTCTAGAATAACGACGATTTTTTCCTACCTGAATTCCAACAGGCAATCCATCTGGTGAAAACATAACAGGACAGTTGGTCGCCGGAAACCCCAAAGCATTAAAAATAGTTAAATATGCTGTATCAAACACTGTTCTGTACACATTATTGTGATAGGGAGCTTCACTACAGTGACTAGGCAAAATAAAAACTCCATCATCACCTAATATTTTGATGAAATCGTCACGTAATTTGTCCAAATTCCTAGAAACTTGTTTCATAAATTTGGAAAGGACAGTGGGAACTACACTTCTGAGCATATATAATGACACCGTGTTAAATGCTTGTTTAGACTGGCCAGTCAGAAATTTGAAAATTTCGAAAATCTGTTCACCTTCACACATACCATTAAGTTTACCCACGTCTAGAAGAGACAGAAAACACAGTTGGGCACAGTTCCTCATGAGCGGAATCGTAACCTGATAAACAAAATTTAACAACCACTACAAACTAGTACCTTGACTAACCTTTGTACATTCGAGTTGGCAGACGACGTCAAAATGTGCTACCACTTTTTCAAAAGCTGTAACTACATTCTTGTTAAAATTTTTGGCATGAAAACAGTTTAAGTCTTGTATGTAATATAATTTAATTTTTTTCACGTCCACCTGGAAGAAAATTTGGGTCAACGTCAACTAAAAATGTAAACTCACTGATTGGTGTAGTTCCAACATGGATTTCATATTCGGTTCCGCGATGGTACTAAGCAGAAGCCTCAAATCTGTAGCGTACCTTGTCATAGGACCAAACGTAAAATAATTACACCAGCGTTTTTTGTTTAAACCATCGGGTCTGTGACCCACGGTGGAAATTACGTAAGGAGTGGGTTTGTGGCCCCAAACTCCGCAAAAATGTGCCGGGAGCCTGACGGATCCACAAATATCGGATCCTATTCCCATTAATGAGGCCCCGCATGCAAGCAAGCTCGCCTAAGAAAATATATAGTATAAAAATGGTAATCTTTCTATGCTGGTTCGTACTTCGCCTCCAGAAGATCCTCCCGGTGTCCTCGTCGTGTTGTAAGGATTCGCCGTAGTCCCAATCAGTTTATTCGTGGTTTCCCAGTTCAAGCACAGTTCAGGTATGTTAGAAATAAGCAGAACTACAGCTCCCGCTTCCTTGGCTTTTTGAACGGCAACAGCGTCGCGTTTAGCTTTTTCCTGATAATCGACGCGTCCAGCACCGTGGTTCAACCCGGCGACTGCAATGCTCCCTTTGATGGTAATAGGAACCCCAAGTAAAGGATACTTTTCGCTGAGTTGCTCTTCATTTAATCCGGAATGTAAAACAATGTCGTCTGCTCTGCGCGCATCTTCGAGAGCTTCTGGGAAGCGGTTTTCAATCACCGCGTTAATGAGTGAATTGACTTCGTTTATTCTTGAGATGTAGGCTTGCACAACGGCGACGCTAGAAATCTGATGAGAATTTAAAATAGTTAATGTAAAAAATGTAAACAATTTACCTGGTTTTTGCGGATACGTCGCGCCAGTTCGGATGCTCTTATTAATAAAAGGTCGTTTTTAATAGGTGGACATTTTTTTGGTGTTTTGAACAATCGGAGGAAGAAAATGGGTATGTATATGATTTCTATTATCAGTTGAACGCACCAGATGACTATGCGTATAACAAGTTCGAGCACCATCTAAAACATGAGAATATTTTTTTGAAGTCAAAAGGGTGATTAGGGCGTGAATAGATTAATTGACACTGTACCGGTAGCAGGTAGAATCTTATGCCATTCAATATCTGTCTATTTTCAGGATATAAGGCCGCGGAGTTTTATCTGGGACACTTGTATAAGTTCAATAAATTCATTCATTTAACCAATAGCATTGTTTTACGAACGTATATGAATTAATTGTATGTAAATTACCGTTTTTTCAAGCATCATAACCTTTTGTGATCTAATTCTCAATGGAAAATTTTTCGTGCCGTACTGAGATGATTTTTATTTGTCACTCTTATAATAGGAGAATGTCTTCTCAGGCAAGAGGATTTATTGTCCCTGTTGTGAAGAAGTCGGAAAAATTACGGCAAGTTGAGTGACAATTAATCCTATATCTTACGTCGGACTTTACCATAAACACACTTATTATTTCACTTCTCTCGTGGTATCAGAATCAGAACTCTCGTGTTATCTGATGAACATATGTAGATATTCTATTTTTACTCGTTATAGTGAATACAATTAACGCAAGGTGCACTTCAGTGTTTACGAGCTAGGTAATTTTAAATACCTAATAGCAAAAATTTGTCGTATATACCTACAGGATAAAACTGGTTTAGTTGGAAACTGAATTAATCCTTTTCCTATGTATGATAAAACCGGTACAGGTATAATAAAATATTTTAATAACACTAGTTTACAAATTTAAATATTTGTCATATAAATAAAACAATTATTTTTACTGCTAAATTACTTAGTCATAACACGTGCAAAAACGGATAATCCTTATCACGTCCAAGATAATGAATTTTGCTTTTACCTGTATAAAATAAGTGTTAAACTGACTTATTTCAAATATGCGAGGTTTTTGGGACGAAAATATGTTAGGGGATCATTGTTGGTCTATTATAAGGGAAACTGACAGTACTGCCAATAAAAGAAGATTTAGTGTTAATCATTTTTAACTTTCATCCATAATATTTATAATGTGGATGTTTATATTTAACCATTTTTCTCTTCGGATACAAAATCTTTTTGACTTCCAACGCATAGGTATTTAGTTTTTATCCTGATTAGAAACATTTTCCAGTTATCAACGTGGAGCGGCACAATTTTTTCTTAATTACAAATAACTAAGTGATTTTATTATTATTATTGTGCATATTAAAAAAAAAAATCAAAAAATTACTTACGGCCCGTATTAATTCAAGAACTGCTTAATTATAAGTCTGCTTCATTTCTTGAAATTCTTGGACTAAAAGTGACCCACTAAGTACCAAAGTAGCACACTACACAATCGAGCTCGGCAGTTGGTACCACTCAACAGATCGGTGGTAGGTACTACTACAAACAACTACATTCTACGTCCTGCACGTGTTTTTCGAATTGTCCTGCGCAGGACTGGATCACAATTATAAAATGACCCAAAATACGATACTCCAACTAGGAGAGAAAATAAATAACCAATTAGAAAAAAAAAATGTAATTGTAAAGGTATCAATGAAGGTGACGTTAGAGATAATTGTTACGCGTGAAAATATACAAACTGATAGCGTCACAAATTCGTGGCTTTATTATTTTTACCGCACAATATCGATAACATTATCTAAATGTTATAAATAAAGTGAATTATTTATAGCAGAGTGGTTCCAGATATACGAAGTTTGGCGAACGGAGAACACAAGTCAGGATGGCCGAGCGGTCTAAGGCGCTGCGTTCAGGTCGCAGTCCACTCTGTGGGCGTGGGTTCGAATCCCACTTCTGACAAACTTTTTTTTTTATTGTTATTTTGTTGTATACGTGGTAACATTCACAGTAGACTCACTTGTAAACACAATTATCATCTATTGTTCGTTAATGGAATCGTGAAGTTTTAATAGGTAGACGTTAAGTGCGTTTACTATACTAAATACTACGTGTTTTTTTATTGTTTAACCAAAAACTAATGTTTATTATGCGAAAGTTGTAAACAGTTTAAATGGTAGCCGTAAAACTTGTCATTGTGGCGGTTATAAAATATGTAATTATGATTATTTATTTCTTTTAAAACTATTTATATGCTAAATTCTGTAAAATTCATTACTGTGTAGATTATGTTGTACTTCTGTACCGATTTTTTATTTTTGTTCTTTCTAATTATATTAATTCTCGAAAGAAAATCACGAACCTGTCGTTCCTACTAGCTACAAAACACGTATGTTAAGTCGACAAAAATATAGTCTTTCTTACTTTTCGGGTTTTTGACAGAGGGTATTTGTGGTCATTATGGCGATCGGTGTGTACTGTAAGTGTTTTTTAACTGTCTACATTAGACATTATCACCAAACGTACCTTAAAAAATTACTATTCTCTAACTATAGTTTCAATGTCAACCAAAACAACAAAATTTAAATAATGTGCAGATTAATTTGAATTTAGTGTTTTGTGTTTATCATGTTTTAATTATGACTTTGTTTTTAAATTAGGTTAATTAATAGGTACATTTTTTATTGCCACGTCCTGTACTTACACATTTATTTTATTAAAAAAAAATCCACATATACTACTACACGATTCATGTCGAAAGTCTTTAGATGGGCAAGTTCTGTGATGGACTGTTTCACTAAAAGAAAATGTTAACTCGGAACTGGTAAATCAAGTTGTTCAATAATAAATATGTAACACAATTTTGTTCTTCACTCAAGTACATTTTTGCAGATCAGGTCAACAGTGATATAAGTATGTGTCAAAAACCAGTCTTATCCTGTTGTGTCAAGTGTCAAAACTTTAAATAAAAATTTTAGTTGAAAATCACTATGTAAGCCAAGGACAGTACAAGCTAAAGATGTTTACTAGAAGCGTTGGAAGATTCGGCAGAATTCTTATCAGAAATTTCTCGTCACAATCAAAGTTAGTTTCATCTTGTTCAACAAACATGTTTTTTTTTTTGTCAGACTACTACTACTACACATAAATATATATCTTTCATGTTCAGTTGCAACTCCGGGGGTGCAGATGCCAAAGACAATTTATCTGCTGTTTTATGTGGTATAAACGACTTGCGTCTGGTAAGTCGACCCAATTCCAACCCACAAAAATAACAACTTTGAAAATTTTCAAGGAACAAAGACCCGTTCCAAAACCTAGAGACCATCGTAAGTACTTATCACCCAATAAACCTTCACAGTGCACACCCACCCTAGAAGTTCTTCTTCAGATGGAATCAGTGGGAATCTGTGGCTCTGACGTCCATTTTCTTGTGCATGGAAAACTTGGCCCCTTTGTTGTGACGGATCCCATGATTATTGGCCACGAAGCCTCTGGAACCGTAGTCGAAATAGGAAAAAAAGTAAAGACACTCAAACCTGGTAAACACCATGTATAAAACTATACATCTTTGTTGCACTTTCGCTACCGCAGGTGACCGCGTCGCCATCGAACCTGGTGTAGGCTGCCGAATGTGCAGCTACTGCAAAGAAGGAAGATATCACCTTTGCCCCGACATGGCTTTCTGTGCCGCACCTCCCATTGATGGTAATCTTTCAAGATTTTTTGCCCACGATGAAGACTTTTGTTTTAAGTAAGTAGTAAAACAAAAATTTGTAAACTAGGTAGCTTGGTGTTGTAGACTACCGGATCACCTAACGTACGACGAAGGAGCTCTCATGGAACCTCTAGCAGTAGCCGTTCATTCGTTAAAACAAGCCAATTTTCGTCTAGGTCAAGTACTTTTAGTCATGGGTGCTGGTCCCATCGGTCTCGTCACCATGTTAGCCGGAAAAGCTATAGGGGCTTCTGCAGTTCTTGTCACAGGTGGAAGCACACAGTGTTGACATGATTTAACATCGTCTTGTAGACACTGAAGATTTTCGTTTAAAGAAAGCGAAAGACTTTGGAGCGGATTGTGTTTATCAGATGTGTGAAGACAAGCCAGAGGACGAAATTGTGCAAGAAATTAAAGAAGAATTGGGATGTGAACCTCACGCCACGATTGACTGTGCCGGAGCTGTACAGGCTATTAGGATTTCACTTAAGGTGATTTTGCTTTTAGTGAAGATATATCATTTCAGTTTATTGATAGGTTACTAGAACTGGTGGTGTCGTGGTTTTAACAGGAATGGGTCAACTTGAAATGAATATACCTTTGACTAGCGCAATTTTTAGAGAAGTTGATATTAAAGGAGTTTTTCGATACAATAATGAGTAAGGTTTTGTTAAATTTACGTATATAATGACAGTTGATGTTAGAAATATGACTATGTTTTCTTTCAGTTATCCTATGGCTATTGATATGGTAGCAAGTGGAAGAGCCAATGTTAAACCTTTGGTTACACATCACTTTAAAATTGAAGATACAGTCAAAGCTTTCGAAACGGCAAAAACAAGGGAAGGAAATCCGATTAAAATAATGATTCACCCAAATCCGAACTGGCAACACTGCTTATAAATGTGTATTAAATTTAAATGTCTATGTAATATAGTTTTCGTTTTTAGATATTTATACAGGAAAATTAAGTATTAATTTACTATTTTGGCAACCGAGTTTCGTGAATTCTTGACGTTTATAAGATACGAAAATGCAAGTTTTCGCAGTGACATTGTTGCAATATTGGTTTTATTATTGCATTTTGCCCTCTGGCTCTATGCTTGGTCGCTAATTTATTTTAAATTAAATAGGTACTTTGTCTCTGTTTGCCAATTATGGAATATTTTCATTTCCTCTAATATTTCCACACAACTGCGCATCAACAAAATTATAGTCCAAAGATTACATTGCTTCTTTTTCGTCGACCAGGAATTACAGGAGTGTTTGTTACATCACTCAGTGAAGCAAGTCGAGTCGACTTCAGATGAACATGTTTTCATAAAAAATTGGTAACGTCACGCAAGTCCCCATAGCAACTGATTTTTTTAATTAGGTAGTCTTAAGTATGTTGAATACTGTGCAGGACTGTTACCAATACCAATATCAACAACGTCAAGATGTTCATTATGATAAAAAAATAGCGTTATTATTGTATTTTTCGAAATTAGATTAATCTGGATTCACAGTAGGGTTTTTTGTTTTCAGTTATTTATAACATTCAGTATAGTTTAAGCATTTTGGTTTTTTCATTGGTAAAGATGTCGAAGTAATAATTTTGTTCGTGTAATGTAAAAAATGACATTTCTTCATCATATTCATAATGGTGGTTATTGACCCAGTAGCAAGTGGAAGAACCAGTCTGCAACCTCAGGCTTCACATGACTTGAATTGAAGACACAGTTAAGGTCTTCGAAACGGCAATAACAAGGGAACAATTCACCCAAATCCGAATTAATAACACTGGTAATAAAAATGTGTAAGAAGCTCCTCGCCTAAAAAAAATTATAACGCAACCAACAATACAACTGCATAGCGAGCTTAGATATTAATTAAATTTTTTGAAATCACCTCTTTGTTTTTGATACATTGGAAATCGGATTTGCATCGATGCAATACATACAAAGAACCATATGGTAGTTCTTTGTGAATCCAAATATTAATTCAACCCAACTCAAACTGGCAACAGTGTTAATATAAATGCGCTAAATTTAAACGTCTGTGTTGTGGTTTATCCGTAACCGAGCCACATGTTGAAAACAGATAGACATACAAATTTTGTAAACGCCACTGTTTTTATCGTGACGGAGGAAGCTTAATTTGGTACATTTTAGATCATTTTTTACGACATTTTCATTGTCTCCTATTATCAGAATCAAATCGTGTACTCTTTCAGTAGAATAACTTGATTCACTAAGCCAATATCTGGTTCTAGTGTTACACAGGTGGTAAAATGATGATATATTAATGAAGACCAACCCACCTCGCTTGAAAAATGGCCATTTCCCCCATTTCCTCCATCCCTTATCAGTAATCAGTAATCGTTATCAGCGTGCGCAATTCCGAGAGAGACAGGCACACGTATCGAGAGGACGGAATTCAATTTCCAATCGGATCAATGGCCGATGACCGATCAGAGGCTAAATAATATCTGATTTGGTCCACCAGGAGAACATGAGCGGCTGGAGGTAACCGTTAAGCCGCCAATATTTCCGATAAGTTTGCATCAATCGATTGCGTGCCCGTTTGGCGCGCGCTGAATTGTTTATCGAATTTGGCACAATTTCAGTTATTTTCAGCGACCCGCTGAATTTCAGTTCGTGATCATGTTACTAAAACTTCGTTCCACTCTCTCTCGTACGTACAAAACAGAAACGAATGAAACTTTATTTGAAATAACTTTTGAATAGCGGCTGCTGGGAACAGGGCAGGAGCATTCTTTGACCTCCTCGCGTTTCTGCGGTCCTGATATTAGGCGGGCCACGCGAGGAGCTCGCATTCCGTTTCTCACATTCTTCACGTTATTTTCGTTGGGGAGGTTGTGGCGAGATGGCGCTAGGTGGCGAGAAACCGAAAAACACTTGGTGGTGATGAATTTTTGTATATACTGATACTAAAATCATGCTTATGAATAATTTTAATTACTATTAGTTTAATAATTGAGAAAAAAAAACACAAAATATCAATGTTTTTAGAATGACGATGTGAAAAAAAAAAGTTGGCAGCGGTGGGATTCGAACCCACGCCTCCGAAGAGACTGGTGCCTTAAACCAGCGCCTTAGACCGCTCGGCCACGCTACCTTCGTGCACAAACAAGTCAATGTACTGATACTGTCATATCAATACAGAGGAATGCTGAAATCGTTCACAACAAAATATTTCAATAAATTTTTGTAAGTATAACTTCTTTAAGATTATTTAAATAGAACTTACCTTCGCCCCTAAGTACAATCAAATAAATCCAGTTTCTGAGATAAAGGAGGTAAGCCGTTTTTTAATCACTCTGTATACGCAATTCTAGACATTTGTCCACGAAAGTTTTGGGACTTATTAGACTATTTAACTCATCCAAAAATACTACAGTACCTTTAACAGTCCTATATTCCTAAATGTTGGTCAACACAATAAATTGCCGCATTCACTATTTTTTTTGAGTCAGCCTGTATAAGTAATTATAAAAACTATGAATACAACGGTAAACTACAAGTATAGAGTCATAATATTTTGCATATTTCGAAGAGGGTTTATCCGGCAAAATTTTGAGAAAAAAAAATCTGTATGTCTATAGGGTGAAAACTCAACACGGATTCATACACCACAAGCGCAGGAATATCTTATTTTATATAATCAAAATACAATGTATTATTGTAAACTTTTTGGTTAGCGTTTTACAATCCACATGATATTTCTAAGATAGGTACGTACAAAATTTGATAACAATTTGTCCAGTACTTTCGGAGATCTGTCAATACAAATTATCACAGACGATAGACAGACAGACAGACCAAAACGGGATACCATGGTTTTTGTATTCAAGGGATCATGAAACGTCGAGAAAATATAAAAATGACAGGTCGGTCACCCGATGGACTCGATTATTATACTTACGCTCAGGAAGTAAAAACAAGCACAACCTAAATTTAGGTCATATAAATATGTTTCCTGTACCTCATAGAATTAACAAATTGCAAGGATGTTTATTGTTTTGAATACACTGAGGCTATGGCTAAGCTTGTAAACAAGTTCTTTTAAGAAAATTCATTTTAATTTAATTTAGACCATCAAAAGTCATAGAACATATGAGTAACATCTTGTTATATCACTATTTATTGCTGTTTTACGTCATGTCATGGATAGATAGGTGGTCTTGAAAATTAGCTATGCCGAGGACCTTCTCAGGGCCACGGTTCTTCTAAATATTTCTAATAAAGTTTATTATTACTATTAAATTTAAGTGCAGATAAAGGATAAAGGTTTATATAGTTTCTATTTGACACCCTGTACATCCAGGCGCGGATCCAGGGGGGGGGGCAATGGGTGCAAATGCCCCCCCCCCTGACACACGACCGAGGTACTTTATTTTGACCAATTTCAAAATTTTGAAATCGCATTTCATTTTGTAAATACAGTACAACCTCTATAATCCGAATTCACGATTATCCGAACATCCATTAATCCGAACAGAGGCTATTTGAAGTCGATGCTTCTTTAATCCGAACAAAAACTCTGCAATCCGAACTGAACTTGGAAACGCGCACCTACTTGCAAAAATGACGCAAGATCTTTCTGCATATGTTGTATGGAATATTTTGAAATTTTTAAAAATTGCGATATTTCAATGTACTGAATTAATTAACTAATTCTGGAAAAAAGGTTGAAGTTATCGAAGAAATGAGGGCCGAAATCTACAAGAAATAGGGTTTAGTTAAATTTCGAAAATCGTCGAAAATAGGTCGAAATTTGCATGAGGGAAATTTCATTTTTGAAAAAGTTTCCTAAAAATTATGAAAAAATTCAGGGATATATGTATATCCCGACGTGCTATGTTAATGGTAACCGAGCAATATTTTCGAAAAATTCGGTGTGAAATTCGAATTTTTTGAAATTTTTAAAAATTGCGATTTTTCAGCTAGACGAATCTGGGAAAACGGTTTAAGTTATCGAAGATGAAGCCATAAGTGATTTCTGAGCCCCAAAATCTACAAGAAAATGTGTTCAGTTAAATTTCGAAAATCGTCGAGAATGGGTCGAAATTTGCATAATGGTGGTATTACATAACGGAAAATTTCATTTTTGAAAAATTCATCTAAAAATTATGAAAAAATTCAGGGTATAGATCCCGGCGTGTTGATTCCAAAAAGAATTCTTTAATTTTGTTTACTAAAATTAAGGTTTATTTCTTGAAATTTGTTTTCAACTGTGTATGAAGTTGTTACTCAATTCCCTTTCAGATTTTTGGGAAAATCGCTGATCCGAACAAATCGTTAATACGAACACACCTTTTTCCCAATTAATTCGGATTATCGAGGTTGTACTGTACACTATACGTGTAACGAAAACAACCAAATATCACCCATGTTATGTGAAAAAGAGTATATTAGCTAAAATATTAGAAATTTTTTTGTTTGGAATCAATTTCTGGGAGATAGGTAAAATCGCACAAAAATTGCCCCCCCCTCCCAACGAAATCCTGTATTCGCGCCTGTGTATATCAAAGTAATCAGTTAATTATAATTAATATACCGAGTGACTATTAATGTTTGTGATTTCTTTGTCAGGTTGGCAATATTTTAAAATTTGATATTGACCTATACCAGTGACTATATATATAGTCACTGCCTATACCTATTTAGTGTCAAATTCAAACTTTGGGCACCAATTCAGTAGCTGCCAGCTTTTCATTGATTTTTAGCCGAGGTGATGTTAAAATTGACAACTGTGAACTGGCATGTTAACATTGCTGTGAGCAATTCAGAATTGCCAACACAAAAATTTTCCTCACTCATTAATAGTTTTTTTTTCTACTAGATACTACTGCTTGATGTCAAAAATCCATGACCTGAACATTAATGAAAGCCCTGTAAGTACAACAGATTCTGTTTTTTGCTCTGGAACTGACATTGTTCTAACTTATAAAAATTGGTCTAAAGAGTTTAGACAGTACTTCCCTCGCTGTCGGGAAGGTGTGCAAGCCTATTATGTCTTTTTTGTATTACATTTTTGTAATTCTTGATATAATCAATAAAATTAATTGACTCAGTCATTAATTTTTTTCAGACACCCTGTATAAGCAAATCTAAAAAATATTAATGCAGTGATAAATCACAAGTATAGACTCATCATTCTTTACACATTTCAGCATTTTCTCAGCAAAATTTTGCGGGGGCCTCATCAAATTTTTAGGGGGGGATGAGCAAATACATTTCGATTAAAATTTTACCATACTTATGATAAATTTAAAACATCTCCAAGATTTCAAAGCATTCAGTTTTGTAGTTCCTGATTAAATCAATAAAATAAATTCACGCATTTATTAATTTTTTTGAGTCATCCTGTATATGCAAATCCAAAAAATATGAATGGAATGATAAATCACAAGTACAGAC